TACACACACACACACTTGTTCTTCTTCTTATTGTTCATATTCGAGTATCATGTATAAACTCACCATTTTCTTTTTGTTAATGTCAGTCGTATGATCTAGTAGTGTACGCCAGATCAAAAAACTTATGCAATCCCTTTCGTGTATCAACCAATAATCAGCACAAATATTAATATCAAAAACTAATGAATGAATTGTAGAAAAGAAAACAAAAAATTCCTTGTGGATATAGTTGAAGTTGTTTCATATATAGTTACATGTATTATATATTACCTTTCAATAAATGGAGTAAAAGTACTATATAAATAAAAGCCTTGCAAGTACGGGTTTTCTGGTGTTTCTAAATTGTGATCCCCAACGCGTTTTCGTATGATCCTCGTTATACTTAACTTCACATACTATCAGGCATTTTTCTTCTACAGTCTTCTCGACAGGAGAAGTCATATGTAAGTTCCACTTAATAATTGTGCAAAGCAAATTAAACAATGGGAATTTTGACCCTTTTTCAATTTGTGCTTAGGTGTTCTTTTCATTGTTGAAATTCTTAAAATTTCAATTCTATTAAAATTAAATATTCAAATAAAAAAAAGAGAAAACAAATACAAATTCACCAGTATTGCTCTTTAATAATATTAACTAAATATGTGAAATTGCCTAAACAATGTTTTCTTCTCCTATTGTTCTTCATCAAGTTCTTAAGTGTTTGATATTTGTGCTATAGTTTGAAAGCTGATTTAGCGATTACATGTAACTCAAATTTGCAATTTATTCACTGTGCGGAAAATAGTCAGGACACAGAAGGTTTGGAGTGCCTAAAATGTAATTGTATGTTTAATTACTTAAATCAAGTAAAATAGAAAATGGTACAATGATAATTAAAATACAAATGTTAAAAATATCCTCCTTCTGTATTTGAAATTATTCTATGTTTTGTGTGAACTGGCCGAATAAAAAAAAACTTCAACAAGAAACTGCAAGAAGTGTAGTTGATTATTCCATTGACAGTTTATTTATGAACGAAGAAGATTGACAAGGCACGGCCAACTCAAAAATGAATATAACCCAACATCTCTTGTAATTCTAAGAAGACTGAAAAAAAAATTGACATAATTAACCGAATATTTGAAAATCCTAGCCATATTTACATCGGTTTCGTTTAAGTATCAAATACAATAAATAACAATCAACTGCAAAGTAAACAGAAAGTTATTCTACTCGTTTAGTTTGATATTTCCTATGTGTTCTTTATTAAACTTTCCGCTTAATTTACTAATTGACTTAAATTCCTGGAATGAATGGAAAGAAGCAAAACATGAAGTAGAAGAAGTAGAACACCAACCACAACTCAAAGTCTTATTTATGTTTGTTCTTCAAATTAACCTAAGTTTAATTACGGTTATGAAGCTTTCAATGAATTCTGTGTAATGCGTTTCTTTTACAATAATGAAAAAAAAAAAAATGCAATAAATCAACTATAGTGTTCTACCAACCTCTAGTATATAGAGTTCCTTGGATGTGAGTTCTGTTCATTGTGATATCTCACATATCCCTATTCATCTCTCTTAAACTTGCCTACCTTCTCCCCTCCCCTCTCAAGTGAAAGAAAAAGAAAAGTTCATTAATGTATACGCAGAAACTAAAATCTTACGATGTTAGTAGAATATTCCTACAGAAGAAGAAAGGTGTTCAATTACATTGGCGAAAGATATTTTAGTTCTTGTAGTAAAGAGCAAGTATAAATGAAAAATTCAGGGAACTGACAGTGTAAATCTTTCTTTTTCTTTTACAATTGCCTTAACGAATTGATAATCCTTGACCTATGTTTCAGTTTCAATTGCCTACGTATTGTATAGGTAATACATTGTGTCTATATGATTTACATTTCAAGAAGAATCTGGAATGTTAATTCAATCAATATTAACCGCCTATTGTCATTTGATAAATTCAAAAGGAATATAGGAAAAAAAAATCCCTCATTAGTAATACACAAGGGCTATTGTTTCCTTTTCTTTATTGGTAAGCAGACTTACCTACATATATACACAACTAGGTGATAATCACCATCACAACAACAATCAACAATTAACTAGTTCATAATTGAATTGGGTTTCTTTTTCCTTGTTGTTGGGTATTCTTGGTTTGTCCCACTTTTTTTTTCATCCATGCATCTCTGGAACAAGAAGTGGTATTTGGTACATTGCATCACTTGTTGTTTTTTACAGGTTTACATGATACTTCTACATTTCATGTTTATGCTTTAACCTTAACTTCAGTCCTGAATGGTAAAAAAAAAAAAAAAAACAAGGCAGAATTTGACAGTATTCTATAGTACATGCGGCACTAATTAATACGTCAATATTTGAAAAGAGAAGTGGGTATGGCTCTTGTGGAGTATAGATTTCATAGTAGTCCCTGTTACAGGTGAATATGTTTTCCCTCAAATTTAAGGGGGATCGACGATTTATTAAGAAAATACCCATGTGAAGGATTGAAAGAATGAATATTATTATAATACAATCATCGAGTTTCGAAACAAAATGAAACTAGGAAGGCAGAATTATATAGATGGATATTATATTAGTTCTAAGCGAAAACAGTAAATAGAATTATTTAATAAAAAAAAAGAAACAAAAATCCCACAGTATACAAACCTATTTCCTTCAGCCCAAATAATAATAATAATAATAATAATTCAGTGATGTTTCCTTTGGCACAAGTTGTTGTTGTTGGTAGTGGTACTAGTAGTAGTACATATAATGCAGAATCACCAAAAATAATTAAAATAAAGACAATGAAAAAGACCTTTTTCCGATATTACCTTTATTTCAATTGGTGTTGGTATCCTATCTTCCCTTCTGTACATCAATTTATGAAAGACATGGTACATTTGAAAATTCTTCATGTACCACTACATTCTTGGTGGCATAACACATAAATGCGCTATAAAATAAGCGCGTTCTATGCTTCTGCAGGTGTGATTATATGTAATTGGAAGTAAGCATCCATACATTATATATCATGCATTTATGTATACATATTTTTTATTGGCAATTTGATTGAATTTCTTCTTCCTCTTCTTCTTCTTGACAATATGATAATCAATTGATAATATCTATATATTTTACAAAATAAATTACAAGGAAATATATTACTTGAATACATAAACCAAGAGAAATTTGACCATAGCCTTCTTTTGTACACAAATTTCATCATCTGAATTGCCTCAATTATATTTCGGAACGCTAGAATATGTCAGCGGAAATCATTATCCACCCTCGCACTACCAATTGTTGGTACTGGATGAACAAATTTTGTTCTCCCATGAATTATATCATGTATTGTTTTTCCTTTTTAGTTGATGAATATTAGTTACCATTGTCTTTACTATGTGTGTTTTGTTTTTGGTCTAATGTTGTAATTACAAACAGTAAGGGAGAATTTTTAGAATTTCAAATGTGTGTGTGTGTGAATCTTCATCTTCATATTTAGATGAGTACACTGCATTTCTATTATTCCTTGTCTTCTTGTCGGAAATAACACCGGTCTTGTGTCATGTCGGTTTTACGTCATCATCAGATGTATATGTTAAATCTACACTTTTATTATTCTTCATCTGTCTGTCTCTCTCTCTCTCTCTCTCTCTCTCTCTTGCCCTCTTTGTCCTTCCATTGGAGTGTTGGTCCAATCGGCTCTCTTCAAAAGTAGTACGAAATATTTAACAAAATCAAAGTTCAGCAAAACAACATAAAGTGAATTGAAAGTAAAAGAAAATAATAGAAAAAGGATAACCATAGTTGCATAGAGACTTGGCTTTCAACACATCCCACACACATACACACAAAATTACGTTTAATTTGATTTGTTGATTTCCACTTTTTGCTTTTTTTTATTATTATTTTTTAGATTATACACTAATGTAATATATCATCAACATCCTGGTGGGTAAAGTGAACAAAATAAAAAGTTTCACTTTTTGATTTCATGTATCCTCTAAATTTCATTTAATTGTTCTTCCAATACCTTTACGTTTTTTTCCATGCATTTACGTGAAATATCCACAAATCACTCTCTACATAGAAATATCATATCTATGTTGAATCAACAGCCTTGTTAATCAGCATGGATAATAATTTCCACAACCACTAAACCACTATTCTCCAAAGATGTCCTGTTTGTTAAAATATGCAATGAGTAATGAACAGTAATTTCTTGTTTCTATTCCTTTCTTTCATACATTATTTCAATGATTTTTCCACTTTTTTTTTTTTTGCAATTTATGCATTGTTACTATTCATTATTTTTGACACCTTTTCTAATTCTTTGTTTCTTTGATTCCTCCTTATGTGCCTTGGCTCTTAACCTGCATTCCTTCTCTTATGTGTTATTTGAAATTCAACTAACCATTGCGTTTTTCGGGTTTTTTTTATTTTTATTTTTATCTTTCCCAACAATAATAGTACTTACTAACCTATCTTTATAGAAAAGAAATTATAATTATCAATATGTATAAATCATACGTTTGAGAAACCAAGAATTTGTGTATGAGTATGTGTTATATGAAAAGATACTACCATTATTGTTCTTTTAACAAGATCAGCTGTTTTTTTATATACTCTTTTGAGTTTAGCCCCCTTTCATGTTGAAATTATTAAACATTTTAGAAGAATTACTTCAAATGTATTTTATTACTTTTTACAATTCCGATATTATATGAATTTCCTGAAGAATAAAAGGCAAAAATTTATTTTATTTCCAACTTTTTCACTTTACCATTTTTCTATTCTTTACTAAAATTATCGGAGTTATCTTTTAATGCAAAAAAAAAAATAAATGGAAAACCCCGTGTCGTTTTCACGTGATTGGTTTACGACATTAGTTAATACGACATTTTACTGTTTGTTCAATTTTTCTTTGAGATGAGAGATAATTTTTTTTTTTTTTTTTTCAAATGTGATGAGATGAATAATTTGAGAAAAACCCTATTTATACCACATTAATCAAAGATGTCTGACGACGAAGAAATTTATAATATTGCAGGATCTCTTGTGTCTAAAGATGATGAAAGTGATGATTATTCTTCATCTTCAGGAGAAGAAGATAACAATGTTCAAGATGAAATAATCTCAGATGATGATGATGATGAAGATAAAGAAGAGGATAATACCCCACCAAAGAAGAAAATGAAAAAATCTAAACCTAATCCACAATCTTTCCCATCATTGGAATTATCAGATAATGAAAATGGTAACTCCGATAAAGAAGATGATGATGATGATTCAAAAATTTCAAGTTATTTTAGAACAAATAACCCAACTGCTAAAAAAGCCAAAGCAGGTTCATTTGCATCCTTTGGATTAACTAAATTTATCTTAACAAATATTGCTAAAAAAGGTTATAAACAACCAACTCCAATTCAGAGAAAAACTATTCCTTTAATTATGGAAGGTAGAGATGTTGTGGGTATGGCACGTACTGGTTCCGGTAAAACTGCAGCATTTGTATTACCATTAATTGAACAATTAAAACTGCGTCAAACTAATGGTGTAAGAGCAATTATTATTTCACCTTCAAGAGAATTGGCATTACAAACTTATAAACAAGTTAAGGAATTTAGTAATGGTACTAATTTAAAATCAATTGTATTGATTGGTGGTGATTCATTAGAAGAAGATTTCTCAAAAATGATGACTAAACCAGATGTAATTGTTTGTACACCTGGTAGATTTTTGCATTTAAAAGTTGAAATGGAATATGATTTAAAAACTGTTCGATATATTGTATTTGATGAAGCTGATAGATTATTTGAAATGGGTTTTGCTGAACAATTGAATGAATTGATTGCTTCATTACCTACAAATAGACAATCTTTATTGTTTTCTGCTACTTTACCTAGATCTTTGGTTGATTTTGCTAAAGCTGGTTTGAGTAGTCCCGTTTTGGTTAGATTGGATGCTGAATCCAAGATTTCTGATCAATTACAAATGGCTTATTTCACAACAAAGAAAAATGAAAGAGAAGCTAATTTATTGTATATATTACAAGAAATTATCAAAATGCCATTAGGCTCTCCTGAAGAAATTAAAAAATTGAGAGACTTGGATAAAAGACAAGTTGATTCTGATGAAGAAGACGATGAAGGAGATGATAAATCAAGAGGAAAGAAAAGAAAGTTTAAGTTTAAAAAGGAGAGATTACCACCAGCAAATCAATTACCTTCACCATTTTCTACAATTATATTTGTACCTACTAAACATCATGTTGAATATGTTACAAGATTATTAAGAGATGCTGGATACCTTGTGTCTTATATTTATGGTACATTAGATCAGCATGCAAGAAAGAACCAATTATATCAATTCAGAGTTGGTTTAACAAATATTTTAGTGGTTACTGATGTTGCTGCAAGAGGTATTGATATTCCAGTGTTGGCAAATGTTATTAATTTCACTTTACCTGCATCTTCTAAAATTTTCATTCATAGAGTTGGTAGAACTGCTAGAGCTGGTAATAAAGGTTGGGCTTATTCTATTGTTAATGAAAAGGAATTACCTTATTTATTGGATTTGGAATTATTCTTGGGTAAAAAAATCTTACTCACTTCTATGCATGAGGCTAAAGTTGAAATGTTAAAGAAATCCCAAGGTGAATCTTCATTTATTCCACCAGTTGTTAATTATACTGAAAGATTAGTATTAGGGTCTATTCCAAGATTAGATCTTGAAACATTTCAAGAACTTTATGAAAATTTGTTAAGAAATGATTATGAAATTAAAGTATTAAAAGATGTTGCAATCAAGGGGGAAAGACTTTATCATAGAACAAGAGCTTCAGCATCTCAAGAATCTTTGAAAAGAAGTAAAGAAATTTTAGAAAATTCATGGGATGATCAACATTTATTATTTGGTGAAAATTTAGAAAAACAAAAATTGGATTTTTTAAATAAATTACAGAATAGAATAAGTAAACAAACAGTATTTGAATTTAAAGGAAATGATGAAAGTTTAGTTGAATTTATGAACAAAAGAAGACGTCAACTTGCTCCAATTCAAAGAAAAGCAAAAGAAAGAAGAGAATTATTACAAAAGGAAAGATTAGCTGGTTTAACTCATGGTATTGAAGATGAAGTATTACATACTCAAGGTGAAAGTGGCTATAATGTTGATGAAGAAGAATTACAAGAAACTTTTGAAGATGCTGATAATGGTAAAAAATCTTTTAGAGATCCAAATTTCTTTCTTAGTCATTATGCCCCAGCTTCAGTTATTCAAGATCAACAATTGGCAATTTCTTCATCATTTGCAAATGAAGCCCAAAATGCTACTTTTGATTTAGAAAATGATGATAAAATTCAAAAGAATAAACAAATTATGAAATGGGATAAAAAGAAAGGGAAATATATTAATTCAAAATCTACAGACAAAAAATATATTATTTCAGAAAGTGGTACCAGAATTCCTGCTTCTTTTAGATCTGGTAAATTTGATGAATGGAAGAAACAAAGAAATATTAAATCTACTAAAACTGCTATTGTTGAAGATGATAGAAATGGTTCAAATAAAAACTTTAAACATAAACAACAGAAAAGTCCTAAATTACCTGATAAATACAGAGATGATTATCATAAACAAAAGAAGAAGGTTGAAAAGGCTATCGAGTCAGGTGTTTCTGTTAAAGGGTATCATGGTAAAGGTAATGTTCATCAAGAAATCAAATCAACTGAACAAATTAGAAAAGAAAGATTACTTAAAGAGAAAAGAAGAGCTAAAAATGCTAGACCAAGTAAGAAAAGATAAGCTGTTGTTGTTACGTTTAATACATATTTACACTATACATATTATTCTTTTTTATTTTTCTCTCTCTCTCTCTCTCTCTTCTTATAATTATTATTATAATCATCATCAATATCTGCGACCACCTCCTCTACTATAAGGATGGTAACCACCTCTTCCTCTTCTGTATCCACCTCTACCTCTACCTCTATAAGATGGTCCCAGTGGTGGAGCTCTCTTTGGACCAGTTGGAATATTTGGTCTTTCTGGTGGTTTTTCTTGATCATCATCAGCAGCTTGTTGTTGGGGGTTTAACGGAACTGGCATATTTCCAGCACCACCATCTGGTGAAGTACTTCCCCCAGCAGCTGCACCACCTTGAGCAGCTTGTGCTGCTTGTTGATACATATACCATTGATAATATCTCATATAATCTTGATTCATAGTAGCTGGATTCATCATTGGGTATCCAGCTGTTGGTGGGACAGCACCGGCAGCTGCTCCAGGAACACCAGCACCAGGAGCACCATATGGATACATTGGTACACCTTGTCCCGCAGCGGCTGCAGCAGCTTGTGCTTGTGCTTGATGAGCGGCCGCTTGTTGGGCGGCAACTTGTTGGTTATGCTGGCCTCTTGGAGCTGCACGTTTAACTTCCATTGCTTTACCTTTTAAAGTCAAGTATTTATTAACACAAACTCTATCAACTGCAGCTGGAGAATCATAAGTAATAAAACCAAACCCTCTTGATCTACCGGTATCTTTATCAATCATCAACTGACAATCAATAATTTTACCAAATTGAGAGAAAAATTCATCAAATTCTTGTTCTGTAACCATTGGATCAATACCACCAATGAAAATCTTACCAACTTTCTCTTGATCTTCTTTTGAGATTGCTCTTTTAGGATCGATCAATTTACCGTCCAATATATGTCTATCTTTAAGAAGAGCATCAACCGATGCTGGGTCCTTGAATGTCAAAAACCCAAATCCACGTGATCTACCAGTGGCATTATCTTTCATAATTGTATAATCAACAATTTCACCATACTTTGAGAAATGTTCAACAAGTTTTTCTTCGGTTGTTTGCCAATCAAGTCCTCCCAAGAAAGTTTTTGCAGATGATGCAGCTGGTGCCGACGATGCTGGAGGTGGAGGTGGAGCAGCGGCAACAACAGCAGCAGCAGGCGGTGGAGGCGGAGGAAAAGAACCTCCTTGTTGAGCAGAAGCCATCATTTGTTGATATTGTGAAGGATCAAATGGCATTTGAGGTGGTGGGACACCATATTGTTGATTATTTGCATCAGCAGCTTGAGGTGGTGGGGGTGGAGGAGGAGCTGTAGAATCTTCTTGTTGGACAGATTGTTGTTCAATAGATTCTTCTTGTTTGGTCTCTACTTTCTCTTTAGGTTCTTCTTGTTGAACTTCTACTTTTGGTTCCTCTTCTTTTTGTTCTTCTTGTTCTTTTACGGTTTCTTCTTCTTTCTTTTCAACTACTTCGTCATCTCCATATAAATCTTCAAAAAGTTGTTCATCGTCCGACATCTTGATATATACGCTACTATTCCGCAAAAAAAAAAAAATAAAAAAAATTAGATTAAAACTAAACTAAAAAAAAAGAATTATAAAAAAAAATATAATAAATTGACCTTTATTCAGTATAAAAAACAATATAAATTGTATATATATTGCCTAATTGATTGATGGTTGAAAATGAATTGGTTGTTGTTGTTGTAATTCTAATGAAAAAAAAAAATTGAACAAGTAAAAAATTCCAAGTCTTCCCTTTTTTTTCTTTCGGTTGTTGCCATTCATACTTCGCATTTCCCATACAATTTTCTTAGTTGGCCATCGTCGTTTCATTGTTGAGTATTAGTGCACGACCTGTGGGTCACGTGTAGCCTGTTGAGTTTTCAACTAAACTTATCCTAAGAAACTCCATTTATAAGTAGAAAATAGTGGAGAAGTGATTGTAACAGTTAGTTATGGTAGATCCTTAAAGTATAGTATTTCAGGGAATATACTAGTTAGTGTAAATGTTTTTTTTTTCATGATTTGCAAGAATTCTAAAAGAAAAAGTTGACAACTGGTAGAGGTTAATTTAAACAATTAATAACTACTGATGCATGTGTCATATAAGGTTCAAATGACAAAATAGGTTAATGAAATCATAATTAATCTGGTCTCATCATCTTGAAAATAAATTCTATACCACCAGATGTTGATTTTACCTACTTTTGATTTGAATTATTTCGTCAAGTCTAACCCAACTCAACGAGTGCATACAACTGTAATCTTTAGGTCAAACATCCAACAGGTCCTATAGTATAGTTGGTTAGTACACAAGGTTTTGATCCTTGCAACTTCGGTTCGAATCCGGATAGGACCTTTTATTTTTGGTTTTTTAAGTTTCTCATTGTGTAAAATAGCTAGAAGTGTGAACATGCCAAGAAATTTTAAACTCCAACAAATTGGTTCCGTGGTCTAGTTGGTTATGGCATATGCTTAACACGCATAACGTCCCCAGTTCGATCCTGGGCGGAATCATTTGTTTTTTTACACACCACCTATGAGATCAAGCTGCTGACTTACTCTGATGTGAGTGTTTTTTTTTTTGATACCTAGTTATGATTGATTAGAGCTATACAAGATGTGGTAATGATTCTGAGCTTCGAAAATTCATCTTATTTTGACTAGGAGATTTTTAGACCATATAAGAGTAACCCTACGTAAAATGAAATTGGTAGATGCAAAATGATAAATAGAGCTTATTATGACGTGTGTCAATCGAGAGGAAACAACATAATTGCTCACTGTCCTAAATTGTCCTGAGATAAAAGAACAACATTCATTCTATTCAGATAATTTTTGGATATTTGGCTATCAAAAATCGCTTCGAATACATAAAAGTACACTAAATACTTTAACCAGCTGCCTTTATGAGCACCAAACCCTGTAGAATAATTCTATCATTCGTTGGAAAGAACAACCCATATTGTTTATGAACGACTCATGAGAAAACATTAAGGAAACAATACTCATGAAACACAAAATCACTTAATTTCTTGCAAATGATTTTCTTAAGGCACTTCGAACAAACATCCAAGTGGTTCCGTGGTCTAGTTGGTTATGGCATATGCTTAACACGCATAACGTCCCCAGTTCGATCCTGGGCGGAATCAGTTGTTTTAATTTTTTGTCAATTTCATCCTAAACTCTGCATCAAAGTTTGTGATGAGTTGACTAGGTTTTTTATTTAAGTGTACAATAACGAAGACAAATTTGCAGTTTTCGGTTTTTTACAGGTTGCGCGAAATCTGAAAAAAATTGGGAAGAGAGAGAAAAAAAAAAAATTATTAGAAAAATTGAATTGCAATTTTTTTATTTTTAAGATGGAGTTGGTGCTGCTAAGCAAAGATCATACATGAAAGACTACATTATACACTTTGCTCAGACATTTCCTGAGTTTAGAATAGCAGAACTTCAGGAGTTGGCTTCTTTTTATGGATTCTCAGTCGATCTTTCTGGACATAGAGAAGAGTGTCCGTTCTTATTGGTGTCATTGGAAAACGATGAGCAAGCATCTCAACTAGTGTCACGATCTGTTATGTCATACGGTATTTATGAATTATGGGGTTACGGTAAAACTTATGAAGAATTGCATGTGGATGTTAAAGAAAAATCATCGGATAAATTTGATAAATACAAAGAATGTTCATTCAAGTTTGATTTCAAATCTTTCCAAGGTAAACAAAGTAATAGAGAAAAAGTCAAAACAATAGAGTCCTTTTCATACTTGGCGTTTGATGGGAAAATTGATTTGAAAACCCCAGATGAAACTTTTGTTGTCATGGAAGAATATATTAAAGGAGGACCAAAAGTGCCAGTAAATATTTGGTTTGCAAGAGAACTTCAACTAAGCCAAAGAGCCGAGGGTTTAATTGAAAGATATGATTTGAAAAAGAGAAATTATATTGGAACCACATCGTTTGAAGCAGAATTATCTTTGGTTACATGTAATTTGGCACAAGTGGCACCTGGTAAAATTGTGTATGATCCATTCACCGGAACTGGTTCCTTTTTGGTTGCAGCTGCGAATTTTGGAGGGTTAACTATTGGATCAGATATCGATGTTAGAATGCTTAATGGGAAAGGACCAGATGCAAATATAAAATCTAATTTCAAACAGTATGGAACAGTTGAAAGCTACCTTGATGTATTGACAATGGACTTCACTCATAATGCCCTTAGGTCTGATCTCCAAATTGACACTATTGTTTGTGACCCACCGTACGGAGTTCGTGAAGGTTTGAGAGTTTTGGGTGCAAAGAATGAAGAAAAAGCCACAGGCAGGGAAAATGACATATTCAACGGGGAGATTGCATATTTGAGACGTGAATTTATCCCTCCTAAGAAGCCTTATCAGTTGGCCAGTTTATTGGAAGATTTGTTAGAGTTTGCCAGTCAAAGATTACCGATCGGAGGAAGATTAGCTTTCTGGATGCCCACAGCCAATGATAATTTTGAAGAACACATAATTCCTCAACATGAAAGATTAGAGTTGTTGCATTGTCTAGAACAGCTGTTCCACCAATGGTCAAGAAGGTTGTTGGTATACGTTAAAAGGGATGAATCGTATCAAGGGGTTACTAGTAATGGTTTAAAGGAAAAGAATATTAAAGATTTTAGAGTTAGATACTTCCAAAAGTTTAGTACTAATGGCAAATAGGCTTTAAAGGCAACTTGATTGCTATGTGAATATACAAACCTTAGAAGCTAAAGGGGATATTACCCAACAAATGCATATATTCATAGGGGGAGAAAGTCAATAGAGTAAGTGTGAGAGAAGAAAATAAAAAAAAAGGAGAATAAACGATAAGAGTGGTTTAAACTATAATGGAGATATTTTAGGCGTCAATGCATTGATATGTATTCAGGTGATTAGTAATTTATTAAAAGTAGAAATGAAAGGACTATTATTCGTTTAGAAGTTGATCTCGTTGAGGAGGAGTAACACAAAGTTATGACACTGGCAGATTAATTCTCACGTTCCTTGATTTTCTTAATTTAGTTATATCCTTGAAAGATTGTTGGATCTCTATGCGAATTTTTTTTTTGTCTTTTATTTTCCAGTTGCTTGTTGCATGCTATTCTTTTTTTTTTTTTTCGCTCACCTGGTTTTACACCCAATGTTGCAGGGAGGATATGCACTTAGACATTCATGTTGTATTAGGTTAGTACATTTAGGTCAATTGTCAACATCTGATAAAGTGATATTCCCTTAGGATAGGCCAACAACCGGAATCAACAACCGATCTGACCTTCCTCTTAAGTTGTGTATAAATAGACAAGTGTATTTCCCATTTAGAAGTACTTTTTTTTTACTCTTCTTATTTATCTATTATCTACATACAAAAAACCAAATACTTGATCTACAATGACTCCACCTACTATGATCCAAACTGCTCCAGTTGAAACTTTCAACATTAGAGCCAAGAAGGCACAAACTGTCAAATTGACTTCTGAAGCCGTTGATGGTAAACACAGCTTTGCTGACTGGGAAAAGTTCAACTTTGCTCCAATTAGAGAATCTCAAGTTGCCAGAGCTATGGGTAAGAGATACTTTGCTGATTTGGACAAATATGCTGAATCCGATATTGTTGTTGTTGGTGGTGGTTCTGCCGGTTTCTCTGCTGCTTATGTTATGGCTAAAAACAGACCAGACTTGAAAATTGCCATTATCGAAGCCTCAGTTTCCCCAGGTGGTGGTTGTTGGTTGGGTGGTCAATTGTTCTCCGCCATGGTTGTCAGAAAACCAGGTGATCTCTTCTTGGATGACTTAGGCTTGGAATACGAAGACGAAGGTAACTATGTTGTTGTCAAACACGCTGCTTTGTTCATGTCCACTTTAATGTCCAAGACCTTGGCCTTCCCTAACGTCAAATTGTTCAATGCTACTGCTGTTGAAGATTTAATTACCAGAAAGGATGAAGTTACTGGTCAAATTTCTATTGCTGGTGTTGTTACCAACTGGGCTCACTTGGACCACGACAACCAATCTTGTATGGATCCAAATACCATCAATGCTAATGTTATTGTCAGTGCTACTGGTCACGATGGTCCATTTGGTGCTAGTAACTCCAAGCGTGCCAAACAAATCTTCCCAGAAGAAGAAGTTCAATTCAATGGTATGAGAGGTCTTGACATGAACAAGGCTGAAAACGCTGTTGTTAAAGGATCCAGAGAAGTCTACCCAGGTTTAGTTTTTGCTGGTATGGAATTGGCTGAAATTGATGGTTCCAACAGAATGGGTCCAACTTTCGGTGCTATGATGTTGTCTGGTGTCAAGGCTGCTGAAACTGCTTTGAACATTTTTGACGAATGTAAAGAAAGAAATGAAAAAACCTACGGTGGTTTGCAAAACTAGATTTCTTGGACCAGGGGTTTAAGTAATTAGTTTACAAATTCTTAAGAATTACACTCTTTTTCTATTTGATTTTAAATATTTTTTTTATAGTTATTCCCAATGAATGTGATACGTGATTATTAGATTGTTCAATGTTTGTAATATTAGTAGAGAAAGAAGCTTTGTCAAGTGAAGTTAGTTTATTATACTTTAGATATATTAAAGTGGATACCATAAAGTAATGAAACTAACTGTAATACACCCCAATGCAATGTTACTTCCAAGCGAATGACTCTACTTCCTTGAAATCTGGCACATATTTACTTTGCCTTTACGAATCAAGGAGTTATTACTGCTTGAAATGTGTAGTCTGTCACGGATTTTTAAGGTGACAATTTCCAAAAGAAATGATCTGTAGACCCGTCCCCATTTTTCAATACCGAAAGATATTGAGATATAGATACTGGTCAATTAACTTATAGTCATAGCTATGTCCGTTTCTCGCCAAACTCGTACAAGAGGTGAAGGATTTTTTTGTTTTTGTTTTTGCAATTACCACCCGTGCTACAAAACCTATCCCCAAGCTAAGAATTTACATCTACTCGGATAAGTTCCAAGACAATATTTCATTCATTTGAAATACCCGGGATCTGTCACATTCACCTTTCAGTATGATAGTTATCCAAGTTTGACAGAATATTGCGTTTTGGGCATATTTATAATTCAATATCAGATGTATATAGAAAGACAATTGATATAGTTGAGACACCATTAAGTCTCAGGTAGGCTCAAATTGTATCTTTATAACTTGACTACAGCGGGGGCTTATACAATCATTAATCTAATACTCACTCCAAGCGGCTTTAGTTTGCAATCAGTGTTAATACCACAGGGGTGGCGAATATTCCAGTGGTATCTGAGACACGTTTATTCATCTCAAAGTTTACGGATGGATATTTTTTAATTTGATTATTTCCATGCATTAATGTACTCCATGTTTCGGGTATTTTTAGTTGCCGGGTATTTTTAATGTTCCAATTCGGATGTGAACAGCCGAAAGTTCACTTCCGTTTAAAAAAAAAATTCTTTGCTTTGACTAAACCATAATGAATTGAGCCACTTGGCAATGATTATTATTAGTTTTTGGCTCTTGTAATTAAAATATCCAGGATCCGAAATAATAATGACTATAAATACTACCAAGAGAGTATGAAATATATAAAGAGGGCAACAAATATCCTGAGAAAGGATATCGAGTTTTATGATTTGAATCAAGAATTTCATTCATAACTACAATAAATATCTAACAATAATTATGGGAGAAATAACCCCAACTGACAAAAGCGAAGACCAGTCAATGGTTAATGCATATCATGGATTTGATACTCATGCATCAGAAGATATACAAGATTTAGCCAAAACTTTTACTCATCATTCAATTGGCGATGGTACTGATGGTTTACAAAGATATCTTACAAATATGACAGAAGTACCAGGTATAAATCCTTACACCGAAGATATTTACACTAGTGACCAATTGAATCCAGACTCAGATAATTTTAATGCAAAGTTTTGGATCAAGAACTTGAGAAAATTGTATGATTCAGATCCAGATTATTACAAGCCATCAAGATTGGGAGTTGCCTATAGAGATTTAAGAGCTTATGGTGTGGCCAATGATTCTGATTACCAGCCCACTGTGGCAAACGCGGTCTGGAAGTTTATCAAAGAGGGATTGCATTATTTAGAAAAAGGTGATGGCTCAAGGTATTTTGATATTTTAAAATCAATGGATGGAATAATGAAACCAGGTGAACTTACAGTTGTTTTAGGTAGACCAGGGGCTGGTTGTTCCACATTGTTGAAAACATTGGCTTCACAAACATATGGATTTCATATTGGAAAAGAATCAAAAATCAGTTATGATGGTTTAACTCCTCCCGAAATCGAAAAAACTTATAGGGGTAATGTTGTATACTCTGCAGAAACAGATGTTCATTTTCCACATTTGACTGTCGGACAAGTCTTGGAATTTGCTGCTAGAATGAGAACGCCACAGAACAGAGGTGAAGGTGTAGATAGAGAAACATATGCCAAACACCTTGCTAGTGTTTATATGGCTACTTATGGGTTATCTCATACAAGAAATACCAATGTGGGTAACGATTTTGTCAGAGGAGTTTCTGGTGGTGAAAGAAAAAGGGTCTCCATTGCTGAAGTTTCGTTGAGTGGTGCAAATGTTCAATGTTGGGATAATGCCACTAGAGGTTTGGATGCTGCAACCGCATTGGAATTCATCAGAGCATTGAAGACTTCTGCTGCTATTTTGGAAAGTACCCCATTGATTGCTATTTATCAATGTTCACAAGATGCTTATGACTTGTTTGATAATGTTGTCGTTTTGTATGAAGGTTTCCAAATTTTTTTTGGTAAAGCCAATAAAGCCAAGGAGTATTTTGTAAACATGGGATACAAGTGTCCTCAAAGACAAACCACTGCTGACTTTTTAACTTCATTGACTAATCCAGCTGAAAGAGAGCCATTACCAGGTTATGAGAATAAAGTCCCAAGGACTCCTCAAGAATTTGAAGCATATTGGAAGAAATCCCCAGAGTATACTGCATTGGTTAATGAAATTGATTCATATTTCATTGAGTGTGAGAAATTAAACACCAGACAACTCTACCAAGATTCACATGTTGCAAGACAATCCAACAATATTCGTCCATCTTCACCATATACTGTATCATTTTTCATGCAAGTAAAGTATGTTATACAAAGAAATTTCCTCCGTATGAAAGCTGATCCATCGATTCCGTTGACTACTATTTTCTCACAACTAGTTATGGGACTTATTCTTGCCTCGGTATTTTACAATCTTCCTGCAACTTCAGGTTCTTTTTACTACCGATCCGGTGCGCTTTACTTTGGTTTGTTATTTAATGCTATTTCGTCCCTACTTGAAATTATTGCCCTTTTTGAAGCAAGACCCATTGTTGAGAAACATAAAAAATATGCCCTTTATCGTCCATCAGCAGATGCATTAGCAAGTATTATAAGTGAGTTACCAGTTAAGTTTTTTCAATCCTTGTGTTTCAACATTCCTTTCTATTTTATGGTTAACCTTAGAAGAGATGCTGGTAGATTCTTCTTTTATTGGTTAATTGGTATATTAGGTACATTCATTATGTCACACTTATTCAGATCTATTGGTGCAGTATTTACTACTTTAGCAGGTGCTATGACTCCGGCGGGGGTGATTTTATTAGCAATGATATTATTTGCTGGATTTGTCATTCCATTTCCAAGCATGTTGGGTTGGTCTAAATGGATAAAATGGATAAATCCTGTCACTTATTTGTTTGAATCACTTATGGTAAACGAGTATCATAATAGAGAGTTTGAATGCAGTGATTTCGTACCTATGGGACCAGGATATGAGAATCTTAGTCTTGAAAATAAGGTTTGTTCAAGTTTGGGTGGCATCCCTGGTAGTGCTTTTGTTCAAGGTGATGATTATTTAAGACTTGGATTTGCCTTTTCTAACTCCCATAAGTGGAGAAATTTTGGTATATCTGTTGCGTTTGCTGTGTTTCTTTTGTTTCTTTATGTTGCATTGACTGAACTCAATAAAGGTGCTATGCAAAAAGGTGAAATTGTGTTGTTTCTTAGAGGATCTTTGAAGAAATACAAGAGAAACTCCAGTAGCGCAGATATTGAATCCGGTAAAGAAATAGTGAAATTTAATTTCCAAGACGAAGCAGAATCTTCTAATAGTGATCGTATTGATGAAAAGGGTTCTACGGGCAGTGAAGAATTACTACCAGACAACAGAGAAATTTTCTTTTGGAAGAATTTGACATATCAAGTCAAGATTAAGAAAGAAGATAGAGTCATTTTAGACCATGTTGATGGTTGGGTTAAACCAGGTCAAATTACTGCATTGATGGGTGCATCTGGTGCTGGTAAGACCACTTTGTTGAATTGTTTATCTGAGAGAGTAACTACTGGTGTTATTACTGATGGTGTGAGAATGGTTAATGGTCATGCGTTAGATTCTTCGTTCCAAAGATCAATTGGTTATGTGCAACAACAAGATGTTCATTTACAGACATCTACAGTTAGAGAAGCGTTGCAATTCTCCGCATATTTGAGACAATCAAACAAAATATCTAAGAAGGAGAAGGATGAATATGTTGACTACGTCATTGACTTGTTGGAGATGACTAACTATGCGGATGCATTGGTTGGTGTTGCCGGTGAAGGTTTGAATGTTGAACAAAGAAAGAGATTAACCATCGGTGTTGAATTAGTTGCCAAGCCTAAGTTGTTACTATTCTTGGATGAACCAACTTCTGGTTTAGACTCCCAAACTGCCTGGTCTATTTGTAAGTTGATGAGAAAGTTAGCTGATCATGGTCAAGCTATCTTGTGTACAATTCATCAACCTTCCGCACTTATTATGGCTGAATTCGATAGATTGTTGTTTTTGCAAAAGGGTGGTAGAACTGCTTATTTTGGTGACTTGGGTAAAAACTGTCAAACCATGATTGACTACTTTGAAAAACACGGAGCAGATCCATGTCCCAAAGAAGCCAATCCAGCAGAATGGATGTTGGAAGTTGTTGGTGCCGCTCCAGGCTCCCATGCTAAACAGGACTATTTTGAAGTTTGGAGAAACTCTGACGAATATAGAGCTGTTCAAAATGAAATCACCCATATGGAAACTGAATTAGTTAAATTACCAAGAGATGAAGATCCCGAAGCACTTTTGAAATACGCTGCACCCATTTGGAAACAATATTTGCTTGTTAGTTGGAGGGCGATTGTACAAGATTGGAGATCACCTGGATATATATACTCCAAATTTTTCTTGATTATCGTGTCATCTATATTGATTGGATTTTCATTTTTTAAAGCCAAAAATACAGTTCAAGGGTTGACGAATCAAATGCTTGCTATATTTATGTTCACAGTTCAATTCACAACTATTATTGACCAAATGTTGCCATTTTTTGTTCGACAACGTGAGGTGTATGAGGTTAGAGAAGCACCTTCCAGAACATATAGTTGGGTTGCCTTCATTACAGGTCAAATAACTTCAGAGCTTCCTTATCAAATAATTGTTGGAACGATTGCTTTCTTCTGCTGGTACTATCCTGTTGGATTATATACCAATGCTGAACCTACACATAGTGTGACTGAACGTGGTGCCTTGATGTGGTTGTTTATTACTTCATTTTTTGTTTACACATCAACATTTGGTCAATTATGTATGTCATTCAATGAAGATATTGAAAATGCTGGAACTGTTGCTGCTACATTATTCACCTTGTGTTTGATATTTTGTGGTGTTATGGTTGTTCCAGAGAATATGCCACGATTTTGGATTTTCATGTACAGATGTAATCCATTTACTTATATGATTCAAGGTGTTCTTTCAACGGGATTAGCTCGCAATAAAGTTGTTTGTGCTGCAAGAGAACTTGTTCTGCTTCAACCACCAAAAGGTCAAACTTGTTCTTCATTCTTGGATCCTTATATCAGTGTGGCTGGAGGTTATTATTTACCTAATAATGATGGAACTTGTTCATTCTGTTCAGTAGATAATACTGATATGTTTTTACATCGTATCCATGCCTTATACAGTGAGAGATGGAGAAATTTTGGATTATTTATTACATTCATTGTGATTAATGTTGTCTTGACTGTATTCTTTTATTGGTTAGCTAGGGTACCAAAAGGGTCAAGATCAAAGACTAAAAAGTGATTTCTATTCCAATCTGTTGGATTTTGCATTTGTTGTTTGTTAAATAGATTAATTTATTCTCAATATAGTGAACTTTATATATTTCATAAGCAAATTCATCTAGAACATTGCTCGATATCTAAATAGAATATCTAAAGTTTGGGTTTTCTTTATCAGTCAAATCAGCAAATTCGTAATTTTCAATATGGCTCATGTCCACTTGAGGTTGGGAGTTTCGTCTACGATTTTCCCATACATATGATAAGAGAATAGCTATCAAAGTACCCACATTAATGAACCCACAAACAACAATAGCAATTTTTGCTCCTTGGTACTTAGGTGCTTGGTTACTAATAAAAGTTTGAGGTCCAATTAAATTACCAACACAATAGGAAATTAAAAGAATAGCATTAGTAGTTATTTTCTTAGTGTGACCAGCAACATTTGATGCGATACAAGACAAAACACAAATAAACCCTACTGGAGAAAATAAATATAAATAAAATCCAGTTAATCTTGCAGCTTTTTGAGAAGGAAAAACCAAAAGACAATAACCAATTACAGTAAGTATACTTGCAAATGTAGCCATTCCTAAACGAGATGGGAAATATTTAGTTAACCATGCCAAAAGAACACAACCACAAATTTCAACTGCACCTTGAGGCATTTGCATTAATAATGATTCTGATGGAGAATATCCAAAATCTTCATTCAATAAAATGGTACTGAAACTGGTTAAACCACCATTTGGGATATTATTTGACAATCCAAATAAAACAAATAACCAAGTTCTATGATCTTTTAATGCTTCAATGAATTGTGATTTTTTAAAATGACGATTTCCAAAACCTTGTTGATTTGATCTAATTCTTTCCACTACTAAAACTTTTTCACGATCAGTAAGAAACCATGCTCCTGCTGGAGTATCTGGGATATGGAAAAATACAATAAATCCAATGAATATAGTCAATACACCAGTAACAACAAAAACCAATTTCCAAGCAGGTAAGGAATAATTGTCATGCTGATATAAACCATAAGCAATTGCCAGACCAATAATAGTACCAATTCCATTACTAGCAAACCAACAAGATGTTCTTAAAAATTGTTCTTCTTTCTTGTACCATTGAGAAGTTATAATAGTGAAAGCAGGTGTAACACTACTTTCCAAAGCCCCTAATATAGTTCTCAAAGCAACAAAACCAGAATATTCAGGAACAGAATGTAATGCCAAGATCATTCCCCATAAGATGATAAAAACACTAACAGTTTTGGCAACAGGAAATCTTTGTAATAAAGCTGATGCTGGGAATTCAAATACCAAATATCCCAAATAAAAAGCAGTAGCTGTCCAACTATACATATCACCAACCATATTTAATTCTTTTCTTAATCCCAAGATAGAAGCATAACTGGTTGATAATTTATCCATAAATTGGAAACAATACAATAAACACATTACTGGTAATAAACATAAATCAATTTTGCGTAATAATTTTTTAGAGGTGATTTCATCCAATTCAATTTCTTCATCTTGATGATCACGAACAAGTTTCATAGCATCGTCCACATTTTCAGATATTTCTATTGGTTTTCCTGATAATGATACTATGGATGTAACAACTCTTGTTTGTTTTTCTTTGTCTTCTTCAACATAGTATTCTGGTTGTGAATTCGATGACAGGGCATCGCTGTCTTTCTTGGCAGTCATGATAGTTAGTTATTAAATCTTGGATCGTAAACCATGGTAGAAAATGGTCATATCCCAACTTTCATCTTAGTTTTTATAGATATTTCTTTTTTTGCAAAACAGATAAGGGACTACATAAGATCGATAATCTTTAATTTAATTTTTCATTGTTGATTTTAAGATTGCGGAATTTCGCGGAATTTCACAATCAGGTTCCAAAATGGCAAATAAACGCGCAAATAATGACACCACCACCACGGGCAGTTGAGTGTATCCGCCTTTTAAATCATACAGATAAGAAGGACAGGTTGATATGAATTGCTATAAAGCAAGATAGCGCTTATATCGCCCAATAGAAATGAAAAAAAAAATAAACTTGGTGGAAATATCCGATTTTGATAATGCATTGATTTCAAACAAATACAATGTAAACGATGAAAATACAGTAAGGGGTCAGTGTTATTCATTCCGGATCCTATTACTATTAGTTTGTATTCTATTAGGCTTAAACGCATCAGTATACCAAATAGGTACTACTAATAATCACCTACTTGTGGAACGAAGGGGAGGTGGGCAAGGGGTCATGTTAGATGCTTTTATCAATCAATCGAAATCACAAAAGGTACACCGAGTGTATTATTGCCTATTTATATCTTGCTTATAAAATTGATTCAACATACCTAAAACACCACCTTTTCGTCTTGAAGTAGATGCATTCATATCGTCTTGTAAGATACCACTATCATCAAATTTATAATTGATATCATAAATTGAAGAATTCAAACTTTGTTGTTCCATAGTTGCTCCAGCTTGCAAAGCATCTTTATCAACTGGTTTATTGACCCTTTTCACTTCACTATAATTCTCATTGAAATGGATATACAGATTAATCATTTTTTGATCATGTAAAGTAGACAAATAATCCACCGCTTCATCTGATTCATCAGAATAATCATCACTATTTTCACTATCACTTCTTTCCAGCTCGCTTTTGGATATCTTAGGCATATCATTGTCTCCACGGACAGTTTTCCTCATGGATTTCTTTTGGTATTTCTTTCTGTTCTTCTTTTTATTAGCAATCATCATATTCTTGTCCTTTTCTTCAAAATTAAACATGGCAAAATAACAAACATACCCCAACCCATCCACATGTATACTATATTCTCTGAAAAAATCAATTATAGCCCCACTATTCTGAGACACTTTCGCCCATAAGATATACGGAGTTAAAACCAGACTTAATATTTCATGTAAAATAATAATGATTTTCAATGAATACAATTCACAGAATTCATTCTTCACTTGGATGGTGTGTAGTTTCTTATTCCATGATGCAGGCAAATAATGGGTGAACTGAGCAACATATCTCAAACTAGCTTCTGGATCATATACAAATGTTGGAGAGGCAGCAGCAGATGGTTGGTTTGACATATCATGAGGAGATTCCCCAGCGGAACTAGCAGTGATGGCCCAAATGGTACCAAAAATCAGAATGTAAAACAAAGCAGATTTCCCCTCAGTGATTTCAAAGGACCAGAAGGAATGGCTTTCATCTTCCAACAAAATACCCATAATTACAAGAACTGCCAAGATAGAACCAGATATAAAATTAACCAATTTCATAGCATTAACTACAAGGAAACCTTTAGGGAATTGATCAATATAAGTGTTAGCTGGACCCATGGACATAACCAATCTTTTAGTGAAAAAATGCGGCAATTCATTAAATTCTCGTAACTTCCATTCCGCATAAGGAGTATATTGTCTTAAACCAACAATTGAAGCAGGATTGGACTTGTATTCGTTGAAATAACGAAAGAAATATAACAAGACAAAATAAATAACAATAAATGGTGATAAAATTAAGTTAATAATTGCTGCTAATTTGAACCTCGATGTTAATTCACGAGCCAAGTGGTTTCTATTATATTCCTTGAGAATTTTGCCATTGATTTGACCTTGTCTATTATATATGAAATTATCAATGCACAATTTTAAATTCCACTCCAATGTTTTTGTCAACACAGTTTTCTCATTCATAAACAATACAGACAAATCGAGAACATCCTTGTTTATCAAAGCAATCATATAGTTTTCACGTCTCATAATTCTGTTGGCAATGTCATGTGCATTCAATCTAACTTTGGAAGACAAGTCGTTGATATAATGATGTTCCGTATTTCCTCCCGACTTCGCATTTGAAGTTGAAGTTAAACTATTGTAATCTTTCAATAACATTAATCTTTCAACAATGGTCTTCCAACTAATTGTCATTAACTCATCATCAGATACATTCAATAAATAATGATAGAAATTCTTTACCTCCTTGAGTTTGTAATTGTAATCAAAGTAAAGTTGAATGACACGGAGGACAATATAGACACTGAATCCAAACAACAAGAATTTTATGAAAAGGGGGATATTATGCGAATAATGGGGTATAATCAAATCACTCAACGTAACACGCTGTAACTCATCATTGTTGTCCTGCAACTTGTTGAAAAATAGTGAATAGTTAATCCCCCATTTGAGAAATACTGTGAAGACCAAAATAAATACAAGAATTAAAAGATCAACTGTCCTTGTCAATACAATATTCAATATACCTTTCCCACGGTAGTAGTAATATACATCACTGAGAAATTCATCCATGTTTGTAATATTTGCCCACAAGTATAATGCACGTTCCTTCGGAGGAATCACAAACCTGTTTCTATTGTTATTAATTCTTCTATAGTTTGAATTACTAGCTTGCAACTGAGCTTGTTGTAATCTTTGATTAGGTTGTCTTCTGAACTGCTGATGGGTTTGATACATAGGCAAAGTTGGTTCAGGATGTTTTAATTTTCCAACCAAGTTTTTAGCTCTTTCTGGTAACAGAAATTTTATCTTTTGCTGATTATCTGAAGATTGTTGAGGTAGACTAGGTCGTACATATGAATCTTCTGATGATGATAAATCTGAATCCGAATCTGAATTAAGTAAACTGTTTGTTTTCTTGTTATTGCTATTACTCTTGTTGGCATCGTCGACATTAGAAGTGGGATCATTAATTATATTCATAGGTATATTTTGTTGATGTGGTAACAATGATTCATCTTCATCATCTTCATAGTCATTATGAATATCATCATTCCTTGATCGTTGTTCTTGTTGATATGAACTGTCAACCTCGGGGTCATAGTAACGATAGTTCTCTTCAAGTTGATTGTAAATAGAATTCAATCCAAATATCCTAGATAAAAAAGTATCATTATTATTATTATTATTACCACCATCTTGTACATATTCTTGAGAAGATGTTGTAGACATGTTTAAAGGGGCTCTTCGGGAAGTAGTATTGATATTGTTGCCATTGTCTTTATAGGGATTGTGCGATGTAGATGCCATGATTCATCCGTTTCTCACGTGGGATGTATGTGTAAATGTAATAAGGTACTTTAAACTTTTAGACAACACCCAATTGATTATCTCTGGCTTATCTTGAACAAACAGGTTTATTCCTTCCAAAAAGATAAGTGTTGGAGCGGTTGATTAGTACTGTCCACTTAATATTTTTTTTTTTTATTTTGGATTCTGCTCCCCCCTGGGTAGTGTACAACGGCGGAAAAAAGATAACGTGCATTTCTGTTAAATATCTTTGTTAAAAGTACACGACCTATTTTACCGATCTTATCGACACGTGACATATGCTACCAATTGAGGGGATAGATTTCATTAGTGGAATTATTTTGTGATTTCCAGATTTTAGGAACTAACACATTACATGACATTGAGAGTTTTAAAGGAAATCTACTCTTATCAAAAAAGAGAGGAGGGGAGAAGAGGTGGGCAAAGATTTATGCCCACATAAAGCAAAAAAGCAACCCAAATGATTTGAAATTGAATAAAATACGTGATGATTGGTAATAATAATATCAGAGAGTGTACCTTTGGTAATTCCCTTGTTTATTATAACTCTATTTTGAATATTATTTATTGATAACTAAAAAAAATAAATAAAGAAGAAACTTAAGATTATGTTATAATGTTGTTTGTAGAATAGAAATGAAGAAATGTTGAAATAGGAAATTGACCATGGTTAAAATAATCATGAAAAAAATTGCTTGTGCTTTTTATTTTTTTGTTTATTTACATGGAACCGAATATCAAAGTATGGCGGGGGAAATCCAGACATGCGACAGGAAAATCAGGTCAAAAAAAATATGACTTAGGATATCGGCGGCGGTGGGGGGGAATGTGAGAAAAGATAGGTCTTACATATACAGAAGAACTTACGAAAAGAGAAGTTAGCGATCATGATGTAGAATCCAGGTCAATATTGCCGTTGGTGCCACTTGATTTTTCAAAAAAATAGATACAGAGGGGAAGCCATTTTGACAAATTGGTGTGATTAATTTTTGATTTTGTTTGATTTTAGGATGTGGAGGTGGTAGAAATCGAAATGTTGGAAGGAGAGGGGAGGGGGAGTTAGACAATAAGAGTGATAGACTTTTTCATTAACTTGCTAACGTGTGTCATTGATGGTGACAATAGAGAGAGAGAGAAAGAGAGAGGGAGGGGGAGGATTTATAGGTAACAATAAAATAGGTTCGCATCAAGGGATCCTTGTAAGTGAAATTCCTTAAAAACTAAGCAAGTCAAGAGTAATGTGCAATACCAGTTTTCAAGAAATATTTGTGAAAAAGACAATGTTATGAATAGTATATAAGAAGAACAAACCAGAGATGAATAATATCTTACAAAAAGTTGCAAAAGAAACGAAAAAAATATTAAAAAAAAAAAAGAAAAAGCCATGAGAAGGTTTAAGCGTAGTTTATACTGATTATACATTTCTCATCATGTGCACATCTATAATAAAACTGAATGCAACATTAACCTCCTAGTTCAACCGTTCAGTAAACTCTTTAGCGTAACCATAATCTTGATTGAATGAAAAAAGGGGGGGAAGATGGGGATTATGAGATCGGCTTTATACATCTAATCATGGTACATAGTAAATCGACCATTATAGAACGCAATAAATACAGAGTTACAAATCCGTTCCCCACTCTTACGTTATGTTGCTTACATCTGCCTGTGCTTTTTTATTTTTCAGTCATAATCCTGCTTGACTGTTTGAATAACGATTTGCTATTATTATAATCGGTATTCATTTCCTATTGTCTTACTAAACGCAGATCTTACTATCCCCACCATAATGCATGAAATACACCTGAGTTGTAATCCAATATTTTCCGCACGAAAGTTAGACTCAAACAAATACAACAACCAGGGTGACTAAAGAACATATCACAATTGTGTACCTTTCTTCAACTTTTTTTTATAGTTTCTTTGAAATCAGTACTTTTTCGGACATGTAATTTCTTCTTTTTGTTATACTTTATGTACTATGATTACAACCGACTCACTTAAACAAACAATCGGTGCAAAATATACTTCCCAACCTATAGAAAAATTGACTAGTTTTTGTATTTTTAAACCCGTAACTTCTCCTAAAATTTCCAACTATAACCGGAATTAGAACCCAATTCCATCTCTTTTAGCAAAAATGAATATGAATTTTCTTTCTTTTTTTATTTTTAGGAATATGACTACCAATAAATTAGTTTTGTGCCCGGAGATTTTCAACAAAGACTAATCACATTCAAAGAGAAAGACTATTGTCTTAATTTCTCTTTTTATTTTTGGAATCATAAATCACCGCAAGATTAATGGGCCGTTATTTTATTTTATTTCTATGTTATTATTCTACAAAAAAAAAAAAAAAACCTGGGGAAACACATTTAATGTGTTTTCACCATAAGGACAAACTTGCCAAATCATTGTACTTATTTCCCTTACATGAGCATTACTGCAAACATATAATAAAGGTCCCTTGTTCTAGAAGAAGAGATGATGAAAAAGAAACGGAGAAAAGGACAGTAGAGGGAACATTGAGTGAACTGATTGATATTTCTTAATAATAAATTTTTTTAAATCGACGAACCAAAAGTGATAATCCGTATACAATACACCAGCACACACTCTTGTTATGTTGTTAGCCTTCTTCTTAATTGTGATAATTGGAGAGGAGGGGGGTAGTGCGACACCCAAAATAGTTTTGTACTACGAAAAAGAAAATTAGCGATGGGTTTTGTGTAACCGTACGCCCATTTCTCCTTTCTTCCCCCCGCCCCACAAAAAAAACATGTTGATTACATAATCCTCTATTAATATCCTGCATATTAACACACAATAATGAATTTGAATTTTTTTTGCCTTTTTTTTATATATTAGAAAAAAAATACAAATATATATATATCGATATTGATTTCACCTGGGAAATTTTTTTGTGGAGTGGTGGCTCTTCCTATTTTTGTTGATTTCTTTGTCATTTATTTCCTTCAACTGTTGTACATATATATATATATATTATTATTCCTGTCATCACTACATCTTATATTTATCTACTTAATTATTCAGTTATTGATCCTATCTACTACTACTACTACTATTACAATTACTACCCCATAAATTATGAACTCTTCTCCTACTTCCCCAGTTTCCCCGGTATCTGGTGATCATTCTTCAATACCATTGACTACCTCAATATCAAACAATTCCACCACTAGCGATTCTTCTTTAGAAAGTCAATCTTCCAATTATGGTACTAAAACACCATCAGGTAATGCTAGAATTTATAATTGTAAATTATGTCAACGAGCTTTTACTAGAGAGGAACACCTTACTAGACACACATTATCTACACACAACAAATTGAAACCATTCAGATGTGGTATTTGCAGTAGACCATTTTCTAGACGAGATTTATTATTAAGACATGCTAAGAATTTACACCAAGGTAGTGAAGTTGCTGTAAGTAGAATTAGAAAAAGTTATAAACATTCAAAGGAAAAACCATCATCTTCTTCTAAAATTTCTGTGCAAGAAGACTCGAAAAGTGAAAGTGATGAAAGTGACAATGGTGATTATGACACCAAAAATAATTATCATGTTAGTCCAATACTTCCAAAGCCAATAGTTGCTAAAGTTAACCCTACTACAGGTAATACTTCTATAACTTCATCTTCTACAAATCCAGCCACTACCACTCCAAGACAAATTGATGATTTCGAGACCCCAGAAAAAAAGAGATTGAAAATATCAGTAAACATGTTGGTCAGTTGAATCAACAAAAAAAAAATATAATATTGGTAACAAGAGAAGGAAAAGGAAGAATGTGATAATAGTTTCATAGTGCCTTTTTTTATTTATTTATTTATTTATTTATTATTTACTGGTACTCCATTTTGGCTTTTTCTTGGAGAGATGTGTTGGTTAATTATTCCATATTATTTATTCCTATATTTATTTATTAAGCGTTATTTTTATTTTCAAGAAAACTAGTTGTGGTTATTTTCTTTTATATATTTATTCATTGTCTGGGGTTTTACTTATTATTATTTTAGTTCTTTATCTTACAAATGTGTTTTCTTTTTTTTTGCTTATAGTCTATCTATCTACCTATCTATCTATCTGTTATTATTGTTTGCAATAGTATTTCTATTTTATTCAATTCTTATTGTCTTATGTGTTTGATGAATATACGTGAAAACTGCAAAAACAAAAAAAGAAACTGGCCTGGTGATACCACCTCTGCATCTACACTCACACATACACCACACACGTAGCTATTCTTCGAAAGTGGTGTTATACAATACAAACGGCATTTATGTCTAAAGAAAGAAAAAGTCATGTGCATGTGGTAATGAGTGGGACACACCCACCCATACCTAAACCAAGAGAAACTCTACCGCGGCGCTGTTTCCACCCCGCCTCCCACGTAACTATTCCGTCGTCATTGTAGTCATTTTACCTTCCATTATCTCTCCACCCCACTTTTCTTTTGGTAATTGTGAGTATTAGTGTTAGTGTGTTAATCTCGTCTTGTGTGATGTGACTGTTTAACTAGGCAACGGTCTCAAGATAATAAAAATATGTATATATCTTGTGTGCATATACACGACGTTGGTTCCCCATGGGGTAGAAATTGCGCAAATATGAACCAATCAGAATTGTTCTAACCCCAATCAATATATGTATTTTCATAGAAGAACATCAATCTCATAAGTTACAAATAATAAATCAACTTAACCGCGCTTTGAATTTTGGTTATTATATTTACACCTGCATTCATTGGCTGCTTGACGTTACATCCACAGAGGGAAAGAAAGATATCTTGAGTTTTTTTTTTGGTGAACTTTTTCCATTGAAACCCCAAGAAAAAGGAGAAAGAGAATGCATTACAATAGAACAATCAACTGACCCCGGATCCGATCTAGGGAAACATTCTTTGTTTTATTTAAAGTGCCACTGTAGATTATTATTTTATAATTGTCGGGTATATAATGGCGATATTGATTACCTTATTGAAATTATTACAATTACATAATAATCAGATCATTTTTTTTTTTTTTATTTATTATTAGTATTTATTATTATTCAGTCCTTACTGCAACACATCCAGGGATAATCAAATATACCAAGACATTTAATGAATTGGATTGAAAAATCAATGCAATTTAATGCTCCCGGGTTTAGATGTATCTCTGGTAATGTCTTTCTATATTGGCGTGTGTGTGTTTAGCTTCCCTTGTATACCCGATAATCGTGTGTTGGCTAAAGGTAAAGTGTAACAATAATGGAGATTGCCTTGTTATATTTTTACTTTTTTAAATCATACATATACCCAACCCACCCGGATGTAGTGTTGAAGTTGCTCTAAACCACCTCCGAGTGGAAATGCTTCTCTTTCTGTCTGTCTGTGTTCGTATGTGGCTGGTGGGACGAAAGGAGGGGCGGGCGGACAATGCTGTACCGCCAGGTTAGTGTAAATTCGTAATTAATTAGACGGAAAACTGGAAGTAGAAGTAAGAAGTTACAAAGAGGAATATGACTCGACTAGACAACATCGGTCGTATGATGAGGTTTGTTCTGAATCAGAGAGAGAGAGACATAGACACATGAAACGTACAGATAACATGACTACTATGCTTTGATAGTCCATCTTAAATCGTCTTGGATAAGCAAATCGTGCTGTTGAGAGAAACTCCGCGATGGTATGAAACAAAACAAAACAAAAAAAAATCTGCTCGGAAATTGAAGCGCAATGGATTGAAATGTATCTAATCTACCAAGGCTAATGCAACCTTTGTTCACGTATAATATCCCACTGACTTCATGGTATATAGTGGTAACTGATACTTCTAATCATTTTTATTTTAATAACGACGACAAATGCTCCTATTGGCAATTATATGATCTACAGGAACAATATGACATTGATATTCCCAAATTTGTTGAATCGATAAACTATGACGAATTGAGTGTGCTCATGGCCAAATCAAGAGGTGTAAACATAGAATTAAAAGATGAAAAAGAAGAAGTGCTGTCTAAGTCAGTGGGGATGAAAGAAGATGAGATAATAATTGAAAATGTTCAATCAACCCCTGTCGTGAGTTCACCACCACAACAACAAGAAAAAGCACAAGCAATTCTTGCTGGGTATTCATCAAGTGAAGACGATGAGGAGGAGGAGGAGGAGGAGAAGAAGAAGGACAAGGATGATTATGATGATGATGGTGAGAATGAAATACCAATCAATATTGATGAAATCACAGAAAAGGCGATTGCACAATATAAATCACAAGAAGATGAACAACTGTCAGATGATGAGGATGACAATAACTCCCTTGATTTATCATTAGATGATAATGATTCTTCAAATTCTATTAAACAAGATTTTATGAACTTATTAAATCAATGTTCTGGGAAATTTTCAATTTATGATAGTTGGGATTTAATTGAAGAAGAATTAATTGAAGAGTTTGTAAAATATCCTGAATTTTTAGCTATACTGTCCAAACAAGAAAGAGAAAATATATTTCAAAAATGGTGTTCCCAACAAGAACAGGAAGAAGGTGAGTCAAACAACGATGTGGTTATTGAAGAAAATACTGGTATTTTCCCGACTCCAAAGATAAAATTCTTAGAATTTTTACAAGATTTCAAACTGGATATTAAAGATTCATTCTATCAATCATTTTATGCTTCAAATTATATTAAAATTAATGAATTTGATCTACTGCCAACTATCAAAGAATCTATATTTCGGAATTATAAATTAATGCTTAATAATTTCACTAAATTTGCCAAAAATTTCAAGAAACAGAATAAAAATTCGAATCAAAATGTTAAAGTCATGAAACTTAATGAGTTTTTAAAAGGGAAATTATCTGGTTCATTCATCATAAATGACAATTTATCCCATTTTGATAATTGGATTAATCTTCTTAATGAAAATGACATTTCCGCAGAAATCGCGGAGAATGAAATAAATTTTCTCGTTGGTGATGAAAAAAGATTAAATAGTTATATCGAACAACTTCAATAGAATTACAACAATCATAGTCATGTCATCACGAATAGTAGTTACTGGGATGGGAATAGTAAGTCCCTTAGGAGTAGGATTATCACATAATTGGAAACATTTAATCTCTGGTAAATCAGGTATAATATCAACAACAACATTACCAGATTATGAATCAAATGGGTGGAATCAAATCCCTTCAAAAGTCATTGGTAAAGTACCGGAAGGTTCAATATCTGAAGGAAAATGGAATATTGAAGATCATTTATCATCTAATGATGCAAGACGTATGGCTCCATTTAGTCATTATGCATTAGCATGTACCCAAGAAGCTTTAAATAATGCTAAATTATTAAATCAAGAAACCAATAAATTAACCATTAAAGATACTACAAGAATTGGAGTTGCCGTAGGAAGTGGAATTGGATCATTTGAAGATGCTTATAATAATTCTATTGCATTTGATTCAAAAGGATATAAGAAAGTTCAACCTTTATTCATACCTAAATTATTAAATAATATGGCAGCGGGGAATATTTCAATTAAATATGAAACTCAGGGTCCATTACATGCTGTTTCAACGGCTTGTGCCACTGGATTACAAGCAATTGGAGATGCTTTTAATTTTATTAAATTGGGTTATTCTGATGTAATGATTTGTGGAGGTTCAGAAAGTTCAATTCATCCTTTAGCATTAGCTGGTTTCGCAAGAGCAAGATCAGTAGTTACTGATTTTAACGATGAACCAACTAAAGCAAGTAGACCATTTGATAAATCAAGAAATGGTTTTGTATTAAGTGAAGGAGCAGGGATTTTAATTCTAGAAACTTTAGAACATGCAACCAATCGAGGATTAACTGAAGATGATATTTATGGAGAAGTCTTAGGGTATGGAGTTTCTGGAGATGCGTATCATATTACAGCACCAAGAGAAGATGGAAGTGGTGCATATAATGCTATGAAACAAGCTATTTCAAGAAGTGGTATTGAATCGGAACAAATTGATTATATTAATGCCCATGCCACATCTACTGTAATTGGAGATAGGGCCGAGAATAATGCAATGATGAGATTATTTAATCCGGAACGAACCAAAGTTTCTTCTACAAAATCTTCAATTGGACATTTATTAGGAGCTGCTGGAGCTGTGGAATCAATTTTTACAATTAATGCAATTAAAACTGGTCAAATACCACCAACTTTGAATTTAGATAATATTGGACAACATGAAAATGATGATTCATCTCAATTCAAATTTGATTATGTTGCTAATAAGAGCATTACTAAAGATATAACATATGGTTTATGTAATTCATTTGGATTCGGAGGGGTCAATAGCAGTTTATGTTTTGGTAAATACACTCCTTAATATTATAAAATATGATTGGATAGTTTAAACTTAGATCTGTATAAATACAACCCTATAATTAACTCTCATTGTCGATGTGAACACACGTTGATTAAATAATTGTGGAACCTGCCATTAGTATATCAACTTTACTAGCGCTTAAAAAAATTGATTGCAAAAACGGTTTGCAGAATTGCGAATTCCATTATTATTTTTTTACAAGAACACCCAAGGCAAGATGCCACAGTTTTGGTTATGGTTAATAATGTGGCAGTATATATTTAATATAAACTTCGGGAGAGATTGATCTGGAACCGATTATAATTTCTTGATACATGTGGGATGTGGTATCTTAATATATATAAACTATATTAACTTCTTATTTTTTTATTTTTATTTTTCGTTTTTGTTTCTATGGATATACTTTTCGTTATAGAAACTATATATACCATCATGTCCACTAAAACCATTATTGAGGAACCTTCAAAAAAGAGATTTAAAACCAATAAGTCAGAGATTATATTTAAGGAAAAATATAGAGAAGAAACTTCTATTGATGATGACGGCGGTGATCACCAACCAATACAAATTACATTCAATCAAAAACATCAATCTATTTTACTGATCACTCATTTGAAAGATCCATTAAAATTACAAACCAGATATCCTATACCAGATTTAAAACCATATGAAATATTAGTTCATAATAAAGCTATTGGTTTAAATCCTATTGATTGGAAAGGTAAGAAATATGGATTTGGTATATATCATTTCCCATGGATAAATGGAAGAGAATCAAGTGGAGATATTGTTAAATTAGGTAATAAAGTTAATCAAACAAAATATTCAATTGGTGATAAAGTTATAATCAGCTCAACAAGCTATCGTGATAATAGAACTTCAACATTTCAACAATATACAGCTATTGATTCAAGATTAGTCTGGAAATTACCTAATAGTTTTAGTTATGAAGATGGTGCTACTATTGGTGTTGGTTTAGTTACTGCTGGGATTATATTCTATAATTCTTTTAATTTTGAACTATCAGATAAACCTGAAACAACAAAAGGTACGATATTAATTTGGGGTGGTGCTACTGTTGTTGGACTTTATCTTTGTCAACTTGCAAAAATTCATGGATTGAAAGTTATCGCTATTGCAAGTACTAAACACAAAGATTATCTTGAGAAATTAGGTGTTGATCATTTAATAGACCGTCATTTATCCGAAGATGAAATTATCCAAAAAATTGACAAAATTGAAGAGATTGATCATATTGATTATGGTGTTGATTGTGTTAGTAAAGATACATCTAATGTGGTATTAAGAATACTTGATCATAAACTGAAAAAACCCCTGGATGGTGAGTCTTCAACTAAACCTAAGTTTTCAGGAATTGTAGGTGTACCAAAAGATCATCCAAAAACTGTTGATGTTAGAGAGGTTGTTATTAAACGCTTCCACGAAGATGTTTCCTATGGAGAGAAATTCATTGAAATCACCAATAAATTCTTAGAAACAAGACAAATTGAACCTGTACGATACAAGCAGTATAAAGGAGGGCTTCATATTATAGACGATGCTTTAAAAGATTTGGAAAAGATCGGAGCCAACGGTGAAAAATATGTTGTTAGTGTATAAATCAATTGATATATATACATATATACATATTCATTTCTATAAATCTATTATCACTTTCAACCCCATAATAAACTCTTTCTTTGTTGTATTGAATATTGTTCAAAATCAATTAATGAAGATTCACCACTCCAAAAACTAGTATTAACATATCTTATTCCATTTTTTTTATCAACAGTAGTAAACACCGCTTTATCTATTTCACTATCGGAAACACCAATTAAATAACCCCTTGAATCCATAATACGCATCCCCATTTCTTTAACATAAGTTACATTATAACTTTCTGCATCTTTGTATCTTGGCGAGTTATACATTGAAGTAACCCAAGGTTTGATTGAATTTAACGTTGATGTTGATTTTGATGATATTAAATCACTAATGTATTCTCGTACTAATGAATCATCAGTAACGGACCAACATTTCTCTAATGAAATTGATTTTATCCCAGTATAATTTTGTTCTTTGTCAACTCTTCCATTACTTACCCATTGAACAAAATCAGTTAATAATTTCATTACATGCATATGAGATTCTTCAATTGATTCACCATATTGAAAATTCAAATTTGTGAATTGACAGTGACGAATAACCACTCCTGTGTTTTCTCTAGTATTCACTGATATAGTTGGTCCAACAACGGCTTGATCAACTAAAGTTAACAGTCGATTGACTATCGAAGTAGATGGTCTTACTGCTGATATATATGCTTCTTGACGGAATTTAATTATATCCAATATTGAAATATCAAGAATAAGTTCTAATAATCCTTCAAATATATCGAGTAAAACATCTCCAATACATCCTTCGTATAATACCCATTTACTTTGATCGATAGTTGATTCACTTTTTCTTCTTTTATATCGAATGGTTAATCTTTCAAAATTAGTGGAATTCTTTTTAATTTCTTGTAAAAGACGAATTGTATCCAGATATCCAATAGTATATGAATTATTTAAAAACAATACAAGTTCATTGAGAACTATCTTATCTTGTAATTCATTAATCAATGGGGTTATCCCTATATCAAATGGTAGATTCCCGTAATCTAAAAACAAATCCAATCTTTTAAGACTCTTGACAGATTTTAATAGAAATGGACAATTGATTAATGTTTTAGCGTTAATTGCCAAATATTCCAATTTTGATAATTCAAATTGAGTCGTAATTAAATCATTCACACCAACATCCAAAACTCTTAATGCTGTAACATTTGGGAAATATTGTAAATCATCATTATTTAATGACAAGTTATCACATTCTAAATAAGATATAAATCTAGTCATTAATAAAGAATTCTCGTATCTTGATTTAAATGATTTATCACCAATAATATGATTTTTAAAACTTGATCTAGCTAATTCTGAATTCCCACAAGATTCAATATTTGAATTAATTAATTCTTTAAATAATTCCCTATGAATTGTTTTTTTATCACTAAAAGCTTCTTGTGATTTAGGTGTAGCCAAAATAGCATCAATTTGATTCAGTCGAATTAAACTTAAAGTATGAAATAATCTTGGGGATAATTTTATTCTTAATGTTGAACAAGTTGAAGATAATGAAAGGATATCTTTAAAAGCATGCGAAATTCGAGCTTTATTAGAAATATATGAATATTTAGGAATATCAATTAATGATTTCGTTCCTTGTAATAGTGGGATCAGATCTGGTGGGTATAATATATAATCTATTATTCGATCTAAAATATCATCAGGTAAATCTTCCAAATGAATAGTTGGATGCACTTTCAAAGATAGATATTCGTTAACAGGAGAACTTGACATTGTTGAATCATATAAGGTGCTAGTAAGTTAGAATAAAAGATTCAATTGTTAGTGGGAATTAATTGCTGGTGGGAATTAAGCGCCCCATGTTGATCTCAGTTATTATTTTTTTTTTAGTATTACCGTTGTTTGCTCTCGACCCGGAACCATCGCCACGAGCAACAGAAAACGCCACACAAACGGCACGGGATATCTACAAGTATCAAACATGAGTATATACATAAACAAAACGAAAACCCATAAATATATTAAAAAGAATAAAAGAATAATAAAAAAAGTCAAGTCCTTTCAGTTTATATTCAAGATTTTATACAAGAATAAATCTATTTAATAAAATGAAAGAAACTTTATTAGATATTGAATAAAAAAAGAGATTAAATACAAGGAAAATAAAGTGAAAATTAAGCACCTTAAACCTTGAAACCTCTAGATCTTCTTCTACCTCTAGCTCTTTCGAATTTTCTACCTTTAGACAAGATTCTTGGAGCTTTACCTTTGTGTGGACCGAAACCGAAGTGTCTGACAGCTTCTCTAGCGTTTCTTGGACCTCTGACAATCAAAGTGTTTTGACCTTTTGGAGCTCTCAAAGCTAATTGATCTAAAGTGATAGCTTCACCACCGTTTTTCAAGATTCTAGCTTTGGCACCAGCAGTGAATCTCAAAGCAGCAACAGTGGTCTTTGGGAATTCCAACAATCTGTTGTCATCAGTAACAGTACCAACAACGACGATGGTCTTTTCAGCAGCACCTTTTTGTTTCAAAGCTCTAGAAATTCTAGAAACAGAAACTGGTGGTCTGTTAATCTTAGACAAGAACAAAGATCTCAAGATAACTTTGTTGAATGGAGCATCAGTACGACCTAAAAGAAAATAATAGTTAGTATAAAATAATTCCATACAAGAGTCCTGCTCAGAAGACGCACAATATTCACTTCAATCAAAAGTGATAAAGTACTCGCAGAATGGTTTCCGATTGCTTATTAAACAATTCACAATCATCAGCTCGATGGGAGAAATATTCCCAGAGCAAGAATGAACTAGCCCAAACTTTCAGAAATCAAAAAAATGCATACTTGTAATGATTAGTTACCCTCATCGAAACTTTTAATAATCTTTATATTTCCTTGATAGTATCTTCACTATCTTAATAAAGATTAAATATTAAAAGGAATTTCACACGATGATTTTCTGCACATTTGATATTATCTTCAAATTTGAAACTAATTCGAAACCAATCAAGTCATATAAATGACACTAATGAATTCTTTCTATCATATGGATTTTAATAAATATCAGTTGTCTTCTCTCAGTTAGGATGGTGGGAATTCAGTTACATACGAGCTAAGAAGGAGTATAATTTGACTAACAATTTCAAGTAAACGTTGTCAGATTTTGGAGCAGTTCTTTGACTGTGTCTGGCGTGTTGTTTAGTGGTGTGATCTCTACCCATTGTTGATGATTCTATTAGATGATGATAAACCAAAAAAAAAGGAAACGAAAGGAAAAGAAGGGAAATAGGTTATAATATAGTATATTAATATATATTGAAAAATTTTTTCTTTGTATCTCGGTTCCACTACACCTCCAGCAAAAAAAAAAAAATTAACTGCGAAGAACTCGTGCCAGTAGTTCGGTTTTTATTAAAATGTGCACGACTTGTTTCTGCTTAGGGCTACAGCCCTAATTACACGCCGCCGCACTTGTTTCCCAAAATGGGATGTCACGTTTTTGAATTTGCGTGTTGATTGAAAGAAATCCCACAAAATTAAACACAGAAATTCAACATCCACACAGTTATCAAATATCACGTCAAGAGAATCAATATCAGTTGGACACATATCTACAAATGGCACAACTAACACCTATACGAGGATTCACTAATACTCCAACGACAAAAACTATATGTATATTATCTACTATAATCCCACTAACGTTGTCCATACTATCACTCAAATATGTTGTTAAATTTGCCATTGATCCTTATATTATTGAATATAATCAGTTTTGGAGATTATTTGTTTATCAATTATCTGTGATTAATGAATCTGATTATTTAATTAGTGTTTTATTATGGTTTCAATATAAAGTGTTGGAAAGATATTATGGATCAAGGAAATATTTAAGTATTATTACCTTATTTTATATTTATAATTCTATTGTATGTTTATTCATTATGAGTTTAGGACAATTGGTGATTTATTATCTTATATTTAGTATTAAAGTATTTATATTTGGTTCAAATCCTGAAGATATTCATTATCAATTGACATTTTTAAATGAAATAACACCTGGTGCCTTGGGGGTTATATCTTCGTTGTATGTTTGTTTTAATACAAACATTCCAGTATCATATTATTTCAAAATATTATTAAAAAAACCTAAAGATGGTAATGAATTGGAAGAATCATCATCTCCAAGTAAGGAATTGAGTTTATCTAATTTGTTTCCTGTTCATATATTATACACACTTTTGTTATTGAATAATGGATTACAATCAATCATACCATGTTCTGTTGGATTGTTAATTGGGAAGTTGTATGTTTATGAATTACTTCCTGGTGGATCATCATGGTTAATACCTAATTTTATATTTCAATTAGTTATCAATCCAAATAGAAAGTTCAAAGCTTGGATTTATTTACTCAAGAGAAGATTTTCAAGATATCAAAGATTAAACGAAGATCAAGAGAATGATGTATCAAATTCATCAAATAATCAACATTCAACGGCAGGTGAGTCAGTACTTGATGAATCTCAATTAAATGAAGAACCCGATGATAATGACGAAATTTTAGATGAAGCAAGACAACAAGAAAGTCAAATTAGAGCTGAAACTCCTGTACGTCCATTAGGTAGTCAATTTCTTGATACTTTCAGATCATAATTCTACTTTATATGTATATTATAGAATAATATAGGCAATATATCATCATATCAAAAAATATTAACTAGGCTTTCATTTTCTTTCTTCTTTCAACATCCCAATTATATAATCTTGCAGTATTGACTTCCATAGTAGTGATGTTTTCTTTTAAAAATTCCAAATCTTCAGTAACAATATTTAATTGATCTTGGTTTTTCTTCAATCTTTCATTAAGTAATTCAACAGCTTCATCTAATTTATATTCCAACATAACTTCAGCACCAAGCCATAAATAAACAGAATCTAGATTTTCAATATTTATTTCAGCTTTATTATATAAAGTATCATTTAATTCATAATTTGTAATTAATTCATGTTGATTATTTTCTTTTTTTTCATTAATCAATTTAATTATTGATAAATTTTTTTCAATATCAGGAATTTTAATTTGTAAATCAGCTAATTGTTGTTTTTTAGATAATTCCATATATTTATACTGTTGTAATCTTTGTTGAAATAAATTCATAACATTATCAAATTCAGTATCTGGATTCTTAAGTACACTATCAACTTTTTCAATAAATGGAGCCTCTGGAATCCCACGAGGATTGGTGTTTTTTGGTCTATAATCACATTCAGTTAGTTAATTGATCATCAGAAATATGAAAAATTCATATAAAGAAGTCAACATACTTTAATAGTTCAGCCATTGGTGTGTAGTTGGTTATCTGATATCTGGAAAGTTCGATCAGATTTTCATAGGAATTTTTTTATTTTTTTTTTTTTGATTTTTGATTTTTGATTTTCGTTTCTTGCCTTGCGGTTGATATTGGTGATGGCAGCGAATAGGTAAAATGAGGATAGCCAGTAGAATCAGTATGTTCTTGTGGTATCCCTCAATTGATGTAAATGGTTATAAAAGTAACAGAGGGTCCATTGATCTACAGTCTGTCAATGTGTGTACCTTCTTGATATTTATTTGAATTTTGAAAGATATCACGTGATTAGTCATGGTTGTTTTGTTGAACAATTGGTTGAAAAAATAAACCAAAAAAAAAAAAATACACGCACCACCAACAAAATCCTGGAGTAATTCACTATCAACTATTTCAACATCAATAACTTTTTACATACATAATGTCTAGTGATACCACAAATCAATTCATAATTCATGATGCTATCAATGAAGGAAATATCTTGTTAGCTCAAAAATTAATTGAAGAGAACTCCAATGTTAAAGAATTATTTAAGAAAGATGATGATGGACGTACACCACTTCATCTTGCCTGTTCAATTAATAATTCAGAATTAGTTAAGTTTATTTTATCTAAATCACCTAAATATTTAGATATTGATGAATATACAGATGATGCAGGATTCACTCCATTACATGTTATTTCATCAGTTGGAAATGTTTCAATTTTTCAATTATTAATGAATTTAGATCCTCAACCTGATGTCAATTTAAAAACTAATACAGGTACTACATGTTTACATATTGCTATTGGAAAGAACAATTATGAAATTATTAAAGAATTGATTGAAACTTATAAAGCAAATTGTCGAGTTAAAGATAAAAGAGGTATAACTCCACTTCATAGAGCAGCAGCTATTGGATCTCAACCAATTGTTAAATTATTAGTTGAAAAGGGTAAAATAAATATCAATGCTACAGATGCAGATGGTCTTACTGCATTAGAAGAAGCTCGTTTGGAAGGTCATCAAGAAATTGTCAGTTTTCTAGAAAGTATGACCGAATCATAGTCTGTATAACTCGTTTATATATATACGTGTACGCGTCACGTGCAGTCATTACTGTACAGGAATTGTCGTTTATATGTAGAGGTGACGGTGATGTACAGCCTTGTCGTTGTTTTTTCTTCTTCATTCTTTCTTCCCCCACCGTTAATGAATTATGTCGTGATTAATTCTAGGAACGAATATTAATTCTTACTACGCTTTGATAGTTTAAAATTCAAAGATTCAACCATAATCATTTAAGAGAGGTGTGTATGAAAGTGAAAGAAAGGGGTGTATTTATATAAATATTGATAAAATTAAGGGAGGCTCGGAAGTTGCGAATTGAAAATTGAATCTTAGATGCAATGATCAATTCAAACAGGTCATTCAATTAACAGCCGTGTGTTTGTAGAAGTATTCTATGTACTATTGAACGAAAATTTGCTCGGTGAATTACAATTTTAAAATTGAGGTCGGATTTGAAAGATTAAATCCGGAGATGACCCACCTGCGAATTTCCGATCCTTCCTTTTCCTCAATCCCCCTTTCTAACAATACAGCAATCTTAAGAAAAAACTTTAACCAAGCAATGACCGGAATTGGTGGTTGTGTTATACAGTAAGGAGAGACATGACTATTATCCCTAATTGAAAAATGATGTCACACACACATATGTAAAGCCAAAGTCAAAGTCCATGCAAATTTCAATCCCTATCACACTCTCAAAAGCCAAGGAAACAAAGCTTTATAGAAGTACCGTCTTTAATCTAGAAGGATCGTTAAGAAAAAGTGTAGGTGGGTGTGTGGCATTGTGTTGTTGTTCATGATTTTTTGTTTTACAATTTAATTACTAAAGATAAAATGGCCCATTGACATCTGCAATTAATAAAAGATATCACACACAAACTATCTTTTCTAATTTGCTACCGAGATTGTGCCGATACAATTGACTCATGGGAGATTTTACTCGTAGCAATTAATCGACAGACACACATTCACACACACACACACACGGGAGAGTTAAGATTGCTTGAGTCCAAATAGAGGAATATAAACTCATGATTATTGGTATTCATTAAGAGAGGTGCCAATAGGGCAAAAATAATAAAACCTCGAGAATTAAGGAACCTTTGATATTATTATATACTGCAATATACACTAATCTCATAAGTAATTCATTATTAATCATTGCTTGAAAATAAGAAAAGAGCCCGTCGAAGATTGGCCATAATTTTATTCATAACCTTTACTAAATGAAAAACCCAAAGCCAAAACTAAAATTTCCTCGAAGGTTATTATTGGAGATGGGCGGTCAATGTATTGATGTGTGGATGTACAGGACCTGTTTCGGATTTGTGTGACAATTTCAAGTGGTTTGTGAATTTCCTAATTGGGATTTTACCCGAATAGCCCGTAACGAAAACATTAAAGCCCGACAAGAGAGAGACAGTAGACAAAGGTGCGTCTTACTGTTAAGTTCTTTATTCTTTACTAATGATTAACAAGGTCCAATTGGTGTTGTCTACGTCTCAATTGAGTGGGTTCAATAACATATGAATCAATTGGAGGATTATTGGTAGTGAGAAGTGTAAGGAATCACTGCACGACTTGGTCCTTTTGCGTGTCCTGTTGCCCAAAATTTTGCACCTCTGAGATTATGCAGAAGTTGGTCAACGTACATGAAGGAAATGTTTTGAAGTCTCCCTTAATTGGAAAAGGACAAAGAATTATTGTGTAAAGAGATTTTTTTTTATTAATTAAAAGAAGAAGAAGTTAAAGAAGAAATAGAAAACTAAAAATTCAGCCCATTGTATTGTTGTTATTATTGTTGTTGTTGTTGTTGTTTATCCATGGGATTTCTCAATACAAAAAAAAAAAAAATTATATAATTGCTTTCACTTTCCTTAAATTTTTTTTTAAATTGTTTTTCACTTCTTTTTCTTTGAAATTTAGTAAACTTGTTGAATTTATTCATTTTTATATTTTATTTCATAAAAATCAATTAGTTTTCTTCCTTTTATCAATTTCAATTTGTTTAACAAATATTCAATCAATTCACAATGTTAGCTATTGGGGACGTTATTTTAAGAGCATTCAATTTTGTATTTTTGGCCGTGGCCTTGGGTTTGACAGGTTCTCTTGCCGCAACTACCATTAGACATCACAATCCTCAAGTCAATTTTGCTGTTTTCGCTGCAGCCTTTGGTCTTTTGACTTCATCTATCTATGGTGTCTTTGCTTACTTTATTTCTGCCCTTGCTTGGCCAGTCATTTTGTTCTTGTTTGACTTCTTGAACTTTGTTTTCACCTTTGCCGGTGCCACTGCCATTGCTGCTGCCATCCGTGTCCACAGTTGTGGTAACGACGAATACGTTGACAGAAACAAGGTTTCTCAAGGTTCTTCTGCTAGATGTAGAAAAGCTCAAGCTTCTGTTGCTTTCTTGTACTTTTCTGCTTTTATCTTCATTGCTTCAGGTATTTTCAGTGCTATCTCCCTTTTCAGAGGTGGTTTGTTTGGTCACAGATCTAGACCAGCTCCAAGAACTGGTGTCCCAACCATGTCTCAAGTTTAAATTTAATGGATTTTTTTTAAACGCATAGTTGTAACCTTTTACAAGGAGAAGAAGAAGCTCAATTTCCTTGAGTTTTTATTATTTTACTGTTAATACCCTTAACAATCATTCATCATTTACATTTCACTTTTACTACCCATTCATTACATCATCTACATCCATACCATTATTAATATTTTTGAACATAAAGAAAAAAAAAGTACTATTCTACCAAACATTCTTTCTTCCTAATTATATAATTGAATTATCTTGATTGCTTTTTGACGAATAACCTACATAATCTAATCCTGGTTTTATTTTTTTATTTTTATTTTTATTTTTAATAATTTGTAACATTTGTTGGTTTCATTATTTTATTTTTATCAATTTTCACTTTCATCTATTTTTAAGGGTTAATATTATTATTATCTATGATAAAGAAGGGAATTCTGATGAAAAGAAGGAGGGTAATTCTTTATTAATTAATTTCTTATTTTTTTTTTATATATATCACTTTTACTATTATCAAACTAATAATTATCAATTGTGAAAAAAAAGAATTAGTTCATTGTGTATGTTTACACAATGAGCTAAGGATTGATCACAGTATTTTGATTGATATCAATTGTATAGGTTTGAGATGGTTGTGTTTATTCTATTATCTTTTTTAGTTTATTATCCGTTATTTTGTTATTATTATTATTATTATTATTAACTATTATATATATACATCCTTTTTTATAATCAATTAATTGAATTGAAATTGCGTTCCATAATAAAGGGGAGGGCTGATTGGTGAGATGGAGATGAACATGGAGGAGAAGATAACTAAAGTGGCTTTTATGCAAGATGAACTTTGTATAATTATTGTCGCTTACATGGAACTCCTTCGTGACCCCATCCCTTGTCCTTTCCCCCCTTTTTTTTTCTCCATTGACTTTATTGACCATCCCCCCATTGATTGATTGTTTGCTTGCTCATCTCAATCATCTTCTTGCTCTAACCTTAACCGCTTGTATTATATCCTCTTGCAATAGTCGCGGTGGAGGTGGAGGTGGTGATGGCCGTCTCTCTCTCCTCCCCCCCCCCTTTATTCTAATTGGTGCAAAAAGTGAAACAGGTCATACGATGATAAATTGTACAGCGTCATGCACGACCATACATTTTTCAATGAAAAATTCAACAATTTATATTTATACTATAAACGTATACCATTAATATACTCCATAGTATTGTTCTTCTTTTTCTTCTAATTATTATTTTAACCTTTTTCTTTTCTTTAATTCTTCCCCCCTTTTTTACTTTTATATTTGCTTCTTGATTCTTCCGTAATTGGTTTATTTTCATGAAGAATTATCTATTTCATTTGACATTACTGAACAAAAAGTGATCATCTTATTATTATTATTTGATTTCAACAGAATATCAGAAAATTGGTCCAGATCTTTTTCAATACTTTCCTTGATTAAAAATTTTTCAATTCATTTCATTCTTATATATACATACTTTTAACCATCCTACTAGGAAATATAACATTACCCTTATACATTAAATTATAGATATCATAACACACTTTTTTATCCATCATGTCAAGACATTCATCACGTAAATGCTCTCTAGCTATTGAGACTCCAATTGATGAAAGGGCTCCAAATAATCCATTGAATGCATTTTTAGTTTATAACAATAATAACAACCATACTAACATAGTAGCATAGTGTTTTATTAACTGGAAATAATGGTTAAGAAAAAATTTCTCCTACAACCCCACCAGTTTCAAGAAGAGACGACAATGAACGTATTTTAATCCATCATGGTAATCCACCAGATTATTCACCAATGATTCAAAAATCTTCATCCTTACCCAATTTACAAGATACTGGAACAAATGTAAATACTACTATGTTTGGAAATCGACGAATTTCAATATGTGATTTGAATAATATCAATGATGAAATCAATCATCAACATCATAATCAACATCATCATAGCCAACCTAACAACCAATATGATAGTTTAATGTATCTGAATTTATCAACTACTGATACTCCTAATACTCCCAGAAATTTAATTCATCGTTCAAAAACAGTTCATGAATTGCCAACTAATAAAGAACAACAACAAGAAGATGCATTACCACCGATTTATTTTAATGAACAATTTAGTCATTTTCATTTTAGGAATCATAAACGAAGAAATTCAGTCGCTTTAAAATTTGAAGAGCCAAAGATTTTATAAATAACATAACAAGAGTATATAATTGGATAGTGTGTTTATTATATATATAACCATTTGGAGCTGTTTTGTGTTTAAAACCAATAAGTTGCAAAAACCAAGAAACAAAGAGGCTATAATCGACGATGATCTATGATTATGTGTGACAAACCACATATTCTAGCATTCTAATCTTACTAAATCTCCAGAATGTTATAATCATTGACATAAGAAATGACACACGAAATTTTACCATTATCTTTAAGGGGAAGAAAGAAGAAGAGGCAGTGTAGTAAAAGTAACAAACGCCTTTTATATTCAACCTGGAAACTCTTTCAAGGTGTGTATATTGCATATATTAATTGTCTCAAAAAAAAAAAAAACATAGAGCTAGATGTAACATTATGTAATAGGGTTGTATACTATAGTGAAGACTCCTTGCATAAATGAATTTCGATTTTCAATCAGCAGATGGGAAATGAGTGGAAATGATGCGTTGAAATGCAAATGGTGGATTAGGAATAGAGTGGGAAGTTATGGGAAGTTTATTATATACTTGGTTTGTGACAATAGTGGAGAAACCTACAGTGCTAATGCGGAATATCTGGGATACATATCTGTGTTCAATGAAATATTACACATCGTTGGTGGATCAAGAATCAACAAGAGTTACGGATTAATTGGTAAAACCATCATTATCTTTTTGCAGAGATGATTAAAAATAGCAACAATAAGGCTAGAACTGAACTGAATTGACTAAAGCTGGTTGAGGTTTTTATGAAACTCATGGGTTTATATACAGGTTTCCGGGTTTTGTGACATTGGCCATTTTATTTGAATTACGTAATCACCAGGGGGAAAAAGAGGAGGCGGCGATTTCAAGAACAACAACAACCACGACGACGACTGCTGCTACCACAAATGCCACCAGTTGATTAGTTCCACTTCAACAATAAGATAACAAAAACTATGGTTAACCTTGTCTTTTCTTTTTTCTTTCTTTCTTTGTTGTCGTGGTGGATTTCTTTTTTGTTCCAAGTTGATGCAAGCACGGTTACTTTTCCTTTTGGGGATTATAGGGGGAAATTGAATTCCTTGCTATTTTTCCTTTATTTTAAATTTTCAAATTTTTAATTTTAGATTATTATGCTGCTTTCACATACTTGAACGTGTATAGATAAATCTTTATAAATATAAACCGACAATGATCAAATGATTTGAAAATAATTTTTATAATTCAAAATTTATTGTTTTCTTTTCCATAAGTTTTGAAATATTTTCACATTCGTTATACTTCTACTACTATAACATCAACAACAACTACTACTATTGATACCCCTTGAACAATTTTGTGTGATTTATATACCAGTTAACTATAAGGTACACACTTTTGTTTAATTCTTGTCCTTGTTTTCCTCTTCCCCTGGAGCCGTTGTTGTTTATTATTATTGTATAAATACGACTAGTTCATTACCCACACATACACATACACACACACACCCAATCAACAAATCGATATCCATTCGCTTATACCAAAGTTATATTTTATTTTACTTCATAAATTAACATGACAAGGAGGAATTTAACACACAATAATACCCCCGAAGAAACTACAACCGGTACTGATGGTATTAATTCTGAAAGTAATAGAACAAGTCAAGCTGATAGCAATTATAATAGACAATCATATCCACTGTTTACTAACCCATTTGAAGGTAATGCAGTTACCGATAACCAATCATCATTTTATTTAGAAGATCAATCGAATTCAAATTTCACTTCTTCCACAGTTTCATCAAATTCAAATCCTGATTTGGTTAATCAATATGGTCGTCCATTTACAGTTAATACAGGTTATTCAAGTGATGAGAGTACTTCATATTTATTAAATGGCACTAACACAACAACGACACCTGCAAATGGTGCTAATCGTAATTTGGAAAGACCAAGAATTGGCATTGAATCGTCTTCATCTTCTTCAGATCCGTCTAAAAATTCATATTTAAGACCAACCAATGTAAATGCGCCTTCGGAATATGATAGATATCCAAAAATTGATATGTCAAATTCAAATTCTTCAACTAGTATAATGAATCGTAATAGTAATATTATTCCATATATAAATGATTCAATACCTTCTTCAACTGCATCCCTACCGAATGGAATTTCTAATAATCAACAAAAGAAAACATATGGGGATTATTTTGACATTAGTCCATTTGGTGGATATCCAGCAAGTTCATTCCCCTTAAATATAGATGAAAAAGAACCTGATGATTATTTACATAATCCTGATCCAATAGAAGATGAAATTTATGAAAAGCATCGATTTTGGAATGATTTGAAAACAGCTGATAAAAAATCTTCATTTGGTATACTTGGATTTTTATTCTTATTAGCTGCCGGGGCAGCTGTTTTCATTGTATTACCAGTATTAACATATTCTGGAGTAACTACTCATCCAACACCTGAACATTATGAAATTTTAACTCATTATTCATATCCTATGTTGAGTGCAATTCGACAAAGTTTAATTGATCCAGATACTCCTCAAGATTCTTTAACTATGGAAGCTAAAGATGGTAGTAATTGGGTGTTGGTATTTTCTGATGAATTTAATGTTGAAGGTAGAACTTTTTATGAAGGTGATGATCAATTTTTCACAGCCCCTGATATTCATTATGATGCTACTAAAGATTTAGAATGGTATGATCCAGATGCTGTAACTACGGAAAATGGAACATTAAATTTACGTATGGATGCTTATAAGAATCATGATTTATTTTATCGTTCAGGTATGGTTCAATCATGGAATCAATTATGTTACACACAAGGAAAAATTGTTATATCTGCAAGATTACCAAATAAAGGTACAGTGTCTGGATTATGGCCTGGTTTATGGACAATGGGTAATTTAGGAAGACCAGGATATTTAGCATCAACAGAAGGAGTTTGGCCATATTCTTATGATTCATGTGATGCAGGAATAACACCAAATCAAAGTTCACCAGATGGTATATCATATCTTCCAGGACAAAAATTAAATAGTTGTACATGTCTTGGAGAATCACATCCAAATCCCGGAGTTGGTAGAGGAGCACCTGAAATTGATGTAATTGAAGCTGAAATAAGTACTGATACAACAGCAAGAAGAGAAAATATTGGAGTTGCTTCACAATCTTTACAATTGGCACCAATGGATATTTGGTATTATCCCGATTATAGTTATTTGGAAATTCATAATAAATCAATTACAACCATGAATACATATACTGGAGGTCCATTTCAACAAGCATTATCAGGTACAACCACATTAAACAAAACATGGTATGAATTGGGAAATAATGAACATAATTTTCAAACTTATGGATATGAATATTTAAATGATGATGAAGATGGTTATTTACGTTGGTTTGTAGGTCAAAATCCAACTTTAACTGTTTATTCTCAGGCTTTACATCCAAATGGTAATATTGGTTGGAGATTCCTTTCAAAAGAACCAATGAGTATGATTTTTAATTTAGGTATTTCAAATAATTGGGCTTATATAGATTGGCCAAGTTTAACATTTCCAACTACTTTTAGAATTGATTATGTTAGAATTTATCAACCTAAAGATGCTATTAATGTTGGTTGTGATCCTGATAAATTTCCTACTTATGATTATATTCAACAACATTTGAATGTTTACACTAATCCTAATCTAACGACTTTTGAAGAAGGTGGTTATGAGTTCCCAAAACATAAATTAATCGGATGTTAATGTTGTATCATTATTATTATTACTATTATTATGTATTTGTATTAATCATTGGAATAAATATTTATCTTATTTATATATTATATATGTAATCTATTTTTAGTGTTTTACTTCTTCTTTTTAATCACATTAACATTGACACCAATTCCTCCTAAACTATCCCAAACTGCTTTATCAACCTGTTTAGGTAATTTTCTACCATATAGACATTGATCAACTAACCACATACCAACAAGAAATTCATTTCTATTTAATGTACCATCTCTTCTAAAATCAACTAAATTCCAAATTTGTTCCAATATATCATTTGGCAATCTACTTCTTTTCCAAATTCTTTTAACTACTGATCCACATATTAATTGTTCAATTTCAACTGAATCTAAATTATGTAAACTATTATGATTATCTCCAATTGGTATTGCTGATAATTTAGCTGCTGTTCTTGAATGTTCTAAAGTACCAATCTCCTGTACTTGTTGTTGCTGTTGAATTTCTTTCGATGTATCATAATTAACTCCATTTAGTTTAATCATAACATTTTTCATATAATTTCCTTTATTACTAACCCAAACACCTTCATATCTTTTCTTTTCTTGATCAGTTAAATAATTCAATTCATTATGATTTTTCCATGGTTTTAATTCATCAAACATAAATTTCTTATCTTTTCGTTTAGTTTTTCTCATGGTACTTCTAAATTGCACAGTTTGTTGTTGTCCAATCAATGGAGTTGATGATCTCAGTGGTCCATTACTTGATGGATCTTCCACTGCCATTACTCCTCCTTCATACTCATCATTATTACCATTAAAACTCAGATCCATAGTTCCAGCATATGAATCACTACTTAATCTGAATGAATTTCTTTTTATTTTGAATAATGGATTATGAGGATAATGGTGATGATGGTGGTGATGGTGTTTAATATCTGGGAATTGTGGGAAAGTTTTATTTGAATCACTAGGGATAGAAACAATAGGTAACATTTCTTGCAGTTCTTGATCATCAGTTAATGAATAAAGATCAGTAGGGTTTAATGAATATGAACCACTTGAAACAGTTTCTCTTGACTTATCATTAAGATACATTTTAAATTCCTCTCCAGGAGGAGGTTTTCTTCTTAATCGACTTGATATTGATACTTTATCAGTATTACTTTTAACATCTTGAATCTTATCTGTTCCTTCATCAGAACAATCCTCGTCTTCGTCATCTTCATCATACTCCAGTCTTCCTTCTACAAATTCCAGTTCTTGATCATTATCTTCCTCATCATCATCGTCATGATGTGTTATATCGATACTAATACCATGTGGTGCTTCTCTACCATCAAAATTAGAATCAAAAGAAGCAAATGAATTTTGATCCAACAAATATTCATCGTCATCTTCATCATCATTGTAAAAATAACCATAATTACCACTATTTTGACTTCTACTTACTTCTAATCCAGGAGAAAGTGCTAAATTCCCCATGCTACTAGAAGCTATTTTTCTTGTATTATCAAGACGATCTCTCATTTCATTCAACATTGATTGTCCTTTTTCAGAAGGTTGTAAAACAGGGGAAGTTTTAGCTTTTGAATTAATTGACTGTCGTAAATTTTTAATCATTTCTTGTGGCGAATAGTCTGTAGATATACGTTTTGACAGGGCATTATTTGGAATTGCTTTTAATTCAATTGATTGTTTTACATTCTCAATCATTTCTTTAGGCGTATGTGTCAGATTACTTGAGGTTTTGGAATTACTACTTGGTAACGTCGAAAGCTGATGCTGATGATGATTAGTATTAGGTGATTCTTTCAAGGTTGATGTAGTTGATTGTCTTCTTGTAGTCATGGGACTAACTGGAGATCTTGAAATGTAAACAGATGTTTGTAAGGATGGAGTAGTACAACCGCCACTAGAACTCGATGTAGATGCCGAAGCAGAAGCAGAAGCAGAGGCAGAAGCACTTGCCGATGCTGCGGCTGATATGGATGAACTCATTGATGTATCTACTTTCCTTAGTTGTGAAAACTTATTAGCAGTATTTGATTTTGTGATTGGATGAGTAGGTACTGGATTACGTATTGACTTTGAATTAGTACTTGATATTGAATATGACGAATGATTTTCAAGTCCATATGGTTTATTAATTGTTGTTGTAGATTCATTCTTCTTTTTACCGATAGCATTAAACGCTGCTAGCGCAGCGGCATTGGCAGCAGTATTGCCTGACATCTAAAAGTATTCAAGTCTTTGAACTATGGATGAAGAAGGGTGGAGGAGTGGAAAGGAGGATGTGTCCACGGTGATAATCCAACAACAACAGCAATCAGTTATGACGTATTGTGTATTTTTAATCTTGGGATCAATTTTTTTTCTCTTTACGTGAGTTTGTTGCTTGTTCTCGTTTGGTTGGAAAAACTACGCCCGGGTTAATTTTTTGTGTTGTTTCTCAGCACGGTGGCTGGGTCGAGGAGCGGTGCCAGAGGGGAGGCGCCGATGAGTCGTATACCTCGCCCGTCATGAGAGATGATGCCAAACGAACGAGTTTGATAACCGATCTATCGAATTAAGAGGATACTACCAATGAAAGCTACATAAAACATCTACTTTCTCTTCTTTTTGGAGGAATTGGCATATCTACCACGTCCAACCTTAACACCAGAATTTCTAAGAGTGTTAGTATCACCAAATGGAGAAACATAATTATCGGCACTACCACCACCAATCCAATCTTGTAACATTTTATCTTGTTGTCTTCTTTCCCATTCATCATTCTTGATAGCTTGTTGATATTCCTTTTGATCTTCTCTTAATAATAATGGATTTTGTAATGATTTATGACGATTTTGTACATTATGTTGAAATCCACCATTACCTTGTAATTTTTGTTGATTTTTACTTAATGGAGAAGGTAATGAAAATCTTTCACCACGTCTAATCCAATTGAAATTTTGTTTTAAATGTGGAGTGATTTTACCTGTTTTATTATCAATTGAAACAGCACATCTTAATAATGTATTACCACCACATTTAGGACAGAAATGTTTTGGTTTACCATCTTTACTCATTGGTGTTAATCTGAAACATGCGTGACATCTGTACATATAATTACGTACTCTTGTGATTTGTTTACCTGACATGGCATTTAATAATTTAATACCAAGTTGCATAGCTACATTTTGACATGCAAAATCACCAGTGGCTAATGCAACTTTAATAACTGGTCCTGAAATTGCTGAATCTTGAACTTGTTCATTTTTATCCTTTAAAATTTCTTCTTGTAAATTATCTGGGGTGATCCATTCTCCATCATCATCTTCTTCATCAAATTCTTCAGTTAATTCTTCAGTTGTTTCCTTGGGTGTTTCTTGTACAGGTTCTTCTTGAGATGTTACTTCTGGACTTGATTCTTCTTGAATGGATTCTACTTCCTTTGATTCTTCCTTTGATTCTTCCTTTGGTTCTTCCTTTGGTTCTTCCTTTGGTTCTTCCTTTGGTTGTTCTTGTTTTGGTTGAGGAGTAAAAGTTGGTAACAAACCTTTCTTTCTTAATCTTTCCTTTTCTCTTTGTCTTCTTCCACCTCTTCTCTTAGTAGCAACAATAAACCCATCATTATCTTCACCAATATTACTAGTAGAGTTTTCACCTTGATTTTCTTGTTTTTGACTTTCTAATACTTCACCGGGAAATTTTCTTAAATTTGATTCACCATTATTCAATACTTCTAATTCATAAGCTAATGCAATAATATGTAAATCATTAACTGATAAAACAGAATAATCACCAGTTAATTTAGCAAACTTTATAGTCTTCTCAATATATTCAGGTTTAGGTTGTTTTATCTTTAAATTATCTCCCCAGATTGCTAATTGTTGTCTAGCATATTCATCTTTTAATTCACTATGTACCCCTGGTGTGGTATAATATTCAGTGGCATATTGTTGTAAAGTGGTAGCTGGTTGAGTGATCAATGGACCAGCATCTAATACCAAGGATTGAATATTCTTTGTCTCCGACATGGTTGTTCCCCTATTGTACTGATGGTGATTTAAAATGATTTGTACTGAAGATGATAAATTTTTTTTTCTTCTTCATATTGGGATGAGTTGTAAATTATTGGTTTACACACGCATTGTTCTATCGGATTTCAGTTACTATTAACGAAAACTACTTCTATTAGCGACAAACACAGTTGCTTATGTTTTATCTATACCGCTCTTAAATATTAACCAGACATAACAATAATGGAGTTCTCGGCAGTTTTATATTGTATTAAAGTTCTAACTACTAATGAAAACAGAAATATCTAGATGTTTATTATCTATATCAATATTACAGAAGCTACTTAAGCAGACAAAGCAGCAATTGACTCTTCAGCGGTTTTAGCTGCCGATTGTGGGTTCACACCAGTGACGATCTTACCATCAGTAACTGTGAAATTATCCCAAGGACCCTCTGGTTCAATATAAGTAGCCCCTTCTTTTTCAGCAACTTGTTTAATAGTCAACAAATTATCCTTCTTCATGATATCAGTCACTCCTAACATATCTTCACCAACATCAGTGAAACCAGTGATTTTCTTACCTTTAATTAAAGGTTCGTTTGTTTTTGGATCAATTAAATTTTCAAAAATTGCAGGTCCATGACAAACTGCTGATACAACACCACCTTTATCATAAATTTCAGCAGCTAATTTTTGTAAATTTTTAGCCTTTGGATAATCAAATAATGTTCCGTGTCCAGCACTACCAAAGAAAATATCATAATCTTTTGAAGATACATCTGAAGCTTTCTTGATATTTTTCAAATGAACATTATAGTCTGAATTTTGATCTTCAAAAATGTCTTTATCTTCTCCAGTCAAGAAATCTTCAGAAGTACTATGTTCATCATATCCAAAGGTACCAGTTTCAGAAACAAATTGAATTTCATATCCTTTCTTCTTGTAAACTTCAAATGGGTGCAATGCCTCAACGACAAAAACACCAGTTCTTTTTCCATCAGCATAAAAGACTGGGTTAGCAGAAGTAAGAGCAAGTAAAACTTTGACCATATTGTTGTAATAATAATATGTAATAATTTAATGAATTGATATAATATCAAGAAAAAGGAGAAAAAAATATACAAGAAGTAAAGTTCAATTTATATTTATAGTCTTCTAAGGGATAACTGTGTCATATGTATTCTAGAAGTGTATTGTTCTTGAAATATTAAAAGAAAAGGAGGTGAATTTTGATTGCTCTCGGCCAGATTGATTTATCAAAGTACAAAAAGTCCGAAATCCTTTTGCAAATCTCGGCCGATGTTGACCTTGTTTGGGATTTGAGTTCTTTTGTAGAGGAACTTACTTATGGATTATATAGCTGACTAATGATGATAATTAGACTTTAGTTAATTGAAATAATGACTATGGAATGTTCTATGGACTGTTATTCTATGATAAAAATTTCATTGATTTCTGGACAGTTGGGTGCCATTTCATTTTTTTTGAACAATTCAGTACACCCATCAAAGAGAATATTGATAGGTTAATAGCACAGTCATGGTATCAATTTCAGTAATTACATATCTATATAATCACAATTCATGGTTTATGTTGGGCAGATAAATTAATTGAATGGTTGGGGCCATCGAAGTAGACCAGCTTCGTTTCGTGTTGAATTGAAGATCTACCAATTTATTTCCCCACCTACATAAGTTCATTGATTCAACAAGACATCTGGAGTTTAAATCGTTCTCAGTTGTATTATAATAGCAAGTTGTCCAATTAATTTACATGTTATAACAATTTGAATGATAGTACAAAGATCAAGCCGTGTCAAATTCCACACAGCACTATAATCGCTTAAAGAAAAAGTATCATAAAACCAAATCCAGTAACAAAAATACAACAACTACAAGTCTTCCAATGGCATCGATTGCATTTGTCACATCGACAAAATGCTAATGGCTATTTGGTTCAAAACAGATTTGATCCATCGCAAATTTGTTGCTATGCTGTATATAAATAAATAAAATAAAATAAAATAAGAAAGCCAACCCTTGACTACTAGTATACATTAAATATATTTGACAATGGAAATAAAATCTATTTACATCCTTATTCTTCAATTGGATACTAACCAAACCTCGGATGTCTTGCAATTTATTTTCTTTTTTTTTTTTTGATTATTATTATTTTCTTTGCCTAATTGCATTAAGTTAGCCACTTATTCAATAATAATTAATAAATAGTAAACCATTAAAAATACACTCTTTTCATAAACAATACACATTATCCAATGATTAATTGTTTGTAGTTGAAGCAGCTGGCTCTATTTTCTTTTTATCTTCATTTCTATAATGATAATTCAACCATCTAAAACCTTGACCCAATTGTGCTATTTCATTAACAAAATGACATCCAAATAATAAATAATTTTTAGGAGTAACAGCCATAGAATATCTCATAAATACTAAAGAATAAAGTACTAATGAACCTGTCATTGGCCCACTAATTAAATCAGGATCTTTCTTCAAATCTAAAAGAGCTGCAATTGGAATACCAAAATTTGACACCGGACCCCAGAAATGGGTTGTGCACATGTATTTAATTGATTGCTTTGAGAATAAAAAGTCGGTGAATTTCTTAAACGAAGACATGATGGTGATGATGATGACGGTGGTGATTATATGTTGATCTTTTAATTGGATAATAAGTAAATCCTTTATAGGTATAAATGAAATTTGAATTACTAATAGCAAAAGAAGAAAAGGAAAGGAAATCCGAAAAATTATTAAAAGTATAAAAAAAAAAAAAAAAAATTTTTGTTGATAATCTTTAAACTCTCCGCCGGTGGTTACCAGTCCATTAGTGTGACAGACAAAAAAAAGAGAGAGAAAAATATGTTGTGTGCATGCATTACGTAATCCGCAGTAACCTTGGCTGCTGCGGTGCCAAACTTCGCGGCAAGAAAAATTAGCCTCGAGCAACGCGGGCAGAGAAGAAACCGACTGGCGGGAGGGCGGGCGAGAAAAACCTTCCCCTCACGCAATAATTATTGCCGATTCAGGAGGATAGCGGTTAGAAGAAAGGTACAGGCGGCTTTATTCCTACGGGTCTCGTGACTTTCTTTTATAAATATGATGTAATATCATAGATTTAATATTAGACTGTAAACTGTAAAATGTTTATATATTTATATGTATAATAAACTATTCTTGTTGATAGGAATCAGAAGTTTTACTTTGATTATTCTTAAATTGATCCATTTCAATTTGTGATCCCAAATAATAAGGCAAATCATCTGGAACAGATAACCAATAAGGATCATTCAAATGGAATCCATTCAAATATTCAAATTGTGATGGATCTCCAAATGGATTTGGATTTAACAAATAAGAAAGGTTTCCTCTTGATGTGGTTATTGGGAAATCATTGTGTTCTTGCCCTTGTTGTTCTTGGGGATTAGTTTTATTACCTGTGTCTTTAAGAGATTGTTCTTGCTGATGTTCCTGTGCTTGCTGTTGACGATTATGATGAAGTTGTTGTTGATTATGATTATAATTATGATTGTGATGATGATGATGATTATGATTATGATGAAGTTGTTGATCTAGTGGTTGTTGTTGTTGTTGTTGGTTGTATAGATGTTGGGGAAGAGGGTGGTCCTTGTCTGGAACAATTTGTTCTTGTTTTTCATATATGAGTTTAATTAAATTTAAAACTCGATTGATTATATAGACCATATTAGAAGACCACATTCTTGAAGTTGTAATAAATTTCGTTGACATTCTAGATTCAAAATTCAAGAACTTGTTCAAATTATCCTCAACTGTTTTCAAGAAGGAATTATTCAATAATGTAGATTCGTCATTTTTAACAAATTCTTTTGATTTTGAATGCAACAATGTAAATATTACAATTATACCTTGACATACTAATGAATTCAAAAATGGATAGTATGTCTTAAGCAACCTTCCTATTTTAACAGGGCCATAGTTAGTAGTGGTATTGGTTTGTGATCTATGCAAAATAGATTGATCATTCTTTGCTCTTTCTTCATCTGATGAAGATGATGTATTCCCATTGCTGGAATTGCGATATAAATGCTTCTCAAGATAATTCTTGATAAACCTTTCAACAAACAATGTAGATAATTCTAAGAACTTGGTCAACGAGTTAATCTGACTAGCAACAATTATATTATAATCCTTATTGTTTTCAAATTTCTTAATAAATGGTTCAAACAATTTAGCATTATTAATATAAAGTATGATTGTATCTGAAAGTACATCCAATTGTGTAGGAGCTAAAGGATGTTTAGCAAAATCATCATAACCCAATCGATTCATAAAACTATTGATAGAATTGTTACTATTATTAGTATTACTGTTATCTGCATCTGAGGGACTACTACTTAAATCCAGTGCAGTCTCATCAGTATTATCATCAAACCATTTACATGCTTTTTCTAATAATTCAATTTCTTTCGTAAATTTTGCAGCCAATTTCATCAAATCATCAAATGTTATATTAATCATGTAATTCTCAATCAACATTAAATTGGATAATCTCAACAGTTCTCCTGATCCGATCTTGAGCAAAATATGAAGCTTCTTATTTGGAACAATAGCTCCATTATCATTATTATTCATGCAAACTTGCACGGATATTGGATTTGGTCTTCCAAAAATTGCACATATAATGGATGTATAATATTTCAAAGCATACCAAAGACGAAATCTTGACACATCGGCATTATCGTCATTTTCAATACTAATATCACCATCAAATATATCTGGGGATTTTTTATCACTATTATCGGAATCTTCGGTGTTACTAGCTAACGCATATATATTTTTATTAGATTTTGCTTCGTCTGTCTTGTACTGACCTACGATATGTAATCCAATGGAATAAGAGACAGAACATGCGTGAAACATCATTGACCAACAATCTTCATATTTTTGATCCATAAATAACCATTCAACACATAAGATATAAGCACGGATAGTTTGTAATGATTCATGTACTAAATTCTCTCTTAATTTTTCAAAGTTTTTATAGATAACATGACGTGTAAGATACTTTCTGTATTTTGTACAAGTATTAACTGATGCATCAGGTAATAAATTCAAATCAACGTAATCTTTTGGACTTAATCTTTGAATTGATAAACATAAAATCATATAAACTAATAATAAATCATCATCATTATTCCAATCTCTGTCAGTAATAGATTCATATTTTTTCAAAAACTCTAAAACATGCACACAAGGAATGAAAGTTCTATAATACGGACTTTTTTCAAAAAATTCTTGTACCAATCTCATAATAACTTTAAAGTTTAATTTAAATACATCAGCATAAGTATCTGAATCAGAACTCAAATTTGGATCATCATATTTTAATAAGTATGAAGGTAGTATAGGTAATTTTTTCTTTTTGAAACTATTTTCAACTAGAATATTTGATCTAAGTAATTCTTGATCTTGAAGACTAACAATATCTCTTTCCCAATCATTAACAATTCGATTACTTGTCATTTGTGGGTGTGGATTTCTTCTATTGTGATCAGAATGAAGTATACCTCTAGTACCCTTTAATGGTCTTCTTGAACTTGGTGGTGATATTCTAGAATCACTTGATAAGAACTGGGATTCTGATGGAACTCGATGACTAACTTCTTCACTACTAGTAGTACTTCCAGCAGAAGTGCTAGAAATTTCTTTAATTATTTCTTCATTATTTCTATACTCATCATCTTCATGTATATCATCTTGTGATGGTCGTTTATTGGTAGAATAAATTCCCAAGTTATTACTAGCAGAATCTTTAGGGAAACTTTCTTTAGTGTGTCCAAATACACCAACTCTTTCTCTTTTATTTGGGAAATCATCAGATATTGAATCATTTTCTCTTTTGGAACCAAGACTAGTGCTTGTACTACTGTCAACTAAGTCAGGGCTGATATTTCCACCCCTTTCAGATGACAATACATTAGAATTTTGTAATAGCTCTTTTACCCTTTGAGTTAAATTTCTATTATCATTTAATAATTGGGAATTGGCTGCCCTCATCATTTCATATTTCTCTTGTAGTTCAAGATACTGTATTGTGTCATACTTGGGCCTTCCGTGTTGATGATGTGGTTCTTGTGATTGTTGTTGTGATTGTTGTTGTGATTGGTCTTGTAGATGTGGTGGCGACTGTTGTTGTTGTAGTGATGGTGCTTGTGGCTGTGCTTGTGGCTGATGAAGGTTGTGGCTATGATGATGATGTTGATGTTGTTCTTGTTGTTGTTGTTGATGATGTTGAGAATGAGGTTGATGATTATGATGACTATTATGGTTATCAAATGAAAACAATCTCAAGGGATTTGCAGTTGAACTTGAAGAATCTGATCTTGAATCTATACCACTGCTTAATGCCATATGAACTTTTTCAGGAGAATGAGAATCTGAAATTGAATTATTCTCTGAACTTAAAGGTCTTGATTCAGTTCCTTCTGATGAAGATTTATTTCTGCCAGACGATAGAACGGAATTCGTCACACTAGTTGGAGCAGTTGTTGAATCTTCTGGTAATCTTATGGGTCCATCAGGGACTAACTTCTTTGAATCTTGTGGCTGTGATTTGAATTCATCTTCCAGGATCTTTATATTTCTAAAAGTAGGAGGAAATTCACAAATTAATTGTCTTTTGGTGCATTGGTCGCAGGGCTTTTTCTTGTTGCATTTAATTTTCCTTCTCCTACACGAAACACAAGATATTGGCAGCAAATCAGTACTCATGATTACTTACCAAACAAATTTAACAACCTAGAAACAAACAAGTGTTAGAATTCAAGTTGTTCACTTGTTATAACTGAAGTAGATTTAAAGATGGCACACAAAGTAGAGCGGGCAAAACAGAAGAAAAAAAAATTATATTAAGAAAAAAAAAACAGAATCCACTCAACGTTCTTGCAAAAGACGTTACCGTTTTGACTTCCACCACACTCTCTCGATTCAATTGAATGAATGAACAATTAAAGAATAACTCTTTAATTAAAAATTGAAAACACTCTTTTTAATAAAGAAAGAAAAAAAATGTGGAAAAAGAACGGAAAAAAAATTTGGCTTTGACATTGATGAAATTGATGGGAAAAAAAAATGAAAAAAAAAAAATAAAATTCAAACACCTTTTTATTCCAATGCTGTTTGTTGTTGTTGTTCTGGATGTAAACATCTCATGCAGTGGAATTCCGTCCGTGCCATAGTTTGTTTGTGTAGAAGTATACATACCGTAAGTATAAACCAATATGAGTTGAATTATCAGTTGATCCAAGTATGTAAAATAATCAGATACGAGAAGTATCAAGTAATTTTCCACATGAATTGAGGTCATGAAAAAAAAACCATTCATAGATCAAATAATCTGATTATTTGGATGGTATTATATAATTTTGAAAACTAGATTATGCCTCTTTCCCCATTTCTGTGTGATTCTGCAATAGAGCAATACTAAAAAAAAAACTTGAAAATTTGAACTAAAAAGAAAAACTATTCACCCCATATAAGATGCATTGTGTAATACTGCTTCTTCGTTCACTTTAGTGCATTTTTTTGTTTAGTTGGTTTTTAGTTTCATCTCCCTCTTCTATTTAGTTTCGTTTTGCGTAACAGAAAATACAGCCGTCACTAGCGGTAACGGTTAAACCAAAAAGCAAACATAGAAACCGAATGTAAATTGAGATGCCCTCAAATCGGATCTAGGTTTGAATATTTCCGTGGAAATAATAGAGAACCACCATGTCAGTCTCACACTACATTGTGTAAATTAAAATCCGCAATTATAGTTGTTCTTTTTGAAGGGGTCAATGCAAAAAAAAAAGAAAAAGAAAAGGCCCTATTAGGTTACGAGCAGACTAAAATAATTCAATATACAGAAGAATGATAACTTTTTGTTTTAGTCACTGTACATTATACTTTATAAGTGTTTGTTATTGTGTGGTGATGTAATTCATCTTGAGGTTGATTTAAATAGAAGTATACTGGTAACACTGATTTAGCAAAACGCTAATGAGTGTATTTATTCTTTTTTTTTTTTTTTTTGCAGTAAAATCCTTTGTTGCAATTATTATTATTTATTGAATTATTATTTTTCCCGTACCTGAATTGTTGCAACCCCCCCCCTTTTTTTTAGTTCCCAAATCAAAGTTTAACCTTTATTCAAATTATCACCGCCATCTCAAAGGTGGGCAAAGGAAATATGACATCGATCACAAAGGTAGGTGAACCTATATTTGAACAATTCAATGGTATGGAAATCTGGTCTCTACAATTAAGCATCAATACATTCATTATCTCGTTTCGGGAATAATAAAAAGCCATGGATTCTGTTTACTATTATCATGTGTCTTACAGTATGGTTGACATGATCATTTTACTATTGACAGTGTTGATTATCTACCCATTTGAATCTTAAAATACCTTAAAAGGTAATAATAATCCACTTGGCAGTTTAATTCGTGGCTTGTATCACCACTAAACTTTTTTTTTTTTGAACTAAACGAAAAAGAAAGGATAAAGAAAAACAAAATACTAGATCTTGTGGCAAATGGGTAAAACGAAAAAGGGGGGATGGTATGTATTTTAGAGTTACCCGTTGCAACACTACAGTCTCGTTGCAAATTCTCCATTTTGATTTACACTACACCTGAATTCCATTACAGATACTCAGATAACTTCATATTTCTACTGTAAGCCAAGTTTAATGTTATGCGAATGATAAGCATAATACAATACATTAGGGGGTGTGAACTACTAACAAGAATTTATTGATTCATTTGATTCAAGTTTCGATAAATTCTCGTTCAAAGTGGCAATCACCAGGAGATACACCCTGATATCAAGTCTAATTATCTGAAATTGAAAGCAATCGAAATAAATTAATTGCTCGGGAGATCTTGTCAATTTAATGGGTTCTTTTTCTTTTAACATTTTTTGTGATTGTTTGCTTCTCATTTCTTTTTTGAAAGAACACTTCCATAGTCTATGTACAAACGCCTGTATTTCATTTTCGTCTTGAACTCATAACCGATGTTTCTATGTTGTTTTTTTTTTTTTTCGTGAAAGGGTTGTTTGTTTTCCACCGGAATGTAAGTATTTTAATTGGCTCAACGCTCCTGTTAAACATTATATTATATTTTTGCAACTAGACTAACACAGGCGTATCAAAATTGGAAAGTAATTTCCTAGACATTGTCTGAGGTGGTTGCATAATTCCGGCTGGTCAAATCCATTCATATCAATGCTGTATGTTCACTTTGGTTTTTTGGAATACGTAGAGGCTTTTGAATAGTAAGCGAAAAAGGAGAAGTATAATATAAACATAAAAAAAAAGTACACCAAGGAAAACTCTGTATGTTTCATGTTTGATGTATCCTGTACTGTAAAAAAAAAGTAGTGTTTCAGTTACTTGCATTGACCGTGACTATACTTCATTTCCTCACACCCATAGCCAATCATGGAAGAAAATAATTCTAGGACAAAAAACTTGTATACATTGAGACTAGAAGAAGTTATACTCGAATGCAAACCATTTAAGGATATTTTTCAGAATCCTCTATTCTTTAGTCATTTATTAATGATTATCTTCATGTGTGTGTGTGTGTGTGTAGGTGGGCGGTACAGATATGTAACAGGGCGAAAACTCTGCATTGTGATGCATTGCAGTTAATGTAAGCGTATATGCTCTATGCAAGTATTAGTACTATAACAGGTACTAAATCCGTGGATAATTCAGGTGGAATTCCATTTTTGAAAATCCGGCACTGGTGTTAAATTAAATTGACTGTCTGATAAACTGATCTTATTTATCTTAAAATTATTTTACAATTTAATTAATATCCACTAAATAAGATATGTTACTTGTAATATTCATGTATGATGTTATCGTATGAGGAGATTTAAATGAGCCTTGTGTCCCCCCACATGGCCAATCAGAACAATGGATGTTAATAAGAGCAATTTCATTAAATTAACAATCACTCCATTATAGATATGCAAAGAAGAAACAATAACTGGGTCATGTCGTCTTAGAAATCACTGACATATATGAGACATACAGTCAATTACGAATGTTCAAATGTATTGTTTTGAAACATTGTATTCACTTCATGGTGCCCCCCCCCCCTCTCCTTTTGGTGCCACGTGATCGGTAGTGTGTAAACCAAATATCCTTATCTTTTAATTTTTTTTTTTTTTTTCAGCCATTTGTTGATTTAAAGATAAGAAATCAAAACATTCAGTACACGTATATCACTCGAGGTTTTAAAAAACCTTTTTTGCTATTTTATAAATTTGGTCTTCTTCTTGTTGTCTTCTTCTTTTTACTTTTTTTTCCCGCTAGCTAGTGATCAATTCTATGACCAGAGAACCTTATTATAATTCAGATTTAACAACTATTAAACCAGCAAATACTAAGAATTTTTCAATCTTATCACCAGATTTACCAATCATTACCAATAATCCAAATTTAAAAAATGCTCCTTTATTGAATTCTCCGTATAAATCAATTAGAAAAGATTCAATTGAACCTTATTTCAATAAACCTATTAAAATTGGGGTTTTACCACCTGCTATTTTGAATCAATTTACGTATTATTTCCATGATGAAAGTGCTATTATTGATGATGATGACGATGATGATGATGATGGATCAGGTTTTGAATATATAAACTATTCAGGTAGTGTTATCGCCCCAATGAATGTCTTAGATAAAGTTTCTGATAATTATGAAGAAATTTTTATTGATAGTAAAGACCAAGAAGAAAAAGAGGAAGAGTATGGATTTAAATTTATGAAAAATGTTAATGTTCCAGTTGCTACTCCTTCTACTCATAGCCATATATTTGAAATTAATAAGGATGATTTATTAGATAAAGCAAACAATCCAAATGTTTTAATTAATAATAGAAGTAGAAAATTATCTGATAAATTACTGGCTCCAGATTTACAAGATTTAAAATTTGTAAATGATAGTTTTGAAATTGAACAACGTTTAGATGTTAAGAATCTTGTTAGAGATGACTTTATCAATGAACCATGTAGTTTTATAATTTAAATATTCCTAGATGTTTACCTACCATTAATATAGGACATTTATGTGTGTGAGTGTTACTTGACATGCTCGCTGATTGATAATTGATGAGATTGATAATTTTTTTTTTTTTTTTTTTTGCTCTTCACTTTTTATTTCCTTCCAATCATTATCATTATCATCATCAACAAAAGTCATGTCCACAAATCTGTTTTTATTTGATCTACCAACTCATCTCCCAAATGAAGCACATAATCAACCAGAAACTAAATCAGAAATAACACCCTCAAATCAAGTTGTAGTGGAGAAGGTAGATGTAGATGATGATGAGGAAGAGGAGGAAGAAGAATTACAAGCAAAATCAAATGGTCCAATATGTATCCCAGGGACTTCAATAACATTACAAACAGAAGAAGATATAGCTAAATGGATAGAAGAAAGAAAGAAAAATTGGCCAACTAATAAAAACATTGAACGTAAGAAACAAGAGTTAGAATCTAAAAAACAACAACAACAACAACAAAAGAGGAAACAACAAGATGAATCTTCACAACAATCATCTAAAAAATCAAAAAATATTTGTCGATTTTATCAGATGAATAAAAAATGTAAATTTGGTAATAAATGTAAGAATCTACATGAAGATCCAAAGAATGAAAATCCAATAACTTTATCATTTAATGAACTTACTCATTATAGAAAATTTGTTAATGGTATACCTGTTTTAATACCTAAATTATATGCTAATAGAACTGAAAATACTCTGGTTAAAAAACTGGTTTTATTTAAACATCTAATAACTAGAGATCAAGAAGTTAATGAAAATGAAAAAGTACTAGAGTTTATAAAATATCTAAATGAAAAAGGATTCATAGATCATAATGTAATGAAATCATAAATATTTTAAATATATGTATATATATATATAAAAAGAACCAAACCTCTATATGTTTGTCTAAACCAAATCTCCGTCGTATTGTTTTGTAGCGTCTAATATAATTGAACATTGTTTACCAATATCTGCCAATTTCCCAATAATAATATCATTACCTTCCCCAAATCCATAAATAGAATAACTTAATCCAACATCTTCACAAAATTTAATAACAAAAGGTTGTGCAGTTCTTAAATTATGACGTGGTAATCTTGGAAATAAATGATGAATAGCTTGAAATTGTAATCCACCATGAAGGAAATCTAACCATTTTGGACAATCAACATCCATTGTAGTTCGAAGTTGTCTTGATGGGAATGATTCACTAACTCCTAAATCTGAAGTTGACATGGCAAAATGTGATAATGTAATTTGAACATGAACCAACATGGTTGCAATATGACTAATCATAACATAATTGAATCTATTCCAACCTCCTTCGATAGTTTTAAACACCAATACATAGAAAAACCAATAAAAGAAAAAACTCAATCCAACAAGTTCAAAATATCTAAACCAAGCTGCTTTACCATGACGTGGACCTTCACCTTTGATCAAATGAGTCCACGATAATCTATACAAGTTAAATCTACCAAAACATAAAATTGGATAATATAAATATTGTTGAAATGGAATTAAAAATTGAGCAAATTTATCAAACGGTAAAATTCTTTCATAATAAGTAGAATAAACATTTTGAAATAATCTCACACTAACTGCAAAAAATGGTAAATGTTGAATATCTGGATCATGAACCGGATCATTAGTTATCAAATGATGAACATTATGATTTCTTTTCCACCATCCTAAACTTAATCCACCAAAAAAATCAGCAATTAACATTCCAAATAGATTATCAAGTTGATAATTATGAGTTATAGAAACATGACCTGCATCATGGGCAATAAAAGTACCTTGATGCCATGCCATTCCCATGAAAAGTGCACTAAGAAACAAATGATTTAATTTCAAAAATGACAAAGAATAAAGGAAAAGTGAACCGATTTTAACAACTTCTCGAACATAATCCCAATAATTACAATCATATAATCCCATACGAATAATATCTTCATGTAATGCAACATATTTGTCTCTTAATAATCTTTGGGTTTTATAATCTAAAGAAGGAAGTTGCATGACATCATTTTGACTCAACTCATTATCATAATTATTCATTAATATTTTCGGATCTCTTATGACTTTCTTTTTAATATCTTCTGTAATAATAGGGAATAATATCTCTTTGTTTTCTTTAGTAACCATTTGATTTTGAGGAACAACTGGTTTAACTAAAGGAGTATATCCAACTCCTTTATTTTCCTTGGTACTAATTTCCACATCACTAATAGAACTATCTGAAAAATTTTCAGTTTCTGAATTTGAATTAGAACTATCTTTATCTAATTTAGATTCTAATTTACTTCTGCTTGAATTATAATTTCCTTTTGAATAAATACCTCCTTGAATAGGAGGTAATAAATTCTCCCAAGATTTAGACTCAAGTTCTCCTATTTTATATCTTTTAAAAATGCCAATAGATTCATCACTGTGATAAGCATTCATTTCATCAGTGGCATCTCTACCAACCATATGATGAACTGCTAATTCTCCACCAGGGTGTCTTTTAATCCAAGGAGTTAAATTTAATACACTATTCTCATAAATGACAATAACTTTTCCTTCAGATATTAAATCAATAATTTGACTTCTTGAAAGTATCTTTCTAGGTCTTTTCTCCGCCTCCATAACTAAAGAAACTAAAGAAGCTAAAACCGAATGAAATGTAGTGAAAAAGATGACAGCTCAGGAAGAAATTCCAACTCGTTTAGTAATGGATGAAATCTCATTCGATTTTTTTTGGTTCTTTTATTTTTTTTTCTTTTTTGCCTAAGGCCACGCCAGGAGGCAGTACGGGTAGCGGGAACGACGCATGTACGCAACGCGCGCGTTTGTGCACATAGTATGATTATATTTCTTGTCGGTTTTGTTGTTCCGTGCACGTGACATGAAGGCTTATCAAAATATCATTAATAACGTCATGGATAACAATGTCATTTTATATAACAATATACAACTTATACAGCGGTTCCTTAAATATATACTTAATTGTAGAATTTGTTTAAAATTTCATAAGAAATTGGCATGAAAATCGGTATGAGATAATTATCATTAATATCACTGGTACCTTCCAATAATCCAGCTAAGAGTACAGTAACAAAAAGATTCTCCCAATTTCCAACAGGAATGTAGTTTTCCTTTTGTTTCAATAAATAGTTAATACCAAAGAAACATCCAAAAACACTGATAATAAATGCAACAGTACCTTGAACTGTCTTATCACCTCCTTTCCATTTAATGGTACCAAATCTCTTTCCAATTATTGAAGCTAAGGAATCACCTACTCCTAAAGCAATCAATCCACTATATCTAATAATAGATACTTTTTCTTTATTGGTCAAATAATCATAAACAATTGGAATAGTTGCTCCGGCCAATAAATAAATATAGGACAAATTCAAAGGACCTTCAATATCTTTAGCATCTTGGAATTTTTGTAATGTATCATGTAAGAACTCACCCAAGAATGAAATTTTATTATATCTTAATGCTTCAATAATAACAAAAACAATTATGGTTCCTAATAAACTAATCAATGTGAATTCCACTTGATCAAATAAAATCTTTGGTGTGAAACATAAAACCACAACAACAAGTGCATGCCAAAATTTTCTTCTTGTGTTGAGTGGGAAATGATGAGCAAACCAAAAGGCAATTGGAATAACAACTGCTGTTATAGCTGTCCATACAGTTAATATATAAACCCTGTCTTCGTCTTTAGTAACATAGTTAATCAACCAGTTGACGGCATTATCCTTTAATACTGGAGTTAATTGATAGATGGTAAAACCATAGAAAATACCACCAAAAATCAAAATACTAAGAATACCTGGGATAACAGTGACAACAGGGAAAGTGAAAAAACTGGCAATAACAACACTGATGATCAATTTCTGGAATATAGTCAATGGAAGAACACCACTGACGAGTTGTCTATTGAACAAGATATTGACCAATAAAATAGTGATAAAATGAACTTCCAGGGGCTTCAAACTAGTTACTGAAGTATTTTCATCGGTATTGATATAATTCAAAGCATATCTCAAAACGAAAAATATGAATGCAAATTGAGTAAATTCAACTGTTGAAACCAGAATAATTTCATCATTTTTATAAATTTCATAAAAACCAACACATGAAAACATATTGAAAAACATATTCATTGAATCAATAGTAAAGTAATTAAATGCAAGGTTAATTAAAAGCCAATTTGGATCGTAATGTAAAAGGTTTAATAATGCAGGTAAAAGCAAACTATGAATATAATTAAAATCTGGAATTTTTTTACTTTCATCTTTCCCCTTAATTATACCTAAAATCACACAAATTGCAATACCAACCCAATTAAAGAAAACCATTGATAAAATTAACATATTATCTTTACCAAGTAATTTTTCTCTTTCCAAATATACCATTTGAATGAAATAACCACAAACTAATACTTGAACACCATGAATAACAGTCATGTTTGCATTCAAGAAATCCTGAACTCTATAAATATAATTGAAAGGAAAAGCTGCATTTGCTATATCTTCTTCAGCACTTCCTTCAGGTTCAATTGGTTCATTTTTATTTTCAACTTTAGGTTTAGAATATTCTTGTTCAATTTCATCTAATTTATCTAAATCTTGAAAAATAGCTGCTGTTGATCTGGAACTTGGATCTTTCTTAGCAGAATCTACCTTCTTTCTTCTTGGTGCCATCTTTCCCTAAAAGTATATGTAATTGTATTTGGCTAATGTCAACAACTTCTGTTAATCTCTTTTAGTCAGTTTTTTTTTTTTTTTTCAACTCTTTGTTCACACTTTTTTATTTTTTGCTTCCTCTTTCTCCCGCCATCTACTAAAAACGCTTAGATAAAAAAAAAAATTACAAACAAAGGAGTTATTAAGCGAACTGGTGTGAAATTCAATCTTCTTTAGACTAAGCCTCTTGTATTCAAGAGAAAGAAGCAAAAAAAATAAAAGTAGAAAGAGTGTTCACCGAGGGGATCGAACCCACGACCGTCGCGTCTCAACGACTGTGCATTTCGCATAGTTTTCAAATCTATAAGCACGAAGCGCTACCAACTGCGCCAGGCGAACTCTTTCGTGACATCTCTTGTCCAGTTAATTAGGAACCTATGAGGTAGTATATCTTTATAATCGTCTAATCAAATGGTACACACATGGAATTTCACACCATTATTTGGATAGACTGATGTGTTTTCATTTGAGATATTAATCAAAAGGTTATACATATTTATTAATAGGTGATTGTTTTGAGAGAGATGTGTAGTTTTTATCACTAATGTTCTATTTAGTACTACATGCCGTGGGCATTCTACAGTAAACCACATGTGTAATGTGCTATCAATTTATACTAAATTAACTCGTTTATTTAAAAATGATTGATGTGATGGAGAAGAAGGAAGGATACAAACTAATACATTGGTAAAATACATCACTAATATATGTATGTGTGTGTTTTCATTAATGAAACTCTAACAAATTCATTACAATACACCAAGTCAAGGACCATTAATCTGACTTATTAATATTTGACATTGTTTATAGACATTAACACATAGCATCAGCCATATCTTCAGCACAACAACAACATAAGATAGCACAACAAGTACCACAGAAAGCAGAACAACATCCACCACTACTTTTCTGAGGTTGTTGTTGAACATACATTGGTTGTGGTTGTTGATAATATTGTTGTTGTGGTGGACCTTGTTGATAATAACCACCTTGTGGAGGAGGAGGACCTTGTTGATAATAAGACTAAAAATAGAAATGGTTAGTACAAGTTTTGTTTGTTTCTCGTTTAACATGAATAGGTAAAGCTTTTAAGATGTGTCATGAACGAACCATGAAAAACAAATCATAGGATAGAAATCAAGAATGTGCATGTCAAGCAATTGCGGGAGGGCAAGTGGGAGAGGGAGTATTAAGGGAATGTAATATCATCTGGAAAAGATCTAGTAAAAATAAAACCCACATGATTGAACTTGGTCCACGGCGGTTCCAACAACGACAACAACAAAAAAAAATTCAACCATCTTCATGAAAAACAATTGACAAGGGGGAAAAGAACACATACCATTTGTTGAATAAATTAAGGGTTTAAGGGTATAATATGAAAAAGGATAATATAAAATATCTCTAGAAAGAAACAGGAATTATAAAAAAAAAGAAGAAAGAAATTTATATGAATATGTTTTTTTTTTGAAGGGGAATTAAATTTAACTTGAAATAGCACAAACGTCGTGGTATTTATACTGTACCGCTTGAGTTACCGCCCGCGAGGACCTGAATTGAATTTTTTGTTTGTTATGAAAAAAGAAAAAAATTCTTTGCTTTTAGAGGAGGCTTAGAGAAACAACTCAACAAGGTGTTAACAACAACAACGTCATCACTAGTTAAGTCACGTGTACAATCCATGAACAACATCATTAAAGGTAGATGTCCTCTTCTTCTTCACTCCTCCTCCCCCCATTTGATCATATAACCAAGATTCAGATCAGGAAAGAAAACTAATTCTTCTTCTCCCCTTGAAAACCGTTATTTAATTGGGTAATGTAATACTATCTTATTTGTACCACTTGCCAACATCTCATGCACTGTGCTGCGCCGCCAACTGTCATCTACCACCACCACCACCACCGGTATTAACAGCATCATCACGGTCAAAATAACAAATCAATCGAGTATTTGTATGATTATTCATGACCGTACCAAGATGGCTTAGATATAGAAACAGCCCTTGTTTTGTACATCATTTCTAAATTTATCTAAGATATGCAATCAATAAACCCATTTAATCTTGATTTATCTCTTCTTACATATTATATAACCCACGCCTCTGTTTGATAATCATGATCCAGTAGTCTTCGCAACTCAACACATTACTGATATTCTTCCACCATAGCCTACTTTTTAAATTAATATTTTAAGGTTATAAGAACATAAACAAAACATCATACCCTCTTTGATTCGATATTTATCATTGAGGTTACATTGCTTTTTATGGAAAAATTATCAATACAAGGATGTTGTTCTTTGAGCCTCCTTCATATTAACTTTAATTCTAATCGGATTTTAAATAACTATATGATAAATAATAAAACAAAATCTACAAATAAATCAAACACAATAGTAATAATAATAATTCAGACACGTCAACCTTATTTATCTGTTTTGTTGACCTTCAACAAAGGACATTGCTTCCTCTTTATTGATTTCACTAATTGAACTCACTTTATTGCTAAATGTAACTCCATAGAATTTATCGGCTGCTAACTGCAACAATTCCGGTCTGAATGTAGTACAAATAAATTGAGCTTCGCTAGATAAACTCTTTATCAAATTAGCAACACTTGTACGATATTGTGTATCCAAATTAGAATCAATTTCATCAAATAAATAAAATGGTGCCGGATCACAATTTTGAATAGCAAAAATCAACGCAATTGCACATAACGATTTTTGACCTCCAGATAATTGTTCAATTCTTTGTTGCTCATCATTCTTGGAGTTGAATGAAACTGAAATTGCCACACCTGAATAATTATCTATATCATCACTATCATTATTTTCATCTTTCTTCTGCATAATCAATCTACCTGTACCACGGGGAACTAATTTTTCAAATACTTCATGGAAAGCTTTGGCAACCTGTTGGAATGACTTCTTGATAGCATCATTCTTTTGCTGTTGCAAATTTGAGATCAAATCTTCAATTGATTCACGGGAGTTATCTAGATCAACTCTTCTTGCAACTAAATCATCACGCTGTTTGTTGAACACATTAAACTGTTCCATGGCCTTCTTGTTGATATGGGAATATTTAGTTAAACCTTGGTTCACTGTATTAAGTTTGCTAATCAATTCATTCGATGTAAACTTATCATATTTATCACTTTGAAATGCTTCTTCTGGTAACACACCCAAATCTCTGATCTTTTGATTAGCCTCATCTTTCATTTGTTTCTTAATCTCCTTTTGATTGGACAAAATATTAGATTGTTTCAGGAATTTTTCAATATTCTTTATGATTTTAAGTTGTTGAGCATTTGCTTTCTTCAATTCGTCTTCACATTTACTCAATTCTTGATTGACTCTATTATAATTATCTCCGGCTTGGGTGTTTCGTGATTGTGCAGTATCCAATTGCATTTGTAAACTTTCCAATTCTTGTTGTAAATTCTCAAATTCTAAATTGATCTCCAGCTTATTGCCCAATCTAGCTTGGTCTTGTCTATACTTATTCAATTTAGGTTGGTAGTTGTTAATTAACTCACTCTCAAGTTGTGATACTTTTGTATCCAACTCAGATGACCTTGTAACCACTTGATCCAATTCTCCTTCTAATCTAGCTATTTCTTGATTCAAGCTATTCAATTCGTCTTGTTCTTCTTGTGTCAATACCTGCGTAAATACACTATTCAATTCTGTTTCATGTTGTTTCAAATTGATATTTATCGAGTTCTTGGTGTTTTGTAAACTATCAAGGTTGAATCTTAAGGATGATAATTCTTGATCTAAATTAAATTTCTTATTTGTTACTTGTGATAACTCAATCTTTATAGGCTCTTTGGATTCAGAAATTCTATCCAAATCTCTAATATTCAATTGTAATTCATTGTTCAACTTGGTCAATTGTGAATTTGTAGTTTCAATTTCATTAACAACTCTGGTCATTTCATTTTGAGTCTTTTCCAATTCTCTTCTCTTCTTGGTTTGTACCTTCAATGCATCAATTCGAGAATTCTTATAATCACGATAACCACCAGATAATACCCCTTTAGTATCAACTCTATCACCATCCAAAGTAATACAACTCAATCTAAACTTTCTAGATAATTCACCACCTCTTTGTAATTCATTCACCACAAGAGCTTTACCAAATATTTGATTCATGGCTTTATGAACTGTTTCATTATATTTCAATTTACTAATCAATGGAATACATTGGTTTTCTTGTGAATCAGGATAATCAATGTGTAGAGAATCAATTCGGTTCAAAGGAATAAATGTAACTCTACCTGCTTTGTTTCTTACCAACTCATCCATTATAGTCGCAGCTGTGGCATCAGTATCGACTACAATGTGGAATAACGAATTACCTGCAATAACTTCAGCAGCAGTCTTGTACTTCTCATTGACATGAAACAACTCAGCTACAGTACCATAAACTTGATCATTCAATCCCAAACGAATAGCAATTTGCTTAACAGCAGCAATACCTTGAGCTTGGGCTCTATCCATAGTTTGATTCACTAAATTAGTAGCATTGGTCAAATCATTCGTCAAGGAATCATAAACACTTTTCAATCTGATTTCATCACGCCATAAGGATTTTCTTTCATCCGTTAGTTGGTTGATCTGTGATTTGTAATCTGCTATACTTGTCTTCAATTCAGCTAAGGTCTGTATATGTTCTTTATCAATCAATGATTCATTCAATTTGTCAATGGATTCAGACAATTCAGCAATAGCACTTTCTCTGCTTTTGATTTCACTAGAAACATGGCGAATATCTTGATCCTTCAAAGTCAATTGTTTCTTTAATTTGGAAATCTCCTCATTTAACCAATCATCACGACTCTTTTTTGTATCAAACTGTTGGAATCTATTGCTTTTGGAGTATAATGCTCTTTGTTTGGAAGATGTTTCAAGCAATTGTTGTTTCAACTGTGACTCTTGTTGTTGTAATTCAACCATTTCCGGTTTGCTTTTAGAAATCTCTTGTTTAAGTTTTTGAATCTCCAACTGTAAGTGATTTATTTGTTCATTAAGGTAACTATTTTGTTCTTTAGATGATTCATTAGTGGATCTGAATTCATTTAATTTGATTTCTTTATCTGTTATAAGTTTTAATAATTGATCACAATCTAAATCCAGTTGTTCTTTTTCTAATGACAAGATTTTCAAGGAAATTTTCAATTCTTTGATTGAATCTTGCAATTCAACACATAATTTTTCTCTTTTTTCCAAATCGATTAAATCTTGTTTAGTTTCATCCTTCATTGCTTGTTGTCTTTCTTCCAATTCTTCCAAGGACACATTCAATTCATTGTATTCACGATCAAAAATATTAAACTCCAAAATCTTTTTCTGTTTATCCAATTTTTGAAAATTCTTCAAATCAGTACTCTCAATTTGTAAATCTTTTAATCTTTCTTCAATACTAATTAACGTTTCATCGATTCTAGCACGTTTTAAATTGGATTGATTCATTTCTTTCATGGATTCTTTCAATTTATTTTCAAAAACATTTGCCCCACTAACTTCTTTTAATAAATTTAATCTTTCGTGATCTTTAGAGTTAGTTAAACTTGTGATTCTTCCTTGAGGTACAATATAATAAGGATTTGATCTTGAAAATCCAGCACTTTCTAATAAATTCATAATATCTGATCTAGTAGCTGATTTCCCATCTAACGAATAATCATCTTTTTTCAAACCAATTGTTCTTCTAATACTAATTTCATTTTTATTGATTGGAAATCTTCCATCTGAGTTATCAAATATAATTTCAACATAAGCTGACATAACCGTACCTGAACCTTCATGAATTAATCCTTGTCTTTCTTCTCTTGACATGTGAGTGTAAGCATCACTTAATACAAATCTAATGGCAGCAAAAAAATTTGATTTACCTGATCCATTACGCCCAACAACCACATTACAATGTGGTGATAGAAGATCAATTGTAGTGACATTTTTGTAGGTTTTAAACCCTTGTATTATGATTTTCTTAATATGCATTGATGTGTTATTATCGTTGTTGGTGGTGTTGCAAAGATTGAAAAAGAGGAAAAAGGTTTTGAATGGTTTTCAAAATTTTGTTGTGAAGAGGACGTGTTTTACCACCAAAAAAAAAGAAAGAGAAAATAAAATTGCAGGAAAAATTGAAAAAGACGCGTAAGGTTGGGACAACCCACAAGAAAATGAAACACACTAACCACTCACAATAAACATGTTAAGGAGTTGTCGTCACTATTATGATTGTCTAGCTTGGTTATCTCATAACCCTACACACTACTATTGGTTTATGTTCAAGAAATCTGAGTGTTGTTTTAGAAAATACTTTCAGGTCGTGTGATAGGCTGTTTCCAAAACGTATGGAATCAAGTATATATTTCTCCCGAGAATCCTAACTATATAGATGGGTTATTTATGGAGCGGTGAAACCACCAGAAGCATAAAGAGTTTGACCAGTCATCCAACCTCCTTCAGTAGCAAGGAATTTAACAATAGGAGCAATATCAGTAGTTTGAGTTAATCTTCCACCAATTGCCACAGATGACATGTAGTCAATACTTTCTTTGGTTTCGGAATCAAATAAAAATGAAGTAGCTGCAGGACCAGGACCAACATTATTGACAGTGATACCTCTTGGAATCAACTCTTTCAGTGCGGCTTTTGCATAATAAGTAACTGCTTGTTTTGTTCCACCATATAATCCATATAATCCTGTATAAGCTGGAAGTAAACTAGTGACAATGTTGATGATTCTACCATTGTCGTTTACATTAATAGCAGCTTCTTTAATAAAGAAAAAGGCAATTTTGTTATTGGCAAGATCCATTTCATCAAATTGTTCTTCAGTAACTTCAGCAATTGGACCTTTGACAACTTTACCAACAAAATTAGCAGCAATATCAATACCATTAGGAAATGCTTTTTTAGCAGCTGCGAATAAATTAGTAAGATCTTGAGCTTTATCTAATTTAGATTGATAAATTTCAACTTTGATATTGGGGAATTCTTTTAAAAGTTCTTGTTTGAATTTTTCAGCTTCTTCTGGGTTTGATCTGTATTGCAAGAAAAGATTTGAACCAGCTTTGGCTAATTCTTTAGCACTTTCTCCTCCCAAGTTTTTAGTACCAGCAGCAATAAGTGAAGTTTTACCAGATAAAGACATGATTTTATAAGTTGTAAGTCAATTGAATGAAAAGAAAAAAGAACAGACAATTGAAGGGATTAAAGAGACAAATGATGTCAATTTATATGTTTCATAAATGAGGTATTTTTCATTCTCAGGGGCGGGGGGAGTGTGATGAAAGTATCTATGGAGAAAGCAATTTTTCTCCAGGATGTCTTAAAATTTGCACTTATTGTTCTGGAAACAAACTTTGAAGGGTTTACGTCCCAATTAGGCAACTCGCGTATTTCTACTCGTTTCACCTTTTTTATGCAGGAAATTTGCATCTCACATACCTGGCTTTGATTAACAATATGTAACAGCACCACACAAATTGCAATTACAAATAATGTAATGCTTGTTCTTCCTTCAATAGTTATATATTAACCGAAGTAATGTTACGTAATAAATCGATAGAAACCCCTCTTTTTCTGTTTATCGCTACACTACTTTTTAGCAGTAAATTTAAGTTTTGTTTACCTTTTCTATTCTCTTGTTTAAGCCTATGAAAGTAAAGAAAAAAGTATATAGTTTATCTTCCACTTCTATCAAACAATGTGTATCAGCCGGGGGCATCTGCAATGACAAATGTGAGAGTGGTGAGAAGAGCCAAATGATGAAGGGTTGGCTCCTCCCCTCTCTCCACTTATCACCTCTCCTAATTAAAGGAGAGGGACGAGCTGGGCCCACATGTATGTGTGCGTGGGGCCGACCCAGCCCGTCTATGGCCCTCCTCTTGAGTTGCCATATCGCGTCCCCCTACTGACCCAAGGGGGAATAGATAGAGGATGAACCAGGAGGAAAGGGGACCGGTCGACTGTCCTCTACCTGGTCCTCTAAAAGTGTGGTTTGCAATAAACCACCACTACTACTCATCGGGATATTCAACTAATCTATCCCGGTGAGTAGCTTTCAAAGATAGTGATGACCAGTCACTATCTTTTGAAGAACTTTCGCTAATCAACATCGCCCCCTTTTTTGTATATGTTGATCCCTCTTATAAGGTTCAAGATAGCACGTGTTCCCAAGTTGCTATCTTATTTGGAAAGTTCTTCTTATGTTTGTGCATCATACTAAAGGAGCAATCAGTTGTTGACTTTCTTCTCAATGACTTAACCAAGTGACACAAGCAACAAATAGTGAGGGAACATATAACAACAACTGATGGAGAACACATAACCTTTGATTCTTGGTAAACTTGTTATGGATATAATGGATTGTAGTTCCTTATACAGAAGTTAGTATTTGCAGCCATGAATAAAACACATTAATTGATACTTACTTGATATAAATGATATAATATATAAAGTGTTTGATATTAATTGTTGATAAAAACAAGAAAGAAAGAAAAAGAAAGTGTTATAAAAAAGTTATTTTTTTGAAAGTTAATTTGTTGTCCTTTTATAGTTGAGTTTTTTGGGGGTATTTGTGTAGGTATTTTTTGTTATGCTTTATATGTTTAGTGCTACCATATGCGGGGAAAATCAAACAATTCCGGAGCGGACTTGTGTATACAAAAAACTATCATGTCAGTATGATATGTTTAGCTTTGTCACTCAGCTTGCTAGGACTGTTTACAAAAATGAAGCAGTTCATACAGATTGCATTTTCAAAGAATCCAATGGTTTTGTTTCTTTCATTTTCATCAAATATTGCGTAGCAACCAGGAAACTCACACAATGTTGAGTAACGATTCCTGTTTTATTTGTAATTTATTATGATTTACTTTGTAATTCAGTGAATGTTCATGCATGACAATCATGTCATGTGTAGAGATTTGGTCAGTGTCATATTGATGGACTTTATAAGTCATTTAGTACTTCCTTAGAGTCATGTGTGACATTGCAACTAATATAACTACGTGGATAATGATCAGTTCAATACTATGAACGATATTATAATCACGGGTGTAGATAATCCTATAATTTCTTGATAATCATCCCCCACTGCCCCATTGCTGTAGTGTAAACGTGGCAACAGTTGATATGGCTTGTGAAATATTTCTGGTTAATAATTGCGGTTTGATCAAATATGAACAAAAAGTATGTATGATAGTGAAATCCACCCATTATCGTCTTGCTATTTCTAAGAAGAAAAATCAATCAGTCTATTTGCAAAATCTATATTCCATACACATCTTGACTATAACTAACTTTCCGTTATTTATTACCTGTCCCCCTATTAAATTTTGGTTTTTCATTCTATCCGGGTTATACATCTTCATTTCTATTTCATTAACTCTATAATATTATCTATTCAATTGTTACCAGGTGTATTAGAAAATAGGTAAAGATTGTAAATATTTATCAGTTTCTTCAATGAACCTGCCATTATTAATTTTACTATATTCCCCATTTTCTGTAAATTCCACCGGCAGTAAACCATTTTCAACCACATATTTTATGAAAAAGTTCAGGTATAATTCAAATAATACTGAACTTAGTTCATCTACTTCAACATTTGTAATCAAAACAAATTTGAAATTACTTAATGATTCCCAAAAATGAACTTTTAATTGACCAAAATTAAATGTTTTCAATTCATTAATAGATGATTCATCCACTAGTTTATTAGATATTGTTTTTAATGAATATATTATACCAAATAATAATTTTGAACTATTTGAATCATTATTTTTATTAATTTGTCCCGGGATCGTATCTGGAGTTCCTGACGAAGATGAGGATGATGTTGTGGCACTAGTATGTGAATATTCTCTATTGTATATACAGTTACAATGACGATCAAATATGGAAAATGAATGGATAGTCATATTGTGGAATCAAAGAAATGACCGACTTTATCAATCTATGTATTTCTACGTCGTTGCTATGATCTTGATTTTTGTTCTATTTTTTTTCCCCGTGTCTTCTTTTTGTTTGGTCGCCTCATTAAAGAGAAAAAACAATCAAAGTCGTGTATAATGGACCAAATGAAATTCCCGTGCAATCCTCCATTTGTTAAAGTAATCAGATTCGACATGGCTGTTGTTTACAGTTGACGATTTTCGTTTCTTTTTGGTATTGTAATCATTCGCTTATTTGCCCTTGAAATGGTTGTGGGTGCGTGGGGGTGACACTAAAAAAAAAGGGAAAATAAAACCCTTGGTTTGTATTTTCTTCCTCGGATGATCATGTGATTAAAGAAAATATATATATAATACTTCAAATATTATATTCAATTGGTTAATCACTTGTGTTCACAGCCTCGGGTCAGGCTAAATAGAATATCTTGCAAAATAGAAAAAAAGAAAAAGGGTTTGGCATTTTGACTCTAAATACGAGATGTTAATTGTCAATAAGTTTGTACGTTATCAATTTATAGCATAAAAAGTATATAGAAAGAAAAACACGAAAGGAAGTTCGATAAAGTGTCGTTTCTTATCGTCAGGATAAGAGGAAGTCTAGATCTATTGTTGGATAGTTAGTACAATTTTCTATAATTAGTACCAATTATGGTTATCCCTTGTTCTTACTATAACAAGAACCCGCCCATCCACCCACTCAGTGTAATGGTGTACATGAAGAAACAATGGGTCTTATTTTTAGTATACAGACACTACCACTACAAAGGAAAAAGCCATACTCGGAAATACATACAACAAACTATGACGCGAGGTTGATATTTAGATTCCACCTTAGCAACGCTACTTTCCATCTCTTTCCCTCCCTCTCTCTCTGTCTATTCCCCTCCTGTCGGCTCGTCCGCCTTGACTTTGAGCATGAAAAATGCAACTACAATCATTGCATTGACATAATCTCGTCTGTGGTTAGAGAATAATCGTGTAAGAGAATATTAGAGTATACACGGATAAATTTATCGGATTATGTTTATAAACAGACAATAGATTTCACGTATGTAACAAAGCGTAAAAATAAAAAAAAAAAAAGAACCATTTTTTATTATCCACATGTACACGACTTTCAAGAGGAGACAGCAAAAAAATAAAAAAATAAAAAATGATTGATTTGTCTTTTTTTTTTTTTTTTTTAGGTGCTTAGCCATTTTTTAAAACAAGTACAAACAAAACTATCAATCTAATACAAAATCAACTACAACATATTCTAAGTTCCATTTCATTACTATTTATCTACTACATCTTCACTTCAACCAAGAAAAGAAATTACCAAAGAGAGAGTATTAACATCTTGTACTTCTCTCTACCTATCATTTGTATTTTTTTTTTTATTATTATTATTAATTTCACCTGCTAATGATTACAACTACTTCAGCATCATATGTTCGAGATGTCAGTGAAATACCGAACTTGAAACCTCCACAAGAAACTTTTGTTGATGATCCAAATAGTTTAGACGATATTAATTTAGAAGAGTTGTTGTTTGATTTGAAACATAATATTAAAACTCTCAGCAGTTTACATATTTATCATTCAATATTCATCTTGTCCAAAATAATACAATTTACAATAAAATTACTGGAATCTCCTGAATTGTTTCTTAAGTTTAGATTTCAACAATTGGATAAATTGGGAATAAGTCAAGAAGATATTTTAAACCGAACTACTAGTTCTGAATCCATCATTAGTGATTACAGTTTTAGGTCTAACTCCCCTCCACCTCAACTTCCACTGCGTGCCGTGTCTCCTCAACCGCAATTGAAATTGTCAACTTTATTAAGCAAAAGTGAATTCAATATAGATGTTGAATCCTTGGCAGCAACAACTAAGAATGAGAGCAATTTAGACGCGATGAATTCACCAACCCTTTTGGCCAGAATAAATTCACCTTCAGGACAATTTGAATCCTTGTATGATGACAACATTGATGACATTATATATGACGATAATGACGATGAAATTGAATGGTTGGGTAATCCTATATATCCTCCACTTCAAAAATTACTTGACACTACAGATTTATCCAAACAAGTATCACCAATAACTGATTTGAATTTAACAAAGTTGAAAGATGAGATTTTGAATCATCAACCAAAGAATCGACATTTATTAAAAATTTTCAACTTGTTAAAAACACCTGCTTTATCTATTGATCAATTTTTAATTAGAATTAAGACATATTCTTCAAATATTTCTTCTAGTTCGTATTTGCATTCGGCTTTCTTGTTGTACAAATTGGTTATTTATTTGAACAATATTGACCTAAATCTTAATAATAGCTATAGATTCATTGTTGCTTCCATAAGATGTTCCACAAAAGTCATTGAAGACGTTTATCAAAAACAACGTATTTTTAGTAATGTTGTTGGTGTTACATTAAAGGATTTGCTTAAAATAGAGATGGGTTTTCTATATTTGACTAATTTCAATTTAATTATAAGTGAAGTCATCTTAAATCATTTCATATCCAATGATTTCATTGATTTATGCTTGTTCATGAAGGACAATCTTCCTGATGCATACCAAGAAATAGCCAAATAGAAGAGACAAAAACAGAAATAAAACAAAAAAATATTTAAAAAAAAAGTACAAATGATTTATATATTATTATAGTGAATAGATACGGTTATCATGAATTACATATCTTCAATGAACTAAAAATAAACGATGTTGGTTACAACAAATGAAATACAGTAACTTGGACCATATTTTGTGTGGGGAGAATAAAAATAAGAAATCAAATGCGGGGGTATCAAAAAAAAGATGAATGCAGCTTCTGTGGCTCGAACACAGTACCTCCAGATTACTAAAGAATCTTCAGTCTGACGCTCTCCCAGATGAGCTAAAGCTGCTTTTATGAAATCATTGGTAGCGTCCGGTTTTCCTCGTTCATTAAAATTAATCTAACTGACATACTAAAAATCTGGTATACGTTCAAAAACAAAAGATACATTCTAATAATTGAATGAACACTTGTCGCTGTTAATTAGCTGAAAAAAATCAAAAATAATGATTCAAAGCATCTAGAATTGCACTATTCAAAACTCAATTCTTCAATTAACTCCTTGCAAGATTCTACAGCGTTGTCTATCACAATCCATCTGTCGTATATCAGCTTAACCATGCGGGATAATTTCTTACAATAGTTTTTCATGTCATATATCTCTCCTCGGTAAATCATTTCATTCGTTTACATGTTAATACGTTGCAATAATACTATCGGCTTCTTTCGATTAAAAAAATCAAAACAAAAAAAAAATTTTCAAGTTCACTTATGTGAACTCAAGAAAAAAAGATAAAACCCTACCTGGGACTCGAACCCAGAATCCTTTGATTAGAAGTCAAAAGCGATAACCAATTTCGCCAGCAGGGCAAATTATCTTAACAACTGAACTATTTGTTCTAATTTGTTGGAATTGGCATTGACAATTATTTACCATACCTTGTACTATTTAGAAATATCAGGATATTTTTATTAGAAGTTATAACTCATTTCCACCTGCAAAAGGATTTAAACAGTTGTAGGAATGTTTAAAATTCTGTAATTAGTTAATTGGACTTAATTAGGTAAATCTAGAGTGCTATAAATGTTGTTTATGATTTTTTTAGTATATTTCGTTTCAAATCTCATATAAAAAATAACATTGAATTTTTATTCTACATCCAATTTCAATATTTATAATATACTATATGGGAATAATACAAATAAGACTTAATAGAATCTAGAAGAACCCTTTATTATAACCTAATTTCCTTCGAAACAAAAATAGAGTCATTCCGTAAATTAACACCGTATCCTTATAATCAAAAGAGGGATAATTTAAGAAAAAATAAACCTAATACCCAAACCGTCATCAGTAGAAGTCATGGTAGTATGACTCACATTACTTGAATCAAATAAAAATAAAACAAAAAGGGATCAGTTTGATCTTATGCTTGATAACAGTGACTCATTGTCGGAGTATTATCAGAAGCATAAGCGGAGAATCCCCCGAGATTTTTCCAAAACTCAGTGAAACAACTTAACTGAGTCATATAAAATTTTATAGTGAAACGTCAATGACTAGTAATAATTGAACATTAGAGACGTGTATACCATTGATTAAATGTTTCGTTGTTTACCACATTCTGTAATTTGCACCCCAACAAAAAGAAAAACAAAAACAAAAAATGAAGAAACAGACACAAAACCAAAAGGATGACACACTACGACGCGCCCCACGTTTCGATTCAAATTGTCGCGATAACGAGGAAACTAAAAACCACATGGAGTTTATCAATGATGATGGTGATTATGAGTCCAGTAGTAATATAAGCATAGTTCTCTGTTGATCTGTAATGAACAAAGTTGTTCAATTGTCAGTTAACAGAAAGAGAAAGAGAAAGAGAAAAAGAAAAAGAAAAGAATATACTCCTTATACATAAAAAGTAGGGTGACTTGGTACAATTCAATTACATATAGATAAGGAAGGAAGGAAGGAAGGACGGAAGGGAAGCAGGGCACATGGGGGGGGGGAGGCAGAGGGGTATGAGGAGCAAAAAAAAAATAAATAAAATAAAATAAACTGACAGGTCAATAATCTAATAAACTAAACTCCTAAATATTTCACAGCTATAAATTTGACTCATCTTGACTCTGACCTATCTATATTCCTTTACTCATTCATTTATCTATTTACCTATTTATCGGTTTTCCCTTGCTCATTAAATGTTATCAGTAAGATCAAGATCAATCATGTCTACAATTACCGCATCTACTGGATCAACTACACATCATCACCATCATCATCATCGACATTCAAGTTCATCGTCATGTAATTCTAAACATTCAATTCTTATACCTTCTCCATTGAACAATTTATTACATTCAGATAAACAAATAAAGTATCATTTTTATAGTCTTGGTGGAGATTTCATACGATTAGCTTCATATCATCGATTTAAACATCTATTTCGTGTTGGTGGTGGTTCATTAGTTAAAGAAGTTGTATTTGATTTATCTACTTTTTTAAAAAGAGAATTAAATGATAGTAACTCAACTACTCATCAACAGTTGAAAGATTTTTTAACTTCAAATGAAACTATACTTAAAAAAGAAGAATCTATGATTTTATGTGATCATCATTTTGGTTTAAAAAATTGGTTATATATTATCTTTGGATATATGTTACAAACTTATACTGAAGAAGAAGTTGACAATTGTTTAGATCGGATTATTGAAATGTATTTGGATGCAAGAAAGAATAGAATATCTCCAAATGATATTAGGATAATTCGTGATGAAAAAGATAATTATATTTTAAAAACTTTTGAAGATTTTATAACCAATGTTCCAATTAGAAATGATTTACTTTATGAAACTAAAGAACGTTATGTTATTTTCAAACAAACCAAAGATCATAAAATATATTTACCTGATTTACCAAGAATCCAAAATAAACAATTATTAGTAAAAGCATTAATGCATAAAGAATTTTATCGAATATTATTGGATCCAAATCATGAATTTGCTAAAAAAATGATGTTAAAAAATTATGATTTAGAATTTAATGATTATGGATTAGTAAGAAAAGAAATTTCATTTCTAGATGGATTAGGTGATTTATTCTTAGCTCAAGAAACATCAAAATTAATTTATGAATTATGTAAAAATGGTATTCATGTAAATAGTACAACTTATCAATTATTAAAAATGATTTTTGCTACTAATACATTAATGTCAAAATTAACAAAAGCTTATAATTTATTTCAAGGTTTAGATGATCCTTTAATTAATATTCGAATTTCAAATGAATGGTTACCTTATACTACTTTAGGTAAAATGTTGGAATATAGAGATGCTGAAGAAACAAGAATTTATGAAGAAGAATTCTTAGGTGATTTTTTTGAAAGTTATATGGCTGCTTTATTACTTGAACAACCAGAAGTTGCAAAATCTTTTATTAGAGAAATTTATCAAAGATTATCTCAAGTTATAACTGAAACTTTACCCCCAGATGTAACTTATCAAAAATGGACAATTGGAATATTGGGTAGAAATATATATAACAAAAAGGATTCTGCCTTGTTATAAGTAGGAGTTTTTTCTGTTTTTTTCTTTTTTGTAAATGATTTCAATAGTCAATAATGTGTATCATCTTTAATTGTATCAACACCACTAATCAATGTTTTCTTACATCCAGCAACTAATGTGTTTAAGATAATATCAAAAAATAATACAATATAATTAATCTACATAATTAATCTACATAATTAATCTACATAAATAATCTACAACTAACCTGCTTCTTCATCACTACTGTCTACTATCTTTGCAAAAATATCAAACTTCTTTGAACGTTCTTTTTCTTCATCAGATGAATCTTCAATCTTAGCAAATACATCTTCAACTTTATCTATAATTGGAACTTCTATAGCAGAGTTCATATTAATCTGTCCATCGTCCTCATCATCAGATGAGTCGTTTATTTTAGCAAAAGCATTGGTACTGCTCTTGTGTTTATGAACACTTTCATTGTCACTATTGATACTGTTGTCAAAGTTGTTGTCAACAATCATACTGTCAACAGTGTTGTCTTGATTTTTATCATCGTTGTTGTAATTGATATCATTGATTTCACTGTTAATATTGGTCTCATTAAAAGCTTGGTTACCATTGGTCTCATTGAAAGCTTGGGTACCATTGTTGACGTTATTACCATTGACTTTGATGTTTTCTTCTAGGCCAGCACTGCCGTTACCGTTTGCATTCTTGTTTTCAATAATAGTTTCGTTTCCATTTGTATTCACATTGTCCGTAACAACAGTATCAGTGGCAATTTCCATTGGCGTATCATCATTGGTTGTGGCAATCGGTTTTGGAGTATTAGCACCTGGTTTGGCATTTGTTCCGTCCATAACAGTAATTGTATCAATACTTGGTTTGGGTATATCAACATTCCTTGTCATATCTGTTTGATTTGTTGCTGCGTTGTTTGCAAGAACACTTGCTTTAGCTATATCAATAGCTGCAGTGATAATTTTTTGATCGGTTGACACGTCATTTTCAACAACACTAGTATTAACAATTGGTTTCTCTGTTGCGGTTTTGCTATCAGTAAAAGATCCCTGAGTTGGACTGGAACTATCTTGACTAGAAAATAATCCGTTACTTTCAGGAGCTTCGTGCTTCAATTCCAGCTTGTTTTCAGATTCCACAGGAGAATTATCATCAGGTAACGATACCACCAGATTTCTATCACTACCATCTCTATTTGTTAAATATAACTTGACATCAACTGGAGTTTCATTATAAAGACCTTCGCTTGGACGGAGACCCTCATCAAAATCAACAGGAATAGCATCATATCCATCGATTCCACCATCTTCATTCTTCACCATTAGATCCATGATCCTCTTTTCGTATTTCTTCAACCGCTCATGAATATCCGACAAAATGCTGACTTTCTTTACCGAAGGTGGTTTAACAACTATTTTCACCTTAGGTTTGATTGCTTTATTTGACGCTGATGTCGTGGATGAAATTTTAGATTTTGATTTACTACTACCAGGTGTGGCTGGTGATGCTACTGAAGAATGTTTCATTGTGGAAGAAGTAGAAGTAGATGGCTTTGCTGAAGACGGTACTAAAGAATGATTACTTTTTGTATGAGATTTGGTAGATCCCAGTTTCTTTACTGATGATTGAACAGCTGGTTTTTTAACTTTACTAGTTCTCGAAGTTGTCTTATTTGATTTGGAACCACTCAATACCATACTTGCTTCTCTAGCAGCTCGTCTCTTAGTTCTACCCAAATATAAACTTGGATTTCCTTCAACAGTATTGATTTGCAATTCTTTATATATAGCTCTTTGTCTCTCTGATAGATTAAGAAATTCATCATCAACCACAATGTCGTCTTTATTTTTAAGATCTGCCACCATGCCAATCATTTCCTCAGGTTCTATTTTCTCATTCTCATCATCATCTATTGGGGCAATATCATCAGGTTCATAATCAACATCTTCTTCCATGTCAAAATTATCCTCACTACTACTTCCATTACCTTCATCGCTACTGATTTCTCTATAAGATCTCTTTTTGGATTTATCTCTAGAGCCAGATTTTGATGGACTTCTCACAGTAGTTGTACTGGAACGACTCGTATTACTTAATTGTTTTTCTTTACTAATTGGTGATGATTCAAGCATACCACTAGTAATTCTACTGCTTTTAGTTTTCTGCACTGGTTTCTTTTCAGGAACACTACGACCTGATTTTGTCCTTGATGGAGGTGGAGCTAATGTAACAGGAGATGAAATAGTGGAACTTGTAGTTCTTCTTGGTGTCATATCCACTTGATTTGATTCTTTCAGATAAACACCACCCGGTATAGTACGTGTTTTTTGGAAATCAATATGTGTAGAAATATTAGGTTCAGGAGAATAAATAACATTTTTAAAAGTATTATCAACCAAAATACGGATTTCATTATTTTGTTCATCAAATATATCTGATATTTCAAATTCAGGATCTAAATCTAATAATTCATGGTCTTGATACGAGAAAACAATCAAATCATCTTCTTTGGGATATCTTCTTTTAAATCTTTTACATAACCCTTCTTCCAATTCGTCAATAGTACTATTTGGATCAACCAAGTACAAAAACTTTAAATACTCTCGTGGGTCAATGTTTTCAATGGAAATCTTTTCATATTCCTTCGGAATTAATAAAGCCTTTAACTTGAACTTTGACATAATCTATTTGACAAGAAAAAGAAAAAAAAATATATAAATCCTGTTAAAATTGTATAACGAAGTAAAACTGTGTAAATGTTAAAGGTAGACACGTAATTAGATATATATAGGTTGTTCAATTGTAGTCGTTGCTTCTAGTGTGGTGGAGATAGATGATGATGATGTTGTTGTTGTTGTTTTGATTCTGCATGGTTGTTTTAGGTTTGTCAAAATTTTTTTTTTCTCTTTCTTTCTTTGTTTTCTCCGTCGCTCAGATTTTTTACTGGCTGTTCCCCATATCACGTTTCGTAGAGGAATTGTAATTTCAGTCAGACATGGATATTGAAGAGATCCTTGTTATTATGGAGATCTCTCTACATCTATTGAAGCTAAAAACTGCTTACGTTGATTCTGGAGTTGGAATTGTTTTATCAACCGTTCATTAATGCCATCTTCATCTTCAAAATCGTCCTCGATATTGAGTTTCGACAAATCTGGTTGTTCCCAGGTATGACCAAACGAAAGTATTTCACCATCTACAGTTCCACAATAATATCTTGCAGTGAATGGTCCAGCATTACACATAGAAACAGTTCTTCCTGAATTTTTACTCCCTCTTCGTGATAAACGCGTTTCTAATTTCCCATCAATCGTTCTAAATATGAAAATATCCCCACTTTCTGATGGAAACAACAAATATTCTGTCTCTGTTTCTCCTTTAGGATTGAGTAAAAGTGGAATAGTTTGAGGGTATTTGTTTCTAATCAATGGTCCAAAATTAATTAGTTTATTAATAGGAGGAATCGACGAACTAACCATATCCCATACTTTAATCTTATCATCATTTCCAGCAGTATATAAAATCGATCCCAGTTCATCCCAAACTAATCCATTGACAGGAGACAGATGAGCTCTTGATGATGCTTTACCAGTATAATCATCATTGTTAGTTCTCAGCATATCCAATTTGCATAAACAGCTTTTACTTCTTCTAATATCCCAAATTTTAACCTCTCCATCAAATCCTCCTGATGCTAATAGGTTTGGATTTATGGGATGCCATTTAACCACCAAAGTTCTACCTCGATGACCCAGTAATGTGTGTGCACTTGAAGTTGAATGTAAATCTAATAATCTAATAAATGGTTGATCATTTGCAGTAGCAATTAAACCATTTTCTCCACAAGTATCAATGTTATAAACTCTATTGTTTAAATTAAAAGAATGTACAGGTATTAGTTCGTTTGTATCCCAAATTTTAACTGAATGATCAAATGATGAACTAGCAAACATTCCAGTATCATATGGCCACCATTGAATACATGAAATACCAAATTTATGATGTGATTTTTGTGGGATTGTTGCAATGTTGGAAAATGTAGATATTGGATTATCATATTCGAAATTGTCATATGAGGAAGGATCTTGATGTAGATTAGCATCGACTTCATTTTCTTCTCGTAGTATATCCTGTTGTTTAAGATCCCATAATTTTATTGATGAATCTCCACATCCACTTAGTAAGTATTGGTAATCCGATGTTTCTAATGATAAAGTATTCACAGCAGCATTCTTATGACAATTCACAGGAAATACATTTCGTTTTGCTAATTGATAAACTTCGGAATAATAACTTTCTGTTATTATGTTTGAAAACTGTAAAGGAGTAATACTTCCTAACTTACGATCAAGAAGTAATGATTGCATCACTAGCGGAAGATGTTGATTGTTGTGAGAAATAAAAATGAATGGCCCAATTACTGAAATATAAGTAGTGCACCAAACAAAAAGGAGAAAGAAAGAATACAATGTGTTAATACATCAACCAGGTTGATAATCTAATTTATAACGGGGTGACTTGAATTATTATACCACCTATCCCTTTTGCTGTTCATATTTGAAAAGCAGAACTTCAAACAGGTTTATCTGTTATGAATATTTGTTGTGCAAATGTGTCATAAGTATTGACTACTTTAATAGGAATCTTTCTGTATAAATGGAGTAAATAATTTTGACATTTGGGTTAAGAAGAATACTTCTTCATAAGAGGTCAAAGTTAAAGTTAATCCTCACCCCCGCCCTTGTATAAGAGATATAGATAATAACGAGTAATAAATTATTAGTTAATCACTGAAATTATATTATCAATCAAGAAGGATAATAGCAATATTCATTATGAATTCTCTATATGTCAATAATGTAAAGTATGCCATTTATTGTAATTTCAATTCAGAAATGATATCTTTAATAGCTTCAATTCCACATCGTTGCTCATTGAAACAGATTTCTTTTTATACATGAACCATAAATAGCTTGAAATGTTTCATGTCTATTTTTTAATCATTAGAATGGGCGCAATAAATGTGGAAATATGACCATTTCCCACTGTTATCAATTTATGAGTAATCCACACAACGCGTTCAGTCAGATAAAACATGCTGCAACACTTTATTAAAGGTATTCTATAAAAAAAAACACTATATAAACAGTTTCCACCTGAGATTTAGTACCGAGTCATTTCTAATAGAGGTTATATCTTGATTTAGAATGAGGCATAAATTATTGTATTACCTCCAAGTCGACCCATTTGGATTTTTCGCATAATTACTGGAAACTGGCGATGATGATGATGACAACAACAACAGCACGACTTTTCTCAATAAACAACTCACACAATTGACAAAAAAAAAAAATTTTTTTTTCAGCATTGAAAAAAATTATCAAGAGACTTACATCACATTATCCATACACATTACTACTCACGATGTTAGATATTAACGCCTTTATTGTTGAAAAAGGAGGTAATCCTGATCTTATTAAAGCTTCTCAAAAGAAAAGAGGTGATTCCGTTGAATTGGTTGACGAAATTATCTCTGATTACAAAGAATGGGTTAAAATTAGATTTGATTTAGATGAACACAACAAGAAATTAAATACCATCCAAAAGGAAATCGGTAAGAAATTCAAAGCTAAAGAAGATGCTTCTGAATTGGTTGCTGAAAAGGAAAAAATTGCTGCTGAAAAGAAGGAATTAATTGAAAAAGAAGCCGAAGCTGATAAGCAAGTACGTTTCAAAGTTAACCAAGTTGGTAACATTGTTCACGAATCTGTTGTTGATTCTCAAGATGAAGAAAACAACGAATTGGTTAGAACTTGGACTCCAAAAGATTACAAAAAAATTGAACAAGTTGCTGCTGGTACTAATGCCCCAGCCAAATTATCTCATCACGAAGTTTTATTAAGATTAGATGGTTACGATCCAGATAGAGGTGTAAGAATTGTTGGTCACCGTGGTTATTTCTTGAGAAACTATGGTGTTTTCTTGAACCAAGCCTTGATTAACTACGGTTTGTCATTCTTAGCCAAGAAAGATTACGTTCCATTGCAAGCTCCAGTTATGATGAACAAAGATGTCATGGCCAAGACTGCTCAATTGTCCCAATTTGATGAAGAATTGTATAAAGTCATTGATGGTGAAGACGAAAAATACTTGATTGCTACTTCTGAACAACCAATCAGTGCTTACCATGCTGGTGAATGGTTTGAATCCCCTCAAGAACAATTGCCAGTTAGATACGCTGGTTACTCATCTTGTTTCAGAAGAGAAGCTGGTTCTCACGGTAAGGATGCTTGGGGTATTTTCAGAGTCCATGCTTTTGAAAAGATTGAACAATTTGTTTTAACTGAACCAGAAAAATCTTGGGAAGAATTCGACAGAATGATTGGATGTTCAGAAGAATTCTACCAATCTTTGGGATTACCATACAGAGTTGTTGGTATCGTTTCTGGTGAATTGAACAATGCTGCCGCTAAGAAATACGATTTGGAAGCTTGGTTCCCATTCCAACAAGAATACAAAGAATTGGTTTCTTGTTCAAACTGTACTGATTACCAATCCAGAAACTTGGAAATTAGATGTGGTATCAAACAACAAAACCAACAAGAAAAGAAATACGTCCACTGTTTGAACTCCACTTTGAGTGCTACTGAAAGAACCATTTGTTGTATTTTGGAAAACTACCAAAAGGAAGATGGTTTAGTTGTTCCAGAAGTTTTGAGAAAATACATTCCTGGTGAACCAGAATTCATTCCATTTGTCAAGGAATTGCCAAAGAACACCACTTCTGCAAAGAAAAGCAAGGCTAAAAACTAGAGTTAGAAAATTATAATATAGTAAACTGACTAGAGTCATGTATTTTCATCTTTTAATGTATAACATAAAGTAAAAGCAAAGGTGTAAATGACGCGTAAACCACTCCTTCTCCTCTTCCTCCCCATGTACTTTAAATCACACATTCAATTCTGTTTCATGTACATGTATTCATAGTTGATAATGAAAATTTCATCTGCACCGCCGATATGTAAACAAACCCACAAAACAGGATACACGCCAAAAAAAAAAAAAGATTATAAATATTGACACGGTTCCTCGAATTAAATGCTGTACGATCAGATCTCTTTCCAATCTTGAGTGTTTTTTTTTTTTTTGCTCGTGGTATTCTTTGCCTTCCCGCCTACAGAAATGGCTTCTTCTGCATCATCAGTGTCGTCAACAAACTCATCTCGTTCAAGTACAAGTACAATGTCTGAAGCAGAATCGTTACCAGAATATAAACCACAACCGCCACCTTCATATTCAAGAAGATCTACTTCATCCCATACAAGTTCAAATTCTTCATGTTCTGACCAAGAATCAGACATAGTAAATCCACCACAAAAGGCTAGTGAAAGACAACTATCGACATGTTGTTCAGACTGTTGGGGGAATTGTTTTGGAAGTTGTTCTGGAGAAAGCTGTACTGGTACAGACAAGAATTTCTGTGGATCTGCTTTAGTTGCATTATGCTGTGGATCAGCAATAGCTTATGGTGTCGGTTCTTAATTTGAAAACTCACTGTTGAGAGATTCTGTCATTGTCATTACCTTATTTTCAGTTCTTCATTTTATTTAATATTTTTGTTTGTATTAAAAGAATATATGTTTAATTTTAGATTAGAGTTAAGTCGTAGGTTATGAGTTGGGGAAATGGCTTAGACTGCAGATTTTTATTTGCACGCAGAAATGTAGTGGACAAAATTTGCAATAATACACGACCTCAAAAATCATCATGTATACCTGCACGTGATTCATTTTGTAATCAACAGACACTTGATACTATTCAGAGAGGCGACAAAAGATAGTACTCTGTAAATGAATCAAGTATGTACTCTATTGGAATGAATGTGTCACGAGATACTTTTATTTCCTGATGTTAACCAGGACACTAATCCAATTAGAGGGTCTAGAATCGTAAACAAACCCTTTCACTCGTGACAAATAGGTGTTTTTGACTCAACGGTTTGTAAAATTCACGTAATTACATCCTAAACCAACTGTGGCTCCTTATCGTCGAATTGCATGAACAATATATCCAAAACTAGTATCTCTTAACAATAATAGGTCATATCGGTATCAAAATGTAGAGATTTTCATGGGAAATTAAACTTAAATACCCACTAGTCCATTAATTAATTGTTCTACTTTGAATACAACCCAAGCAACCATATACTTGTTCAACGCGTTACAAAACACCTATGTGATGCCTAGGGCAGCAGAAAAAGAAAAGCGGTGAAATTGCCCCTATTGCCGTTTTTGGAATTTAACCTATTATGCATAATTAATTAATTGCGAATTCTACTATTGACAAATTGTGGATTTCAACAACGTCATAAAAAAAGAAAAGAAACGAAGCAACGGCATTCAGTTGATTTGATTAGCTTTGTAAGTGATGAGATACGAATCCTATTTAAACTATGAGTTTTTTCCATCAGTTGCAACCATTTTCTAGAAATTTACCAGACAAGCTTTTTCCATCACCAAACCATCACGATGTCCTTAGAGAAAGATAACAAACTAAAACTTGAGAATGTCGATGATTTATCATTCTCCACTGATGAATATTTGAGAAAAGAAATAGAAGAAGAAGAAGATCATGATATTAATTATAGAAATTGTTCATGGCAGAAAACAGCAGGCTTATTATTTAGTGAATACATCTGTCTTGCTATTATGTCTTTCCCTTGGAGTTATTCTGTATTAGGATTAGGTCTTGGATTAATTGTCACCGTTATTGTGTCATTATTATGTTTATACACTGGGTTGATTATTGCTGATTACTGTGCCGCCTATCCTCATTTAACTGATGTATGTGACATTGGACAACACTTGATTGGACCTAAATGGGTTTGGTATGTCACTGCTATTGCTTTTTTATTAAACAATACTTTGATTCAAGCATTACATGTACTTGTCGGAGAAAAATATTTCAACACCATAAGTGATAATAAAACTATATGTTCTATTGTATTTGGTGTTGTTTCAGCCATTGCATGTTTTTTGTTTTCATTGCCTAGAACATTTAGTCATATGTCAGTAGTTGGATATTTCTCAGCAGCTACCATGTTTGTTGCTGTTATTTTATCCATGGTATTTGCAGGAATTCAAAATCATCCTTCTGACTACGATGAAAGCACTCCAGTAGTTTGGCACGCATGGCCCGAAAATGAAAATTATGTCAACATCATGTCTGCCGTGTTAAACATTGTATATACATTTGTTGGACAGATCACTTATCCTTCATTTATTTCTCAAATGAAACAACCAAGAGATTTCAAAAAGGCTTTGGTGGTGGTTACTATCTGTGAATTGATTACTTTTGCTTTAGCTGGTTCCATTGTTTATGTTTATGTTGGTAATGCTTATATTACAGCACCAGCATTTGGATCATTGTCGGGTAATTTCAAGAAAATTGCATTTAGTTTTGCTTTACCTACAATAATCTTCCTTGGATCTTTATACAGTAATGTTTCCTCACAATTCTTATTCCATCATATTTTCAACAAAGAAAGTATCCATAGAAATAGTCATACTATTGTTGGTTGGTCAACTTGGGTTGGTTTGAATGGTGGGTTATGGATTATAGCATTTATCGTTGCTGAAGTCATTCCATTTTTCAGTGATTTGTTGAGTTTAATGTCGTCATTGTTTGATTGCTTTTTTGGATTTATATTCTGGGCTTTGGCTTATTTTAAATTGAAGAAGTTATACTACTATAAGAAAACCGGGGAACAAACAACGTTGCTTCAGTTATTTAGAGAAGGTAACTTGATTACCAAGATAGAATTTGTGTTAAATATTATAATATTTGCTTTGGGATGGTATATTCTTGGTCCAGGATTGTATGCTACTATACAAAGTATCATTTGGTCCTATCAAGAGAGTTTATATGGAAGGCCGTTTAGTTGTGTATCAAATGCTCTATAGATAACACTTTCTAGAATTGCTAAAATACGTTCGGCTTTTGTTATCCACCCGTAAGTTTTTGTCGTAATCTAAAAATTAAAAGCGGAATTCAACACCATCAAGAATAATTACATGCGGGTACATTATCTCATATAAAGTGGGGCCGTGGGGCGGGGGCTTTCTTATTAAATATTCCATTCAAAAATCCGGATATTTCAAATTCATGGCTTTCTTTCTCTTTATTGTTTATTTCTCCGATTGGCGGAATATAATGCGCTACATGAAATTTTTCTTGTAGTCCCAGTTCGGTTAGATATTCCGTTCTTTTTTTTTTTTCATTCTTGTTTAATTGATCTTATCTGAAAGTAATAACAACGATCCAGATAACGATAACAATGATTGGACTGTATAAATAGTTGTGGGTATATCCCTCGAATTTGGAGAAAGTTCTCATAATTCACTTTCAGCCATGGAAACAACCATGTTATTTAAAGAAGAAACCACACTTGTTATCGACCAAATCGACGAAGAATCCATTTCTACTGACGATTACTTGAGAAAAGAAATTGAAGTGGATCAAGATCATGATATTAATTATAGAAGTTGCTCATGGTATAAAACCGCTGGATTGTTACTTTGTGAATATATTTGTCTAGCAACATTATCATTTCCATGGAGTTATTCTGTATTAGGATTAGGACTTGGATTAATTGTTACTGTGATCGTCTCATTAATATGTTTTTATACTGGATTGATCATTTCTGATTACTGTGCTGCATATCCTCATTTGTCTGATATTTGTGATATCGGCAGACATTTAGTTGGTCCGAAATGGGTTTGGCATTTAACAGCGGTTTCATTTTTAATTTTCAACCTTTTAATTCAAGCTTTACATGTACTTGTTGGAGAAAAATATCTTAATACAATAAGTGATAATAAAACATTATGTTCAGTTGTATTTGGTGTTGTTTCAGCTATTGCATGTTTTATATTTTCATTGCCTAGAACATTTAGTCACATGTCAGGAGTTGCTTATTTTGCTTCGGGAACAATGTTGATCGCCATGATATTAGCGATGATTTTTGCTGGAATTCAAGAGCATCCTTATAGATACGATGAAAAAACTCCAGTAACTTGGAATGTATGGCCTGCTGAAGGTGAAAGTTATGTTAATATCATGTCAGCTATTTTAAATATTGTTTTCACATTTGCTGGTCAAATTACTTATCCATCATTTATTTCACAAATGAAACGACCAAGAGATTTCAAGAAAGCTTTAATAGTAGTAACAATTTTAGAATTAATAACTTATGCACTTGTCGGTTCAATCATTTATGTTTACGTTGGTGATGCTTATATTACAGCACCGGCATTTGGTTCATTGACAGGGAAGTATAAGAAAATTGCATATAGTTTTGCTGTGCCTACTATTGTATTTCTTGGTTCTTTATTTGGTAACATTTCCTCACAATTTGTATTTCAACATGTTTTCAACAAAGAAAGTGTTCATAGAAATAGTCATACAATCACTGGATGGTCCGTATGGGTTGGTTTAAATGTAGTATTATGGGTTCTTGCATTTGTGGTTGCTGAGGTTATTCCATTTTTCAGTGATTTGTTAGGTTTAATGTCATCTTTGTTTTGCTGTTTCTTTGGGTTTATATTTTGGGCATTGGCTTATTTTAAGTTGAAGAAGTTATACTACTTTAAGAAAACAGGAGAAGAGACTTCATTGTACCAATTGTTTAAAGATGGAAACTTGGTTACCAAGACAGAGTTTATTTTGAATGCTTTTATATTTTCTTTGGGATGGTATATTCTTGGTCCAGGATTGTATGCAACTGTGCAAAGTATCATTTGGTCATATCAGAAGAATTTATATGGAAGACCGTTCAGTTGTGTATCGAATGCTATATAGTCAATTAATGAGTTAATTTATACAACTCGTTAATAAATTCAATCATAAAAGAACCAGAAGCTTCTGCCTTAACTAATGAACCTGCTTTATTGTAAAGTTCAACTGCGCCAACAGTAGCACTGAAAACATCGGTCCCTTTATTTCCATCAGCTTTGGCTCCTAAAAATGCAGCAATGGTACTTCCCAAAGAACAACCAGTTCCAGTGACATTACCCATCAATGGGTTACCACCTTTTACTTTAGCAATACGTTTGTCACCATCTATTATATAGTTGACTTCACCAGTTACGACAACCACAGTTTGGAAATCAACTGAAACAGTCTTGGCAATCTTAATAATATCATCTTCTCCATATTCAACAATAGAATCCACACCTCTCATTAATGCTTGATTTCCAGTGTCAATATATTCACTGGTTAATTTATAAAGTCCCATAATTTCACCAACATTACCTTTAATGACAGTAAATTGACCAGATTTCAATAAACTCTTGCTGCATTCCAATCTTGCTTTAGTAGCGCCACAAGCAACAGGATCAAAAACAATTGGTTTACCATATTTGTTGTACATATGAATAGCTTGCTTGAATACTTTATGTAATCCTTCAGTTGGTGTACCCACATTTAAAACTAATGCAAGGTTTGGAATACTTGAAGCAAACTCTTCATATTCTTCATCAAGTTCAGACATAATTGGAGATGCACCAATTGCTAAAGTCACATTGGCACTAAAATTTTTGACAGTATTGTTAGTTATATGATGAACCAATGGGTGTGCTTTACTTAATTGTTTGATTTTAACAGATAAATCGTCAGTTCCATCACTGGTAATATTAGCCCAAATTGGTTGTCTATTGATCACTTTTAATAAATCAATTGTTGCTTGTGCTGCATTTTCATTTGCCATAATACAAGAAACAACAGCTACACCGTCAAGTTTTTGTCCTGGTACAGCACATTGGTATAATACTTTGTCAGCGTTGGAATGATTGACACCTCCAATACCAACACATCTAATTGGTTTTTCTCGATGTGATTGATTATATTTTTTTAAAACTTGTAACAGTTTTCTAATCCCTAATGGTCCAGTACCACCTGGTTCTTTCAAATCTTTTTTAGTTTGAGTTGGATAAAGAGTACCTAATCCCACATAATCTGCAATTCCTTCACCAACAACTTGTTGAGTTTCATCATATGATGAACAAGTAACACCCAAAATCTTATTTGGTCCAATTAATTTTCTTGCTAATTTAGCAGGCATATCTTTTTGTCCAACATGAACACCTTCAGCATCAATAGCAAGGGCAACATCAACACGATCGTTAATAATTAAAGGGATACCTTTTTTCTTAGTTAATTCATGAACTTGTTCTGCCCTTGTAATAAATTGCCGTGTGGTTAATAATTTTTCACGCAATTGAATCAAAGTAGCTCCATTGTTAATAGCTGCTTCGACTTGTTTCAAGAAAGTGGATGATTCCGGAATCATGGTTGAATCCGTTACCAAATACAATGAATAATCAACATCTACCATATTGTATAATTGTCGTAGTGAATGGGTTGTAATGAATTATAAAATAGCAATAAAGATAAAAACTAGGAGGAAGAAAAGGAATCAAAAACCTTGATTGATTTTTTTAATTTTTTTTTTTTTGGGTTGTCGTTTGAATTAATTTGAACATTGTTAGAATGTAACCATTGAAACAAAGCTGATGGTTGTTGATTGAATCCGTTGACATAAGTTAATGCACTTAGAGTTCATTGAAATAAAAAAATGCGATTACAAGATCCTCATTCTTTTTTGTGACATTTGTTTAAATTTTTCACTTTTCATGATTTGGTATCATCCATATGTAAGAACTGGTAGGTTGATACGATTCAAAAGCGTTCAAAAATTTTCAAAGCTTTGTAATAAGTAACTTACCATGAATTATTTTAAAATACAGGTTGTGGCGTATATCAAGGCAATATCCCAGGGTAATAGGAAATTGGCAATAAAGCGATGTCACCTCTAGACGCCTGTAATTTAGTTTACTATTCAAGATCACAGAAGCTATCTCCTATAACTTGATTGTTCTGAGTTTAGTGCTGAATGACTTATTTTAAAGACGGACATCTATTTTCCATATCAGTTGTGCTTTACGGGTATTTAATGGAATCCTAGATCTGAATCAAATATGTTCAATTCGACACCCTGTTTTCGTAACAATTACTTGTGTTTTATCAGTTTTGTCAAGATATTTATCTTCGAGAACTTGGTTGCTCTAAGAAACTATTGAATTATTTTGCACTATAAATATCTGGTCTGATCCAGGTTGTGAATAAGAAGACCAACACAATTGTCTAATTTCTTATTTAACTAGTACGGGTTCTTTATATAGGACTTCTTGGTAGTACTGAAATAGATGTATAATAGTACCAAATTAATATAGAATTAAGCTAGAAAATTAGTTAGATAGATATTTATATAAAAGTAGCACATAAAATGTGTAAAATAAAGGGAGAAGTCGTCCATTTAAATAGACGACTGCAATAACCAGCCAAAACTTACTTTGGCGAAATCAAACTCCCTTTTTTTTATTGGGAATTAATATTTGTATAAATTTTCCAATAATTGTGCTATCGAGTCCGCTGAAAATTAAATCTTTATTATATTCATATGTTCACCATTACATTGAGATACTTACATAATGATAAGTCACAATATTGGTGTATATAGTGTTTCCAAATGAATTCACTATGATCTCAAGTGGATTATTTCCGTAATTTTCATTTTGATTCAGACACGAGAATTGACTTGAACCTCATTTTACCACACTAAATGTAACAACTGTTAAAGTTTTGATAAGTTAGATTAAATAGAAGTGAATAATGATGATATCCACTATGAATATGAATATTCTAAAACAATTAAGCAATGAATGGAGATTTTCTACTTAAAATTATGATCTGATTAAACTCTTCTATTGAGTGAATCTGGCTAGTAAATTTGTTATGTTGCAAGGATAGTTCATATTTTTGTAATGATACAGAAAAAATGAAAGCATTTTAGACACTCTTGAACAATTCTTTTTGACATATATTTAATAATCCATTTGAATATAATGGGAATCAATCAAGATATTCAATTTGACACAATTCTGATTAAGGAAAGACACATAACAGTGGATTATGTTCATGAATTTGATGGCGGTAGCTTCCAAATCTATATTCCGAAAAGTGAAACCATATATATATGTATATTCAAATATTCCATCCTTGAAACCATATTTTTGAATGTTACTTTTTGTTGTACATGCATATGTTCCAGTGATTGCGCCCTATATCTGTGTGTCCCAATGTTCCATCCATTAAACTATTGATTTTTATGTTCCTGATTTGGTGCGCATTTGTATGTAGATATTTTCACTCCATATATCCGTATAGTCGAATGTTCCGTCCATATATCCATAAATTTAAATGTCCATTCCATAGATCCATAGATTTATATGTTCCAAATTTGAGGAACATTTGAATGTTCCAGAAAAAGTAACATTTATATATCTGTTTTCTATGGTCGTCACAGTGCGACATGCAAATGTTCCACGATTTGCAACATTTGTCACTATTAGTACGATTATTGGAATTCTGAAAAGCGCATATAATTTGTAGTGATAAATTATGCTATATAAGTTAATTCTGAATCAATTGGATAAATATTGGAGGAGTTGGATGTAAATCTTACTCTTCAAAAATCAAACAATCTTTTTTTTATCGGGAATTATCATTTTGATGAATAAGTCAGTAATTACGCTATCCTGGTAGCTCAAATTGTATTCATTAGAATATTCATGTAAAATACCTTCTATTCACATTATTATTATATTATACTTCCAGTTTTTAGACTATCTAGTGTTTCCAAAGTGGGTTCATCAGGGATTCGATTGGATTATTTCCGTAATTTTCAAAATGGTTAACGCACGAAAAATATCCAAAAATTGACGTGAATCTCTTTTCCCATACAAAATTTAACTGATTATGTGTTTTTAGTTGTATTGGTTGGAAACATGATCCATTGTGGGTTTTATACATTCAACTCCATGATATAATAAATGGATAACATAATAGATTGTCCTGGTAAGTACTAATAGTGATAGTAATGAAACAGAACCCGATTTATATATTATATCTTTCATTGGTTGTCATATTTGAACTTTTTTGCTTTTTCTTCAGATTCTTTCGTATGAACCATGGACCTAAATTCAAGAATTCGCGGAAACTGTACATCGATAATAGGTTGAGCATAACTAATAATCAATTTTAATCTGTAAGGATTTGTTATGCTAATTTATTTTATTTCATTGACTGGTACTAATTTATTCAACTGGTAAATTTTTTCTTTCAAATCCACTCACAGTTCACCTCTTCGGGGAACGAAGTATATGCTGGATTATTATATCGATACAGTAGATCTTGGATAGTTTCATTAATTGTCGCTGATGTATATTTGTCGATATTTTATATATAATGATAGCCTATAGCAATATGATGAAAGCTAGTACCAGTCAATTGATCTTGTTGCAAATTTTTGGAAAAATAGGTGTATTCATAAAGATGCGAAAAACTTTTAGAAATAACCTAAAATGAGAAACCGCAATGTTCCTTTTAGTTTGTTGAAAACTTCATTATGTTGCTGAAAAATGGAAACATCGTAAGGTTGCCAGAAGTTGCCAAAAGGTGGAAAATAAGAAACCTCAGTAATTTTAAGAAAGTTTCCAAAAATGCGATGACAGGAAATTATTCTCCTTATTCTATAAACTAAAGCAATTTCATAAAGTTGTCCATGTTTTGCTAGATCTATTAATTCTAGCCCGATTATCGTTGCTTGAACAACATGATGTTATTTATATCAGTGTTTAATACTGTCACACTAACTTCTGAGCCAATACAATGAAAACTGGTGGAGTTATCTATCAAACCTTACTTTTGAAAAATCAAAGTATCTTTTTTCTATCGGGAATTATAGTTTTCCTAAATAACTCAATAATTACGATATCCAGTCTGCTTAAACTGTATTCTTTGGAATATTATTATACATAGAATTACGTGTATACCATTATTATATCCTATTTTCAGTTTTTACACCATCTAGTATTTTTATAGGGATTCATCAGCAACTCGATTGATTTATTTCCGTGATTTTTATTTTGGTCCAGACACGACAAATATAGAAAATTGACATGAATCTCTTCTCCCCATACAAAATATAAAAACTTTTGAGTTTTTGATTATAAAAAGTAAACATCAATGGTACATTGTATATTCTATCCATATTATTATACTTGAATATATTTTATTAAAGTAATAAGTTATATGCCGTTACCAATAAGTTTCACGTTTAGATTTATTGATCTAATAAACAATGTAAGTAAAACAAAAGCAAGTATATTGATTATTCAGTAATTCCTAGTAGATACTCTCATACTGAAGTTGGTATATAAAGCTATCTTTGTATCATTAAAACTATTTTAGTGTAATAGCTCTCCTAGAACCGCCAAATTCTGTAGAAAATGTGTACAATCTAAATTTTATATGACCCTTTCACCTTCCAAGATGTGAATATTGTAGTTACAACAACCCGAATACTTGATATTAATACGTAATTCTATTGCTGTTTGGGAAGAAGTGGGAATATCAGTATATTCTGATTTACCGTGTTCAGTTTCAAAAAGAAAAACAAAACTTATTAGTAGAAATGATTCGAGTCAACTCAAGGATTCCAGTCGTCTTTTTATTGACAAGCTTATTCGAACCCCCTATCTTAATAAAACAAATTCAAATTCGTTTTCCAAATTAACCCTTTTTAAATTTGATACTCAATACCAAGACATTTTTTTGTGTGTTCCTTCAAATTACGGATAATCTAATGAAATTAAACTTTATACTAAAAAAAAAACTTTAATCAAAACCATAGAGTACCTTAAATGAAATAAGATACTTTTTATATGATGTTTAAGTTTAGTGTTACTCATGTCCTAGACACCGCAAGTACAGTACTGTTACTTTAAACTACGTATATAATTAGTCCAAAACCAAAAGAAGTGCATAATCATAGAGTACAATAATAGTGCGGGGGGGGGGGGTCTAATTTGATTGATATGAATTCTCCTTGCTATTCTCATCAAATTTCAGTTACTTGTTGTTCATTTTGGTTTCACTGTCAAATTAATGATGGGTAACATTCCGAAGGGTGCATATCTTTTATTATAATTGCCAGGTTGTCGTTGATACTACAACGGATATTGATCCCCGAGCGGAATTAACCAGGAACCCCCCAAAAAAGAAAGAAAAAATAAATTAGCAGTAATTATTTTTTATATATCATTTTCTTCATGAGTCATTTTCATTTTCATTTTCATTTTTTTTTTACTTCATTTTATAATTGCAAAGAGATATTGATTGAACAGATGGTTGAAGAAAAACATATTAGAAAACCTGAATTTAATGAAAGGATCTACATTTGTAGAACTGTTGGAAAATATTCTTCGAATTTTAGTATTTCAGTAAAATACAATCAATATGTTTCCAAAGAGTTATTATCTAATGCTTTACATTCTATGATTCAGAAAAATAGTTGGTTTGTTCAGAACTTTTTCAGAATTAATGGTGATGATGATGAAGATGATAAAGTTGCTAATGGTACAAACTACGAAGTAAGAATAATTGATTCAATTAAATTTGAAGATGTTGTTACTTATGAAAAAATCAAAAAATTCAATGGTGAAACCATGGGTTTTCTAAATGAATTTATATTCTCTATGAATTCGTCAACTTTACCATTATGGAAAGTTTTTGTTTTTGAAGAATCAAATGGTGAACAATTGATTAGTGTTTGTTTTGATCATTCTCATTTTGATGGATTATCAGGTGTTCAATTCCAAAAAGATCTAGCTAAAGAATTATCATTAGCTGAGGAGAAATATATTGACGAATTATTTAATTATGAAAGAGATTTTGAAAATCTTCCGAAGGAAATCTTACCTCCTGTTGATACTTTAACTGATTTGTTTACTCCATCTCGTTGGCTAATTACAAGTTTATTATTAAACAAATTTGTTCCATTATATGCCAGCGTGGTTAAATATTTCTGGCCTCCTGATCCACCAGTATTTAAAACCAAAAAACCTAATGATAAAAATTTAAAAGCACATTATCGATACTTAAAACTAACTTCTGATCAAGTGTCCGAGATTTATAAATGTTGTCGTTCTATGGGAGTTACAGTAACTGCATATTTTGATATCATGTGTTTGAAAGCTTTACAAGATACTGTATTTCAAAGTGTTAAGCCCAAAGCTGACTTTACATCTTCTTTAATTGCTGTCAATGGAAGAAGATATTACTCGGATGATATTAAGAATTTCAAATATGGTACTATGGTATGTGGAGTACCTATTATTTTCCCAAGAGTTATTGATGATGAAAAGAAAGCCATGAAAACTTTTAATACTAAATTACAAGAAGATATAAAACATAAAAAATCATTTCAAGCTATTGGAGTAATTAAATTTATTAATATTTGGGAATTTTTCAAAAACAAAATCATCAATAATGATCCTAGATTTACAGTAACTGTTTCTAATATTGGTAAAATTTCTGATTCAAATGATATCTATACTTTTAAAGAATTATATTTCACTCTGAATACTGGAATCATTTATAATTTTGTTTTAAATATGACAACTTTACCAAATGGTGAATTAACTGCTGTTTTTGGAAATATTCCGGAATTTGAAAATTATGAACTTAATGGAAATCCAGTCATGGATGAATTCATATCAACTTTCAAGAACTATCTTCTTGATTTTCATCAATCGGTAAACCTCCCTTCTCCTCCCCATCAAAATTGATATCATCTTCAACTTGTTTAATTTCATTCATTTCCAACATATAATCCTCTACTTTTCCTTTATTATTTTTAATTACATTTATTAATTGTCTAGTTTTATCAATAGAATACTCTTCACATTTTTTTATTGTTCCACTAACATGTAAACATCTAAAGATAACAAAATTCAGTTCAATTTTAGTTATTAATGAAAGGGCAGCAACAATTAAATCACTTTGTTCTCTATCACATCTTAATATTCCAGTTGATGTTTTGTTTGAAAAATATTTGACTATTAAACTTCCTCCGGCTTTACCTGATCCAGTATCTCCATAATTATCTTGTAGTGCTTTTCGTATAGTTGATAATATCGTTCTAGGATTGATTTTTGCTGGTGATGTTTGATGTAGTTGTATTAATGCATTCAGTTCAGATTTTGAAAATGTTGAAAATTCATCTCGTGGGGTGATTTTAGAATCTGATGTTGGTGGATATAATATATCAAATAGTAAATATCTATGTTTAATTCTGACCATAGTTGTAGATGTAATACAAGATGAGTTTATCAAGTTCTAGTATTGTACTTAGAATTTTTTTTTTGCTTTTGCTTTTACATCGCCCTATTCTGATGTATGCGGCATACGTCCAAAATAGGAAATCAGGTTTATGGTTGGCACACGCAGGTGGTATCGTACTTTTACAACAAGATAACTGGTAACACTCCTATAACTTATAACTATAACTTTGACATTTTTATTTTTATTTTTATTGAGTATAAATAATCTACAACTTTATCTACAAAGAACCATTCTTAACTAATGATCCTTCATTATACATACCATCAATTTGATCTTGGAAGAATTTAACTGCGATTGGTCTTCTAATCTTCATGGTTGGAGTAATGACACCTCTATCAACAGTTAATGGTTCGAAATCAACATAAATATTGTGCAATTTTTCAAAACCTTGTAATTGATCAGCAATCAGTTTGTTCATATCTTGTAACAAAATCTTTCTATTTCTTGGAGACTTAAAGAATTCAACAATGTCATCTTCTTTGACAATTTTGTCGTGGAATCTATGTTCCATATATTGTTTAGCAGCAATAGGATCCAATCCAACAACAGCAACCAAAAAGGATTCCTTGGAGTCACCATGAACAAATAATTGTGCAATATACGGAAATTTAGATAAATACAAACCTTCGATTTTTTCTGGAGTAACGTATTCACCTTGAGCCAATTTGAAGAAATTCTTTGCTCTATCAATAATAGAAATTCTACCTTTTGAGTTAATTTTAGCTACATCACCAGTATGGAACCAACCATCTTCATCAATGGCTTTGGCAGTTTCTTCAGGATTTTTATAATATTCTCTGAAAATTTGTGGACCCCTCAATAACAACTCACCTCTTGGACCACCTTCATCTTTAGAAGTGTATCCCATTTCAACAAGGTCCTTTAATTTAACTTCGGTGGTGATAGAGGTAGCACCACAAGTAGCGGCTTCTGGTTCAAACTTAGAGGAAGCCATACATCCGGCAAATGACTCACTCAAACCATAACCTTGCATAATACCAACATTCAATGCGGCCTTCAAGAATTGAATGGTTGATGGTGCAATTGGGGCACTACCAGTACTGATATATTGGACATTTTGCATACCAATCTTTTTTCTCAACATGTTCAATAAACGGTCGTAAACAAGAAGACTTGGATTGACATTTTCATTCTCATCTTTGGTTTGCAAATCCATCTTGGCATTAATAACGGTCGAGAAAACAGATTTTACCAATGGCTTTTCATCATTATTAATGGTTTGTGATCTAATTGCCGCTTCCAATTTGGTTAAAACTCTAGGAACTAATGCTAAACCATCTGGTTGCAATACCTTAACATCTTCAAGTAAAGTCAATGGTGAAGGACCTTGTGGGAATCCAATTGCGGAACCAATAGACAATGCAAATTGAATACTTGCTCTTTCGTAGATATGAGCTAATGGAAGGAAAGAATAAGCTCTTGGATTAAATTTCCCATCATATCTACTAAGAATAAAAGTAACACCAGCAACAGCATTTCTATGATTTAAAACAACCCCTTTAGGATTAGCACCAGTAGTACCTGAAGTAAAAGTAATAGTAAAATCAGTATCTGGAGTTGGTTCAATTGGATCCAATGGGTTGATTTCACCCAATTTTTCAACTTGTTTCATATCAAAAACGGTGACATTATGTTCATGCCCATAATTCTTTAATGAAGAATCAGCAGTAGTCAAATCATCCATAGATACCAAGACAATTAAATTGGACAATTCTTCTGGGTTTGATTTTTTTAAATCAATAAGCCCTTTAATCTTATCCTTTGAACAAATAACAATTGGTGATTCAGTCAAACCTAAAATGTACTTACTGGTATCTGGACCCAAAGTATCATACAAGGCTGTGTTAGTTATCGAATAAGCAACACTAGTCAAATCACACAATTCCCATTCTGGACGGTTATGGCTGAAAATGGTCAAAATGAAGGAATCTTTGCTTGCTGGATCATATTTCAACTTGGAATGAGCTTCAGAAGAAGTTTTGTATGGATTATTTTGTAAAACAAAGAAAATCCCAGATCCCAAATTGTTTCTTCTTTGACGAATGGTGTTGTAATCTTGGAATTTGTACTCACCAAAAGTACCATCTTGATTTTTAACTCTTGCACCAAGACATGGTTTATCTCCGTATGCCTCTGTAGCAACTTCAAACAACTTGTATAAAGTGTCGACTCCTGGATATGGGGTATCAATTAATTTATCAAGGGAATATTTGTTTCTGTAGATAGCAGAAAAGCCTGGTTCTTCGGAGTTTTCAAGTGGGACAGCAATTGAAGCCAATTTTTGATCAAGAGGGAGATCGGCTGCAATGGTGTCGAGAATATGTTTTGCCGATTCTTTAAATAATGCTGGCATGATTGGGATTCAAGAATAGTTATCAAAGATAATGAGTCAACAAGTAGTAGAAAACAAAACAAAAAAAAAAAGGAATAAACAGTTGAAATGAAAATCTGTTTCTTTGTTTGCAATGGTGGGAAATTTTTACCACTACTTATATGCGTGTTTGATTTCTTTAGACTGTTGTTGCTTAGTTTTCCAGTCCAAGGCAAAGGAGAAACAAGAAAGAAAAAATTTCTCCATCGATTTTTCTCTTTGTATTATTTTTTTATTTTTTTGCTCCTCGGCAATTACCCAAAAGAGTCACCAATAGGACCCCCTTTTTCTCCCATAGGGACTGGGTTTATATACAGATATGTGATCTTCAGATAAGTATCCAGCAAGTGTTACTCCTGAAGGATACGACTAGAAAGAGAATCCTATAAGCATATGCGTATTCAATCAAACAGAGAGAAATAGTTGAATAAAGTACTATAACTTACATTTGATTTCACAGATTGTTTGATTACGACCTGACAATACAGATCATTGTAACATCCATATGAGGGGAACATCATATTTCCTTAATTATTATGTAATCCAGACAACTGTGGTTGATTGGTTGATATTCCCATTAAACTTTTCACTTTCTGTTTTTCTGTTTTTTTTTGCTTAGTGTTCTTGCTGTACTGTTAGATCAATTGCAAAATTAAACAAAATAGTGGGGAAATTTATGCCTGTTTCTCCACAAAACTTAAAAGAGAGTTGGTACTGATTATCGGGTCTTCGGACTTATCCCCCCAATAATTAATTCAATAAAATTTATCCGTCGTTGGATAACCATTTCCTGTTGAACTAATCGTGTTTTACCATTAATTGTTTCCCAGATTTACTGATCGCCAGTGTAATTGTTGATACAGTTTAGAACGGACAAATTGCTTACTGAAACTTTTCCTTTTTTTTTATAATTTTTCGGCTGTGCTTTGTAACGTCATAGTTGTCTTTTATAATATACAGGATACACGTGATGTGATGCACGCCCACTTTTGCACGCACGCACATTAGCCACTCCATTTGTTCGTTCCCATACAAAAATTCATCATTTGCATGTGATAAATTTTTTTTTTATGATTACAATGTCTCGCGTATAAAGAAAAATTGTTATATTCAACACTATGTTATACTATGTTATACTTAAACTATGCAATATCACGATTCAATGAACTTTCTATAGATAAATATACAAAATAAAAGACCAAACACAACGAAAGGAATCAAATTCTCATTCTTACCTTCTACTTTGACATTATCTTCGACTTCTCTTGATTTTATCTTTTCAATTTCAGATGAATCTTCAACAAATTCTTTACTGATATTCTCATCATTCTTATATATCCCGTACAATTCAGGCTGTGTTAAATTGACAACAGAAGGTGATTTTGTTGGAGCATCAAGGTCTTTTAAATTTGATTTCGAAAGGGCAGCTTTTCTCAATGACATGATTAGTTCAATTTAAAATAAAAATAAAATTAAAAAATTAAAAATTAGATTGTTCTTGTAAGGGAAGTCAGGGTCTATGTGATTGCTTGATGTGTCTATTATGAAATAACGAAGGGGTAATATAAACGAGCTATTAAATAGGGAGAAATATCAAAGTTGTAATTGAAATCAATAATAAAAAAAAAAAGAACGAAAAGAAGCAAATAAAAACTCGTTATGTTTCACTCACAGTCACTCACTCTCACTCACTCACTCAGTTGGTATTTTTTTTCTTTCTCTCTCTCTGTTTAATTTTTATTATATTATTTTAGTTTTTTATGCAAAGTCACGTTCCACCACTACCATCTAAAAATATTACTGTCCTTTATAATATATATATCTATAGAATGCCAGAGGTAGTTAACTTACATGGCGTAAAGAAAAAGAGATAATCTCTCAGTAATATATGATTACTTGAATCAATAGGGAGTATTTGCTGACTTGTACTGATCTTGTCCATTGAATGAATGGTTTGGTTTGGTTGACTAGTTGCGTGTACTCGGGCAAATAATCATCATATCATTACATGCTCCCTATTCTAACCCGTGATTTCCGTTAATAATTGCTGGTACAACCCCTTTTATTTGAATTCTAACTTATTATTGGATGAGTAATGATTGATTATCTAGAATGCTATAACAATGTAACAATTCTTTATACTCAATTATGCTTTTATAACAAAGCCGGAGGCATTACTTTACGAGGTAGTGTGAATACCATATATTGAAGCAACGCAAGAATGAAAGAGACAAAGAAAGAAAAAAGAAAAACTAAAAACAAGAACCACCTCCCTTCCTCCCCCTCCTCTGTTTATTACTGCGGACAACTACATCTCAATAATAACTATTATCAATGGCTGGAACTTCGACGAGAAGGTCGACTAGATCTGTATCTAATCCACCAGAGGAGATCCATGAAGATGACATGTATGACGAAGAATTGGAAAATATCAAGAAACATATTGATTTCCACAATGAATCAGATGAAGACTCTGAAGATGAATATATCTTATCATCATCGGACGAAGAATATGATGGAAAAAATGGAGAAGAAGAATATGATGATTATGATGAAAATTATAACTTTAAAGATGCATTAAAAGGTGCTAGTAACTTTAGAGTACGTAATAGAAGAGAGAAGATTAGTAAGAGTTCTAAAAATTATTATAAACGTAAAATGATGAGAGCTGATAATAGAGAATTGGATCCTGAAGTTAGATCGAATTTATCTCAAGCTAATGAAGCATTTGTTAGAAAAGATTTTGGTACAGCAGAAACTTTATATTTAGAAGTTATTAAAAAAGATGCCAAAAATTTCACAGCTTTCAAAGCCTTGGGTGAAATTTATCAAGCACAAGGCGATTTCAATAAATGTTGTAATTATTGGTTATTGGCAGCAAATATTCATCCTTGGGATACTGAATTTTGGGGTCAAGTGGCAGAATTATCTTCTGAATTGGGTTATATTGATCAAGCTATTTATTGTTACGGTCGTGCAATTACGTCCGATGTTAGAAAAAGTTGTGATTTTATACTACAGAGAGCACTTTTATATCAAGAAAGAAAACAATTTGGTAAAGCATTGGAAGGGTTCCAAAAAGTTAGACAATTATATCCACAAGATTCCAACATCATTAAATATTTGGCTTCCGTGTATCTGGAACAAAAGCGTTTAAATGATGCAATTAATTTGTATATGAAAGTTTTGGATAATAATATCGATCCAAATAAAGAATCTGGAGAATTGTTTCCCAAGTTTGATTGGGCAGAATTGAATATTTTATTAGAACTTCATTTACAAAACCATTCCTGGAGAATGGGATTAAATGTGTTGAAATTAACATCCAGATGGATTCAAAATAGAACTGAGGAAACATGGTGGTCTGAAGATGAAGATTTGGAATTTGATACTGTGCAAAGATTTCAGGTTTTGGATGGATTGTCAGAAGATCAGAGAGTAGAAGCCAAGGATAAAGCATTTGAATTACCAATTGATATTCGTTTCAAACTAGGGTGTTTAAGACTTGGGCTCAAACAAAAAAGAGTTGCGATGGTTAGTTTTGATTATTTAATTGATGAACAGGATGTTGCTGATTTGCATTTCGAAGCAGGTAAATTATTAGAAGAACATGGGTATTATGAAGATGGATTAAAATTCTTAACAAAAGCCTATGAAGATGAGCAATTCCAAGGTAGTCTAGAATTGACCGAGTTATTAGCCAGATGCTATTTTGAAGTGGGTGATTATAAACAATCTAGATATGCCTATGAAGAATTATTACAACATGATCCTAATAATTTAGATTTCAAATTATCCTTAGCAGAAAGTTTATTGTATTTGGGTGAAAATACCCGAGCACAAAAATTGATTATAGAAGTTAGACAATCTCGACCTAAAGAAGAAGGGGCTGATATTGAAATTGATAGCGAAACAACAGAAAACCTTTCATTGATTCCAAATGAATTTAAGAAAACTCATGGTAAAAGAAAATTGACAGAACAAGAAAGGGAAGAAATTGAAAATAATGCCACTCGTAAATTATTGGAGAAGTACGGTAGAATGCAAAGATTACAAGAAGCAGTAAACAATGGAGATAGAATTGCCATTAGTGCATGGATTCAATTAGCTTCTCAATTGATTGAAATATTTGCCAACGTTAAGAGTTTTTTTCCTAGAGATAAGAATAGAATTTTCAGAGGGATTATTCGATACAGAAGAAGAAAAGATATGGGATTGGATGAAAAATTGGCCAGAACTCATAATTTATATTTGGGTATTGTTCCTGATGAAAATAATTCAAGACATACATTAACCAGTAAGACTGAATATCGAGGGCTTAGTTATGATCAATGGTTTAAAATATTTGCCCAATATGCTATACTAAACTCAAGGTATGAAAACAAGGTAGATTATGCTGACGAGATTGTTGATTTGGCATTAAATGTGAATGTTTTCATTCAAGATAAAAGAAAAGAAAATTTTCTTCGAACTTTGAAACTAGTCTTTGCTGTGGGTAGAGGACAAATTGTTGAATCTATTTTCATTCAAATTCGTCATTTTTTAAATCTGAATCAATTTTCCCCATTTATTTATAAATTATTCATGTGTTGTTATAGTGCTGGTATAAATTTCTGGGAACAATTTTCATGTTATAATCATCAAAAATATTTCTTACGTCAATTGAAAGGATATGATTTCTAATTATACTGGTAAATATGTTCTGGGGATGGCCACTATCACAGCCGATCTTTCTAATGTAACAATTGGTAAGAATCATCTTGATTTGATTTATGTTTATGCCAATTTGTTAGGTGGGAATAAAAGTTATGCATCTACGATTTTCTACTTGAATCGAGCATACAATGATTATAATAAAGATCCTATATTATGTTTAATGATTGGATTAAATCATATTCATCGATCAATGCAAAGATTAAGTACCAATAGACATATTCAATTATTACAAGGGATAAGTTATATAATGGAATATAAAGAATTAAGATCCATTAATGCTACTAAATTTGAATTACAAGAAATTGAATATAATTTTGGTAGATTTTTCCATACTATTGGGTTATTCACATTAGCTGTTAAGCATTATGAAAAGGTTTTAGATATGAAAAATGAATTTATAGGTGAAGGTGATGAAGATTATGACTTGTCTTGGGAAGCTGCATATAATTTGAGTTTGATTTACAATATTAATGGGAATCCGAAACTAGCAAAAAAAGTCATTGATGATTATTTGACTGTATAGTATCTGTGAGTGTATCACAGATGAGTGTATTATAGCTGATTGTATCATAGTTGAGTGTATCATAGATGAATGTATTATTTGAATCTTGAAGGTGTCAACGGTATTGATCTTCAGATACGATTCCTTTTCGTTGATCCATTGCCTCGAGATTAGTCAACCAAAGGAAAGTTGATACGATATGACCGAATAACCGTTTGTTTGTATTCACTCTACACCACATTTCACCATTCATCATTTTACGAACTGTTTAAGTTGTGGCTATGCAAAGCAACAATGATGATGCTGTACTTAACACAAACTAAACCCAAATAAACCAAGTAAACCTTCCTCAAAACAAAACTAAAACAAGACATTACAATGTATTTTTGATTTCGGGTAGAGTAGAATTTTATCTGTAATTGTTTGCCAATGATTCAGTCAATCCATAAAACCGTTAAAAGCGAACAACCTCACTCTAAACCAATCAACACATCAACGTCGCGTATACCAATTAAAAAAATAGCACAAAATAGATTCCGAGGGTTTGAAAAATTTTTTAAACTATTTTTGATGGTGGTGGTGTAGAATGTGTAAGATGGAATGGTAAGAGTCTAAAAATAGTTCATGTATCTATTTAACATTCTTCACGATGAAACAATTAAATTACGCGATTTGTTTATGCTTGAATGTTTATGTTTTTTATTAAATCCGTTTGGGAAATTGAAAGTTTATTACTCCGGTTTAATCAATATGGTGATAATGATCTCTAGAATACAATTCACGACTAACCAGCCATTACCTCAGATTAATAATAATCACATCATTTACGTTCTACTAATGCAAAAAAGAAAAAAAAAATTAAAGAATTCCAATAAAATGGTTAGAGTAATTACCTTTTCAGTTATTTTTTGCACCAAAGACAAACTAAAAAATTTTTTTTTTTTCAAATGTTGTTCCTAACTGACAGTACCTGAAAATTTCAAGGAACCCAAATGATTAAGATCGCCCTTAAAACTCAGAACAGATGTTTCATGACTGTGATATCCTTATTTCTCTTCTTATCTTTTATTGATGCTATATCCCTTGTTGTTTTGATATTTCCTATTTAAAGAATCCAACAACCAATAATCACCCACGTCTTCCTCTTGATGTCAGCAATTCATGTGTCGATTCGCCCATAAAACTCTACACACGGTTTGTGTTTAATGAATTTAACATCAATGGAAAATCAATTTTGTGTCAAAGTGGGCGGATACAGACATCAAAGCTTTTTTTCTTCTTTGAATTTAACTAAAACGGAATAAAAATAGACGATTTATAAGGATGTGAATAACATGTATAAATAAATAAAAACACGAGAGAAATTATGTAAGACAAAGTGTCGACTTTTTTTTATTTTCATTTGGAAATTCAATTTCCCAATTCGTAAGTTATTATTCTGAAATAAGAACAGTATCCAGAATTATCACCACAGGACACTGGTTTAAATCAATGTTAATAATATTGATCGTCAGGAACCAACAGATATAGATTGCGCTCAGTCGTTTACATATCGCAGCTTTCTTTATTTTTTTTTTTTAAGAAAATACCAGACATATACTACGTTATGGTAATCAACTAATGACTGTATTTTTTTTTTCCCCAAATTGATTTAAGCCAGTATATACAAAAAATATAGAAGCAGAGGAGCTAATATTATTCCTCATATCTTTTATCTTTGTGTTTTCATATGTTTCGTAACAAAAAGAAAGCAAAGGTTGTTTCAAGACATTATGTTAAATATGAAACGACGAAATTGGGCGATTTATCTGCTTCAATTGTATATTATCAACAGATTAATTTACCTAGTTTGGGTTTAATTAAAACAGGACATTGATAATGGTATCAGGAGTGAATTTATTAATTTGAAATTATGACACTGGTTTCAATTTGTAGTTGCTCTTGAACCAAGAATTAGAATGACTATATTTTTGTATATGGAATATCCACACTGGTGATGACGTACACTTTGAACCTTGTGTAATGCTACAGTAACAATATTCAGGTTTGAACAGTTCAGGAATTTTTCTTCATTGTTATCAATAAAGTGATGGCGTATATGTGATATCATGCGAGGCGTTGATAAACAGACATATATTATTCCAAAGAACGAGTTATATCCGAACTACACTCATTCATCCGTTCACAGTTTCATTCTTTTGTTAATTATCACACATTAGAAAACCTCAATGTCGTAGAAAATCACGACAATACAAAGCCTGAAAATCCATCGAATCAAGATTGTCTATTACCGGGTCAATTCTTTTCTTTTTTTAGCTTGTTTTTCCTTCCATGGTGATTTGATTCGAGATCCTTTGCCAATCTTACAAGATACTGTGTTGCATTGTCGATAATAATTATTTTGACGGTCCGTTATAGAGAACTAAAAGTTCATGTTACAACTAAGAATTCTATCACAAACCTGAATTGTCTAAGACTAAAAACTACAGAAACCATGGAACTCTCTTCAGTATAACAAAAGCAAAAACTTACCACTACTAAATTAAGGCGGTCGTAGGTGAGTAATTCAAGAAACGTAGCTGCAGCAAGTTTAGGTCATATCATACCTACCAAATATGAACTCCTATTCATGTGATAGAGTTTCTACACATTTTAAAGAAACGTTTTTACCACTATCTCAACGGGTCACTAGTCTTAATTTTTCTCACAAACACGCGTATATAGGCTTATCATTCTTGCTATGCAGCTGATTTTCTCAACACCGATTCCAGGGCACTCTAAAAATCAAAGGGTAGGTAGAGGGTACAGCAGAAGATATCACAAAGTCCAACTGTTCTTTTTTTCACATAATTTCTGTGGGTTGCTCTTTGCACATGAATTATGGGTACAACAATGACAATTCCTTGAATAAACTAAATAACTATACGATTCGAGCCCTGAGTAACTTTAACTTAAAAGCAAAGATAATGCATTATTTTGAGGAGGGGTTCTTTCCAATTAAGCGAATAGGTTCTAGAACACAACACCTCTTCTCCCCCAAAAATATGATAATAACCAAAAATAAAACCTAGATTTGCTGTTACACGGATACTCATTAGAATTATGGCAATGTGCTTTTCGTAAATGAATCAGATACCTCCACTCCACCGACTAGAGTTAGTTTATACATTTGGTTCAACCCTTTGTCTAAAAAAAATTCACCTTGGATGATACATCGTCAAAATGGTCTATGTACTCTTCGCACACCAATGGTGTTACTTTCCAGTTTGACAATGAAAGAATAAAAAACAAAAATGAAAAAAAAAAAAAAAAAAATTTCACAGCTACAATAACTTATTGTCATCCTATTTGGGGCAAATTATTAACAATTGTTCCAATGCATCAATTCTATTTTATACCCAGGGCATGCTGTTGGCTTATGAGGCCAATACCATTTTGGACCTAATACATTCTGCATGCAGTCTAAAATATCAACATTCCGCTTAAATTATCCTTTGTTTACCATAAACCAGAATCCCCTACAATAAAAGACACAACAAGAAAAGTAGTTACGAAAACCCTGCAACAAAAAAGAATGTTGTAAAAAGAAAAAAAAAGAAAGAGTTGAAAATTTTGCTTTGTTCTGTTTGTTTTGCTTTGTTGAAAGTGCTGTATTACACCAAACATCATGCCCCAAGACAATATCAAACACTGACACAAGTTCCAAGCAATACAGGTTTCCCAATTCCAGTTTTTTTTTGGGAATATAAAGAGGAGGTCGATCCCCCTGATAAAATCAAAGATCATGTTTTTCTTTGTAGATCAATCAACTAACTACTTTACATTCGTTTTTATTATTTATACCCTACTTTAACAATGAAGTTTGAATTGTTAGTTGCTTTGGCTAGTGTTCTTACTACTACGTCCGCTACTGGATTCCATGGCAAATTTGGCCATGGTGGATTTCAAAAAGATGGAGATTGTGTTCCAACCACTTATTGGACTACTTGTTTTGCTCCAGCTACAACTGAGATTACCATCACTTCTTGTGAAAACAATGCTTGTGCTACTAGAACTCACCATACTGGTGTTACCAAAACCAAGACCATCTATGAAGGTGTCACCACTGAATACACCACTTATTGTCCATTAACTACTTCTCATGAAGTTGTCAGATCTACCCTTTCAAAATCTATTGTCATATGGTCTACTAAGTCTGCTCCATGGTATTGGAGTTGGAATCGTCCTCCAAATTGTGGTCAATCTACCTCTATCGTCTCCACTACTGTTGAAACTCAACCTCCTGCTGCTGAAACTTCTTCAACTGTTACTCCAGTAGTTCCAACTTCAACTTTTGTTGAAACTACTCCAACCACTGAAGTTCCAACTACCACTTCTGTTCCGCAAGTTCCAACCACTTCTACTTCTGTTCCACAAGTTCCAACTACTAATGTTCCACACAAACCCTCTTGTGTCACTCATACGGCTAAATCAACTACAGTTATCACCACTACTGACTGCCGTGGTCAAAGTTGTACTCACGCTACTGTCACAACTGGTGTTACTGTGCTTACTGTTACTACTTCAGAAATCGTTACTAGCTACACTACTTATTGTCCATTAACTTCTACTGAAACTATTGGTACAAGTTCTATTGAATCCAGCAGCAGTGTTGAAACTCCAACTACTACTTTGGAATCATCCTCGTCTAGTGTTGTTTCTAGTTCTTCTGAAAGTACTCCAGTTACTGTTATCACTCGTCACACAACTTCAGTTACTAGTGAAACCAGTACCTTCTGTCCATTGACTTCTACTGAATCCACTTCTACTCCAGTCACTTCTTCTTCCGTTCCAGTTGAATCATCTAGCACTCCATGTCAAGGTGAAGAATGTACCCCATCTACTTCTACCCCAGGTAAACCAACCAGTCCAGCTCCAATTCTTGAAACTTCAGTCACCACTCCATCTTCTCCAGCACCATCTTCTAGTGCCCCAGTTGAATCCTCATCTGCCCCAGTTGAATCCTCATCTGCTCCAGTTGAATCATCTTCTAGTGCCCCAGTTGAATCCTCATCTGCTCCAGTTGAATCCTCATCTGCTCCAGTTGAATCCTCATCTGCTCCAGTTGAATCCTCATCTGCTCCAGTTGAATCATCTTCTAGTGCCCCAGTTGAATCCTCATTTGCTCCAGTTGAATCATCAAGTGTCCCAGTTGAATCCTCATCTGCTCCAGTTGAATCATCTTCTAGTGCCCCAGTTGAATCCTCATCTGCTCCAGTTGAATCCTCATCTGCTCCAGTTGAATCATCTTCTAGTGCCCCAGTTGAATCCTCATTTGCTCCAGTTGAATCATCAAGTGTCCCAGTTGAATCATCATCTGCTCCAGCACCATCTTCATCTGCCCCAGTTGAATCATCATCTGCTCCAGCACCATCTTCTAGTGTCCCAGCTGAATCATCAAGTGTTCCAGCTGAATCATCTTCTAGTGCCCCAGTTGAATCATCAAGTGTACCAGTTGAATCATCATCTGCTCCAGCACCATCTTCATCTGCCCCAGTTGAATCATCATCTGCTCCAGCACCATCTTCATCTGCCCCAGTTGAATCATCATCTGCTCCAGCACCATCTTCTAGTGTCCCAGCTGAATCATCAAGTGTTCCAGCTGAATCCTCATCTGCTCCAGTTGAATCATCTTCTAGTGCCCCAGTTGAATCCTCATCTGCTCCAGTTGAATCATCAAGTGTCCCAGTTGAATCCTCATCTGCTCCAGCACCATCTTCATCTGCCCCAGTTGAATCATCAAGTGTCCCAGCTGAATCATCTTCTGCTCCAGGTACTGAAACTTCATCTGCTCCAGCTCCAGGTACTGAAACTCCATCTGCTCCATGTGAAGGTGATGAATGTACTCCAACTACTCCAGCTCCAGGCACTGAAACTTCATCTGCTCCAGCTCCAGGTACTGAAACTTCATCTGCTCCAGCTCCAGGTACTGAAACTCCATCTGCTCCATGTGAAGGTGATGAATGTACTCCAACTACTCCAGCTCCAGGTACTGAAACTTCATCTGCTCCAGCTCCAGGCACTGAAACTCCATCTGCTCCAGCTCCAGGTACTGAAACTCCATCTGCTCCATGTGAAGGTGATGAATGTACTCCAACTACTCCAGCTCCAGGTACTGAAACTTCATCTGCTCCAGCTCCAGGTACTGAAACTCCATCTGCTCCAGCTCCAGGTACTGAAACTTCATCTGCTCCAGCTCCAGGCACTGAAACTCCATCTGCTCCAGCTCCAGGTACTGAAACTCCATCTGCTCCATGTGAAGGTGATGAATGTACTCCAACTACTCCAGCTCCAGGTACTGAAACTTCATCTGCTCCAGCTCCAGGCACTGAAACTCCATCTGCTCCAGCTCCAGGTACTGAAACTTCATCTGCTCCAGCTCCAGGTACTGAAACTCCATCTGCTCCAGCTCCAGGTACTGAAACTCCATCTGCTCCATGTGAAGGTGATGAATGTACTCCAACTACTCCAGCTCCAGGTACTGAAACTTCATCTGCTCCAGCTCCAGGTACTGAAACTTCATCTGCTCCAGCTCCAGGTACTGAAACTCCATCTGCTCCATGTGAAGGTGATGAATGTACTCCAACTACTCCAGCTCCAGGTACTGAAACTTCATCTGCTCCAGCTCCAGGTACTGAAACTTCATCTGCTCCAGCTCCAGGTACTGAAACTCCATCTGCTCCAGCTCCAGGTACTGAAACTCCATCTGCCCCAGTTGAATCATCAAGTGTCCCAGCTGAATCATCTTCTGCTCCAGGTACTGAAACTTCATCTGCTCCAGCTCCAGGTACTGAAACTCCATCTGCTCCAGCTCCAGGTACTGAAACTCCATCTGCCCCAGTTGAATCATCAAGTGTCCCAGCTGAATCATCTTCTGCTCCAGGTACTGAAACTTCATCTGCTCCAGCTCCAGGTACTGAAACTCCATCTGCTCCAGCTCCAGGTACTGAAACTCCATCTGCTCCAGCTCCAGGTACTGAAACTCCATCTGCTCCAGCTCCAGGTACTGAAACTCCATCCGCTCCATGTGAAGGTGATGAAATGTACCCCATCTGGTGAAGAATCTACAACTTTCTTACTTCCACAACTAATATCTACTCCACTTACCCACAAGAATCTACTTTAGTTTCAGTTTCTACTGGATCTACTGGTGGTTCAACCTATTCTTTCAGTACATATGCACCATCTTCATCTAGCTCTGCTCAAATAAGTACTTATGAAGGTGCTGCTAACATTCACCAAGTTGGTACTTTTGCCGGTGCCATTGCCGGTTTATTGTTCTTAATTTAATTTAATTGAATTAGATTAATATTTTGAACTTTGAGTTAATGTTGACAAATGATCAGTTCCTAATTTTCTGTCGATAGAGATATATGATAATTGTATTTCTTTGGTTTATTTTTTATTCTTATTATTTTCATTCTTTATTTTGTCATTCTCCTGTATTATATTTTCATTATTTCGGTTTGGTCTATAGCATCATTGAATTTTGCCTTTATCTATTTTCTGTTAGCAAGTTTTGCTTATTATTATTATGTTTTAGTTTTCTGTTATCTTTGATACCCCTTTGTCAGAGATGTAAGTTCTTTTTCGGTTTATAGCTAATTAATATTCTGTATACATTATTATAGATTTCTTTAATGAATTTTAGAAATTATTATGCACAAAACTACTTTCATGTCTACACCCTAGCTGTACAAAATACTTCCTGTAATAACAATAAGAAAAAGGTTTACTTTCGGAGTTAGTTAGAAGACACGATATGAACGATACTCTGAATAGGATATAAAAACACGTGCAATTCATTACAAAATGATTCTCATTGACAGGTGTACCCTTAGCGAGGTATGTACATGTACTATTAGGTAGTACATAAATAAGTTTCATGATGACCTCATAGTGCGAAGAACTAATTAATTTTTTTTTTCTTTTTATCTTTTAGACCATTTCATTCTCTACTACAAAATAATTCTTTTCTAAGGTCTACATAAAGCTGGTGTTTTGGACTTGAGAATGTTGAAACAGAAGCTGTGGAACACAAAGGACTTCTACATGTATGGAATTTTTACGAACTATGACATTGCACGCCTTTAAAGAAGAAGTAGGGTTTTGCCATTAAATTAATGAAGTACTGCTTAGTGTGAGCTAAAATCGATGTCATGTTACAGGCGGTGGTGAAATTTTACTTTCACCAGAGTTTAAATAATATTCGTATGTTCGCCCTTTTAATTGGACGTTGATCAGATTCTGATTTTAATCGGTAATCATCAACAATAAAAGAATGAGCAATGGATGAGTCCATCCCATTGTTTCGGTGATCTTTCTATTTCTATGGATATTGTAATCACCTGAGAAAAGCAAGAGCTTTTTTCGTCCTATGAAGTAGACGAAATAACCTTCCAATACCGACCTAGAAAATCAGGAAGGCATTATTATTGCTAAAAGTTGAAACAACTGGAATGTTTCTCAAAAAATTTCAAACTAACCGCCATCTATACATGAAATAAACACCAACTTTCCCTTTCCTTCCTTCCGCGCGCGCGCGCACAAGCGCTCACTAAAATTAGAAATATATGCAAATAAGAAGAACACAATAGAATAACTGGACAAGAGATACAACAAAAAAGAATTAAACGTTATCATCATGTTAACGAGCTTCGATTGCTAATAATAGATTAACACTTGTAAACAAAAGAAATGATTTCTAGTTTAATTAATGAGAAGAGATCGGCAAATGTATTAAGTTAATTTAAGTATAGATTGCTCCACTTTTTTCTTACTAATCAGCAAAGCAAAAGAACGATGTTTTAAAAGAGAATCTTTAGTGTATTGTTTTGTTGATATCAGGGTACGTTCGTTCGTATACCCAAAATCCTGTGAATTTTCCCTCTAATTTTATCCCTTTTTTCTATTCCACTTTATACTCCGCATTCAACAATGTTCTTTCTTCCATTTATTTTTGTACTAATAATCCAGGTTTATTGAAACTGTATAATCTAAAATAGCTCGCGTTTGATGTCAGAATGCTAAGAATTCATTGCTACATTAATTTTTTTTTTCACTTTTTCACTTTTTCACTTTTGTATGCCCATCAGTTGTTTCTTTTATCAGGGTGTGGTTATGTTCCTTTATACAAAATGCAACTAAAACTGATAGAAGGGAACTAACGGGCTTATCGAAACATGTGCGTTTAGATGTGCGCCCGCCTTATGATTGAAATTTAATGGTTACTCTGGTGCATATGATAAATATAATAATAACTTGTAATCTCTTCACTCATTATTTAGAGCAAAGAATGTAATGTGCATGGTTCTTTTCGGTTTTGTAAGACCCTTTAAATCCAATTTATACGTTTCGCGATGACGCATGAAGATAAAGTAAGTATTGCCAATGGGCCGCCAATCGCACGGGATGGTACCGCAGATCTTTTGCCTGAAATAGAAAATAATACCCATAGTTTAATATTGTGCAGCCATTGTTCAACTGAAAATAGCCAATTGTCTGTGTTTCCTTGTTGTCACTATCCAGTAAGATAACAAAGTTAATTACATATTCTGGTCTCCCTTTAAGATCAATAGACCTTCTATTGCACAAAATTTGCCTTGTACATGATGAAATTTGAGTGCAATATTTTGTGCCCCACACGCCCAGGTCCTTTTCCTTTGTCTTCATTTTTTTTTTTTTTTTTTTGTCTTGCTTTGGAAAAAAATACGAACTTTCTCATTCGCTTTACTTTGTTGCTCCGACGACTTTTTTATTTTCTTGGATGTTGTTTTTATTTTGCATTCATTTTCCTTCAATTAAACCTGAAACGGATTAGGTAGGGTCTAATTAGGCTACAGACAACAATGGGAAATTCTACCATCAACATCCATTTATGCTATGATCACAAAACAAGTAATACCGCCAATCCTTCCAAAGAAGTATGTTGGAATTGATGCATGAATTATTTTTATTTTCACCTTTTACCTTTATATTGCCTGTTTAATTACAGCAGACCCTTCTAGTACATATGAAATGTAACAGTAAAGTTTGATTATTATCCCTGAATTCCTTTTTTTCAGTATTTCTTTTGAAGAAAACACAGAACCCCCTTCATTCCTTCTTTTTTTTTGGAATTAATTATTGATTAAGATAATTCGAATATAAATAGAGATCAATTTTCCAACTTTTAAGGTATTTTTTAGTCTTGTTGTTTAAATCACTTCAGTACACTAAAGACTAATCCATTCGTTATGAAGTTTTTGTCAATTGCTGCTATTGCAGGTGTTATTTCTGCTGCTACCGCTCAAGTTTTGCCTGCTATCACCGATCTTCCTCAAGAAGATGCTTATTTGGTTAAAAGAGGCTGGAATAAGCATAAAGATAATGACCAAGAAACTACTTACTGGGTCACTGAGTATGCTCCTTCTACAACTATGGTTACTGTTACCAAGTGTTCTAAAGGTAAATGTTCCAATCATGCTACTCCTACTGGTGTTACTAAAACTACAACTGTTCACTCTGGTGTTACTACTGCTTATACTACTTACTGTCCATTGACCACTTCTCACGAAGTCATCAAATCCACCTGTTCTAAGACCCTTGTTGTTCATTCTACTAAATCAAAACCATGGTACTGGCACTGGCCAAAACCAACTGACTGTGATAAATCCACTTCAACTTACAAGCCAACCGGTGGTATCACAAAAACTAGTGTTGACATCCATCCAACTCCGACCCTTTCGACCACCTGTAGCACTAGCAAGTATACAAAGTTCTTCTGTGTTTACACCAAGACTAAATGTTCCATATTTACTTGTTCAGGTACTTCATCATCTTTGCTCTCTACCAGTGAATCAACTACAAGCAGTTATCTTCCAACTACAACCCAACCACCAGTTACTACTACATCCACTCAAGCTACTTGTGTCCCAACTAAAGTAACTTCCTGTACTACTAAATCCAAGAAAATATTGTTCTTGGTCTATAAGACTACATCATGTGGTGTTTATACCAAGTGTGGCAGCATGTCCACTTTACTTTCTACTTCAGTTGAAAGCACCACTAGTACTGAACCAACCACCCAAGCTACTCCAACTGTCTCAACTACTTGTTCAACTAGCAAATATACTTCCAAACATTGTGTCTACACCAAGACTAAATGTTCTGTTTTCACTTGTTCCGGTACTTCATCATCCTTGCTCACTACCAGTGAATCAACTGAAAGTAGTACTCTCCCAGAAACTTCCTCTGAAGTAACTACTGAACCAACCACTGAAGTTACCACTGAAGTTACCACTGAAGCTACCACTGAAGCTACTACTGAACCAACCACTGAACCAACCACTGAAGCTACCACTGAACCAACCACTGAAGCTACTACTGAGCCAACCACTGAAGCTACTACTGAGCCAACCACTGAAGTTACCACTGAACCAACCACTGAAGCTACTCCAACTGTCTCAACCACTTGTACCGTCAGTAAGTATACTTCCAAACACTGCGTCTACAAGACTACTGTCTGTTCTGTTTTCACTTGTTCAGGTACTTCATCATCATTGCTCACTACCAGTGAAACCCTTGAAAGTAGTACTCTCCCAGAAACTTCCTCTGAAGCTACCACTGAACCAACCACTGAAGCTACCACTGAACCAACCACTGAAGCTACTACTGAAGCTACCACTGAAGCTACTACTGAACCAACCACTGAACCAACCACTGAACCAACCACTGAACCAACCACTGAAGCTACTCCAACTGTCTCAACCACTTGTACCGTCAGTAAGTATACTTCCAAACACTGCGTCTACAAGACTACTGTCTGTTCTGTTTTCACTTGTTCAGGTACTTCATCATCATTGCTCACTACCAGTGAAACCCTTGAAAGTAGTACTCTCCCAGAAACTTCCTCTGAAGCTACCACTGAACCAACCACTGAAGTTACCACTGAAGCTACCACTGAAGCTACTACTGAACCAACCACTGAACCAACCACTGAACCAACTACTGAAGATATTTCTATCCCAGAACAAACTTCTTGTTATACCACTGTTCCAACTACCGCCAGTGATGAAACTATTATCACTTCTTACACTACAGAAACTGCTTATACTACTTCTATTGTCACAGTTACTTCATGTCACCATGATGCTTGTGAGACTAAAACTACCAAAACTGGTGTTGTTGTTATTACTGTAACCACCACTGATGTTGAAACAGTTTACACCACTTACTGTCCATTGACTACCACTTATGCTGTTTTCCGTGTTGCTAAAATTGATATGAAAAAGAGAGGTGAAATGGAATCTGTCACTGCTGATAACACCAGCTCATGGCCAGCATCTACTTTAGTTCCATCTGTTTGGCTCTCAAATGCTACTGATAATGTCAGTACTTTTTCAGCTGCAGGTAACCCAGTTATCCCAAGCATTAGTGCTGTTGCCGGTATCATTACCGGTTTGTTACTTTTGCTTTAGATGATTTATTTCTCTTAGCTTAAATTAAATCATTATTTTATTCTTTTCGTTTTCTTATACCCATTTTTTTAGGAAATTTTACTTTTTTACTTTTTTTTTTTCGGTTATAGATTTATATAATTATATGAATTTATAAAATATTTTATCATATTTTAAATACTTTTTTGGCTAATTCACCTAGAATTTCAATTCTACTTCTCTTACAAGTATTTAACAATTTAAAATTATCGAAATGTCGGAAAGATGGAGATCCATGTGAGTAGTTTAGGAGTAACACCAACTATTTTCTTGACTAAGCAATGAAAAACAGCAAATTAAAAATCAAATAGCCAATCTTTCAAAAGATTCACAAGATATGTAAAAAAAATATCTTTTAACATGGTCCATAATCGGATGATTGTGGATGTAATTTTTAGATATTTCTAGAAACCAATTTATTATTATTCTTATCTCTTAATTTTTCTTTTTAAGAAAACTCTTGTTGAATTTCAATTGTAATAACAGATACCTCCATATTTCAAACCCCAGTCTTCCAAATTCTCAAATTGCCGCATGGTATTGTACATGTACCTTGTTTTTCCATATTATTTTATTCTGATTAAGTAAAAATTCGAATATTTTTTTTTATTGGAATATAAAGTAATCGTTTCTACCCGTTTGTAGCCATTGCATGATGATGCATCCAATTATTTGTGTATGTCATCTCTCAAAGTTAATTCACTTTATTGAAACAGGCTCATTGAATACTTTACACAATTACACTTTATACAACTTTAATACTAGGTTTAGTTATGAATCAACTACGTAACATATACATATGTATAAAACAAAAGATTGATGTGGAACTCATCTCTTGGTTAGATGAATGTCGTGGTTATATACTTTTGGCGCATTATGCGTGTCTTGACCAATATTTGTTTATTTATTTGCTTGTGTTTTCTGGGGTACATTTTCGTGCAGCTATTGGTGTAAGAATACAAAAATAATATTCGACTTTGATATTCGATATTTCTCTATTGGAAGTGGTCTTTGCTAGAATTGAAGAATTCTATCAAATTAAATTTTGTGTTTGCTTTGTGTGTACTAGTCAATGTGGGCCAATATTTTGTACAGCGTTTTTTGGTGGATTTATCTATAATTTCATCCACATAGATGCTAGCATAATTTGATAATATTATCCTTTGTTTTGAACCCTAATAGTATTCAAATTATTGAATAATGCCCATAATAATATTTTTAGATCCAATTAAATTGCCAAAAAAATATCCATTACCAAATAGACCGTTAATACTAGAGCTTCTATTGACAAAGATACATAAAGATTGGACTATAAATAGATGTGAATAATTCCTTCTAATCTGAGAATTATCTTTCTTTTAATTTTATAACTCCAAAATTAGAGATTCCTTCACCAATCATGAAATTTTCCTCAATTCTTCTTGCTGCTACATTAGTTTCGTTTGTTTCAGCACAAACAATAAAACTTGATGCCGATGCTAACCAAAAAGGAGTTGACCTTCTCATGAAAAGAACTCACAACTATGGATCTGACTCTGATTCCGATTCTGATTCCGATTCCGATTCCGATTCTGATTCTGACGATGATGATTACAAAACAACTACCAAGAAATCTACATCCAAGAAGTGTACCAAAACCACAAAGTCTTCTACCACCAAATCAACCACGTCCAAGAAATGTACCAAAACAACTAAAATTATTCCTAGTATCACTCCAACTTGTTCATTTTCAACTTCTTGTACTACTTCTAAGGTTACCAAATTATGGATTTTTGTATTTAAGAAAACTTCTTGTACTGTCCTGGAAGTTTGTCCAAGTACCACTGCCGTTTTCACTACAGTGGAAACTACATCCGTATCCGCTATCGAAACCACCGAACCAGAGGAATCTACTACTACTGAGATTAGTTCAACAGAAACATTTCCAGAACAAATTTCTAGTGAATCAATCACTCAGGAAATTTCAACAGAAGAGAGTTCAACAGAAGAGAGTTCAACAGAAGAGAGTTCAACAGAAGAGAGTTCAACAGAAGATGAAGAGACATCTAGTGAAGAAGAGCCACCAATACCCACTTGGATTTTATTCCATGCGGGACCAAATCAGTACAAGAAAAGAGAATTAAACAACAAACAAGAAAACCTTAAAAATAGTACTGCTACTTTTTCCTCTATTTCGGAATCTAATGGTACAGAAAGTCTGACTTCAGCTGAAGGTGTGGGTAAATCGATAATTCCTAGTATTGGTTCTTTTGTTGGTGTTTTTACCGCTTTGTTCTTGTTGCTTTGATCTTGAATTAGGATTCTCGACCTAATGGTATTTTAGACTTCTTGTTCCTTGTGTAATTTTACAACTATTGAAAACTAGTTGTTTCTATAAACCGTGTATAAGACTCTGTTTTAATATTAAATTGAATTTTGTTTGAAATATTCGTGTACCTATTGTAGCTGCTTCTCTTTTGTGCAACGTTCGTTGTCCCACGAATTGCTGAACCAAATCAAAATGAAAGTGAAAAAGAAAAAGAAAAAAAAAAGATTGAACTCACAGATAAATTTCACTTTCTAATAGCTAGTTTCATCTCCACTGCAAACACTTACGTTATGAGAGTTGTTATTCAGAAGGTTAAAAATGCGTCTGTTACTGTTGACGAAAAGGTAATTTCTTCGTATGTATTCGAGAATGAGGTCCAATTTGCTCGAAATTCCCCCCCAAACATCGATACTAACATTAAATTCATCAATTAAAGAATTGGTAAAGGATTAATGATTCTTGTGGGAATTTCTACTACTGATACAGAAGAAGACATTAGTAGACTCTCCAAGAAACTTATTAGTTTACGTGTATTTGAAGACATGACACAGTCTGCCAACACAACAACCAAATTTACTGGAAAACCATGGGCAAAATCTATAATTGATATCCAGGGAGAAATATTATCAGTTAGTCAATTCACATTATATGGGACTATTAAAAAAGGTACAAAACCAGATTTTCATCGAGCTGCAAAGGGACATCACGCCATTGAATTATACCAGGAATTGTTGAATCAATTAAAAGCCGGTTTAGGTGAAGACAAGGTCAAAGATGGTGAATTCGGGGCCATGATGGATGTTGCTTTGGTTAATGATGGTCCGGTTACCATTGTTTGGGATACACAGGATAACACCTTATAAGTATTGATAATAAAAATTAATAGACAATAGAATTTTTTTTTTTGATTAGACCATCTATCAGTATATTCCTGTAAAGTCATTATTTTGAAACAATATTATAATCAACTTCCATCTTCTTGCTGCAGTGACCATAAACCATAGTCCAAAAAACACTAATGACCCAATGAAAACCCCAATAAAAATGGTTGATATTAATATTCGAATTATACTGTAAATAACATCTAGTCCAGCTAGAAGTATAGATAACCCAATTATGGCATAATTTATCATTGAAGCATTCGAATAGTTGTTTATTATCGACGTCGTAGTCACATTAAAGTACTCGTTGAATGCACCAGTAAAAGGTGGATTGAAAGCATCAGGATTGAATATTATTAGTATTGGAGGTCGGTGAAATATATTTGTTAGTATATCGTCTTTAATGTTACGACATATCAATGCCATCAAATCAAGCCAGTTAGATAAATACATCTTGGTCTTCTATAACCGGATGACCCTGTGGTGGGAGACTTCAACAAAAAAGTGTGATTAGTCGTATGACTTGGCTTTTTTGACCACGCCTGCCGTGCGAGACGTTTTGGATGAGAATCTTTTTTTTTTTTTTGATTCTTCTTCTTCTTCTTCGTCTACTGGTGATAATTTGATTGTTTATATTTGGGGAGATCATTTTCCACAATTGAATTAATGGTAAAACAAGGACAAGGCACATATCCGGTTAAGAAGACTGAATTCCCACCTCCTCCAGCTAACATAGGCCGTATAGGATCGTTGAAGAGGTATCCAGATTGTGATTATGCGAAATCATTACTATACGAAGCAGCGCGTTTGGTGGCACCGATAATACATGAATATAAGTTTAAAGTATCCAATTTATATGAAATGTTTCCTAAAAATGCTAATCTACTAGGATTGAATGTTAATTATGGGCAAAAGATAATGATTAGACTACGACCACATCACAATGATAGATCATTTCTTCCTATGAATGAAATTGTGGGTACTTTTTTACATGAACTAACACATAATAAGTTTGGACCACACGATAAGAAGTTCTATGATTTTTTGGATAAGTTGAAAGAGAGATATGAAGATATACATTATAGAGGTGCATCAGTTAATTATTACAGTGAACAGAATAAACTAGGTCGAGGTGGATTGCCTTCAAGCAGTTTGATATCAGTCAGGGAGAAAAGAATCAAGGAGTTGAGTAAGCCAAAATTCAAGACAGAATCAAAGGTATTGGGACTGGACACACGTGTTTCAAAACAAAATACACGCCCAGTAGATATGAGGAAAGCTATGCTTGAAGCAGCAGAACGTCGATTACGAGATTCCAAATGGTGTCACAGCGAAAATGCTCAAGAAGAACAACTACCTAGTGATGATGAGTTTGATATTGAAATAGTGGAAAGAGATGCTTTTAAAAAGGGTAGTAGAGAAGAGACGAAATCAGAGGAGAAGCCTAGGCACTCGATGAATGTTCAAGCCAAATCCCAATCTAAACAAATAGAAATTATTGATTTGACATCCGATTCAGAAGAAACTGAAAGTAATGTACCCGAGATAATAGTTATAGATTAGTTAATATACACAATAATAGTAACGGTTCATTGATATTTTCAAACCCTGTTGATCGTGTTTTGTGTGTAGTAGTGAATCAAGACAAAAGACGTGGGAAGAAAAAAAAAATAATTCAAACTGCTCACAGAAGAAAACGAAAACCGAAACATATAACGATAACTGCGTTTTCACTATTGTTACATTGAAAGATCTCAAACAATCAACTATGATGTCTATGAAATGTATATCCACATTCCTAGCATTTTGTTTGTTGTCCACTACGGTCAATGCATTTTTGAACAATAATTTGTCAATTCAATTGGATGCGCCATGGCAGAAAATCGACTTTCTTCCGAGTTTGATTGAAACCGTGGCATCTTATAATTCATCATTATATTACACAACCATTGAAACGATTTTCGGACTAGATGATTCAGACAATGATTTTGATGAGGATAGTTCCGATAAGAATATATATGAACAGATTTGCAAAAATCTTGATAAATACACTAAAAGTTTTGTTGATTTTGATTTAATTAACAAGAAACATGGTGCAAGAGTAGTATCCCATTATGATCATTACCAGCAGGTTCTTTCTCGAATGGGAGACAGATTGCAAAAAGAATGTGAATATGATTCATTTGGAAATGAGGTGAAGAAGAAGAACGGTCAACTTCAAACTTGGTTACTCTATAATGATAAGATTTATTGTTCTGCTAATGATTTGTTTGCCTTGCGTACTGATACAAGTAAAGAGAAAACATTATTGTTTGACAGAGTATTTGGAGACAATGAAGAGGCACCTTTGTTGGTATTATATGGGAATCCAGTCGAAGAACTGACAAAGGAGTTTTTCAAAGTGTTATACCCAGACGCAATGGCGGGGAAAATCAGGTTTGTTTGGAGATATATTCCAACATTCCGTAAAAGACAAGATACTCTTCCAGGATACGGCGTATCTTTGAATATGAAGAATTATGATTATGGAAATGGAGAGAAAACATCAAATTTTGATTTAAACAAAGATTTACACAAGATAAATGATTCAGGTATCCTTATACCAGTTCCAGAGAAAAATCGTGATGAATTGGGTATAAAGTTTACTTCATTTATATTATCAAATAGATACAAGATTCACAAGTATGAGTTATTGTCTACATTGTTGAATGATTTCCCAAAGTTTATACCATACATTGCAAAATTGTCCAAACTGTTTAATTACGAGAAAGTCAAGACAAAAGTTACAGCGAATCAAGACATAGGAATGTCTGATGAATCTTATGGTATTTACATCAATGGTTCACCAATCCATGGACTTGAGTTGGATATCTACAAATTGGGTAACAAAATTCGGGAAGAATTGGAAACTATTCAGAATTTAGTAAAGCTTGGGTTTGATAGTATCCAAGCTAAATTATTGCTCACAAAATTTGCCTTACTTTCAGCAGTTAAGCAAACCCAATTTCGTAATGGAAACACATTAATGGGAAATAACGAAAATAGATTTAAAGTTTACCAGAGTGAATTTGAAAAGGGCAATCCTGGTAAAGGAGGTGTTTTATTTTTTAACAATATCGAGGTTGATGTTACTTTCAGTGAATACACTACTAATCGTGAGGAGGCTTATTTGGGAGTTAGTTCTTATAAATTGAAACCAAACCAGATCCCACCATTGAAAGAAAATATCCATGATTTGATCTTTGCTTTGAATCTTGCCAATAAGAGTCAACTTCGTGTGTTTTTTACAATTGCAAAGGTCATTTTGGATTCTGGTATTCCACAACAAATTGGATTGATCCCTGTTATTGGTGATGATCCATTGGATAAAGAAATTGCCAGAAAGTTTTATTACATTGCTGAAAATTCAAACACCCCAGAAGCTCTAGCATTGTTGTACAAATATTTTGATTCTGCAAATTCAGATGAAGCTGCTGCTATATTAAATCAAGTTAAAGTAAGTAAAAATTTTGACGTGGATTATAACTATGTTTTAGATAAGTTTTCAATTACAGAAGCATCGGTTATATTCAATGGTGTTATTTATGACTTGAGATCCCCAAATTGGCAAATTGCAATGAGTAAACAGATTTCTCAAGATGTTTCACTCATTAAATCATTTTTAAGACAAGGACCTGTGGAAGGGAAATTGAAAGATAAGCTTTATTCAAATGCCAAAGAAAAACGTAACTTGAGGGTAATTCCTCTAGAGCCTAGTGAAATCATCTACAAATCAGTCGATACTGAGTTGTTAAATGAATCTATTGCTTTCAAGAAAATTGATAAGGAAGATGGAGTTTCAGGAACATTCTGGTTAGTTTCTGATTTCACAAAAGTCGAAATGTTCAATCAATTGATTGATTTATTGAGCTTCCTTAAGAAGAAACCGATTCAAGTACGGGTAGTTAATACTGGAGACAGTAAAGTTTTTAAAAGTTTACATAAAAATTACAAGCTAACCACTTTGACAAACTCCCAAATTGAAGAGATCATTGAAGTTTTAGAGGATGCTGAACTTTCAAAGTATGATAATCCTGAAGTTAAACGATTGCTCGAGAGGAAACACTTGCCGCTGCATCATTCATTTATGCTATTCAATTCTAGGTACTTCAGATTAGATATCCCTCTAGAACCCACTGAATTAGAAGAACTTTTGGAATATGAATTCACCCAAAGATTAAATTTATTTAACGATATTTTGTATGCATATCCTGATGAATTTGAGTCTAAAAAATTGAATGAATTTAATCTGTTAGTTTCTGGATTAGATAGTATGGACTGGTTTGATTTAGTCAGTTCCATAGTTACAAAGTCATTTCATGTTGATGAAAAGATGTTTATTTCTGATGTGAATAGATTTGATTTCAGTTCCTTAGATTTATCAAACTCCATAGATGTTAGTGTTAACAAAGAGGAAAATCCGATTGATATATTGGTCATTATGAATCCAATGGAAGAATATTCCCAAAAATTGTTGAGTATAGTTAACAGTATCAAGACATTCCCGTTTGTGAATATCAGAATATTGCTTCAACCAAAAGTGGTGTCCAACGAAGAAATTAGAGTTCACAGATTTTACCGTGGTGTGTACCCTTCTTCAGATATTCAATTCGATGAAAACACTGGGATCGTGGTTGAAAATAATATTGCTGAGTTCCACAATCTTCCAGTTGATACACGATTGTCAACAGAATTAGATGTGCCTACTAAATGGATCGTCGTAAGTAAACTGAGTTCGACAGATTTAGATAATGTTGCTTTCAATAAAGTAGTCAAATCGGTCAATGGAAAATTCTTGTTGAAACATATTTTGATCGAAGGATTTGCAAGAGATATACATACAGGTAGAACTCCTGATGGTTTATCATTCAAATTGGTGCATAATAATATTACTACAGATACTCAAGTTATGAGTTCGTTGGATTATTTTCAACTCAAAGCCATTCCTGGTATTAGTTTATTGTCAAGCAATCCAGAGTATAATTTGTTATCAGCCTCTGAAAATAAGTACGATTTCAACCATGATTCGTTAGACGAAGTTGAGGTACCAGTATTTTCTTTAGATGGGGTGACTTTGTATCCTAGAATTAGCAAAGGAGATGGTATAACGAAGTATTCTAATAGACATGCTGATATAAACATTTTTACGATTGCTGGTGGTAGTTTATATGAAAAATTAGCTAGTATTATGATTGCATCTGTACGCAAAAACAATCCGGAACTGATAATTAAATTTTGGATACTTGAAAATTACATCACTCCTGAGTTTAGACAATTAATGCAATTGATTTCGAAAAAGTATACTGTGCAATATGAATTTATCAATTATAAATGGCCAAAATTCTTGAGAAATCAGAAATCCAAGGAAAGAACCATTTGGGGGTATAAGATTTTGTTCTTGGATGTTCTTTTCCCACAAGATCTTGATAATGTCATTTTCATTGACGCTGATCAAACGTGTCGATCTGATTTAACTGAATTGGTTAATATGGATTTGCAAGGAGCGCCATATGGATTCACGCCAATGTGTGATTCGCGTAAGGAAATGGAAGGTTTCAGATTCTGGAAACAGGGATACTGGTCAGATGTATTGAAAGATGATTTACAATATCATATCAGCGCATTATATGTGGTTGATTTAAAGCAGTTCAGATCAATTAAAGCGGGTGATAGATTAAGGGCACATTATCAGAAATTATCCAGTGATCCTAATTCATTAAGCAATTTAGACCAAGATTTACCAAACAATATGCAGAGACAAATTAAGATATTCAGCTTACCACAAAATTGGTTATGGTGTGAGACATGGTGTTCAGATGAAAGTTTTAGAGATGCCAAAATGATTGATCTTTGCAACAATCCGTTATCCAAGGAAAATAAACTTGATATGGCCAAGAGATTATTACCAGAATGGGTTGAATATGAGAAAGAAATAGACGAATTGGTAAGCAATTTGAAAGAAATACTGCTGAGTGTGGAAGATGATGAAAATGAAGAAATGGAAGACGATAGTATTCTCTTTGAAGACACTGGTTTTGATGAAGAAGAAGAAGAAGAAGAGGAAGATTATCACGATGAGTTATAGATTCGAGTTTTTGTACGATAAATAGATGTAAATTATCATATGCACAATTCACGTGCTATTCCTGAATCGGAGTTTTTATTAGCTGGTGGCACGTGCACTTGTTAGATAATAAAAAAAAAATTTTTTTTTGTTGGGACCACAAAATCTTGAATCGGCCCTATAAGAGCGCTTAAGAGTCATAGTGTAATAATTGAGGATGATAACCTTTAAATTTTTTTTTTTTTTTTTTTCATTTCTTCGTACCAATTGTATACGAAAAAGAAAAAACAAAAGAAAAAGACATTGGATTTTTCATTTCATTTTTAATTCTAGATATTCTTTCTATTTGTTGTTTTTAAATATTTCTCTATTCCTTTTGGTTTTGTTTAAATTAAAATTATCTAGATCCTTAAATTATGAAAATCTCAGAGAAGTTGGATCAAGCTCATAAAGCTGCACATTCTCCACCTGCAACTTTTTCATTTGAATTCTTTGTCCCCAAGACATCCCAAGGGGTTCAAAACTTGTATGATAGAATGGATAGAATGTATGATTTGAATCCTATTTTCATTGATATCACATGGAATGCGGGGGGTAGATCATCAACGTTGACTAATGAAATGGTTTACACTGCTCAATCAACTTTGGGTTTGGAAACATGTATGCATTTAACTTGTACGAATATGAAGGTTGAATTGATCGATGAAGCTTTAGATAAAGCTTATAAATCTGGTTGTCAAAATATTTTAGCCTTACGTGGTGATCCTCCATTGGATGGTTCTGAATCAACTGGGGATTTCAAATATGCCAAGGATTTGATTGCATATATTCATAAAAAATATGAAAACCATTTCAATATTGGTGTTGCTGGTTATCCTGAAGGTCATCCTGAAGAAACAGATGAATTGAAAACTTTAGAATATTTAAAAGAAAAATGTGATGCTGGGGCAAATTTTATCATTACACAAATGTTTTACGATGCTGATAATTTTATTTCTTGGTGTTCAAAATTACGTAAAATTGGTATTGATTTACCAATTATTCCAGGTATCATGCCTATTTCTACTTATTCTGCATTTCTTAGAAGAGCCAAATGGTCAGAAATTGCCATCCCACAACATTTCTTGGATGCTTTAGATCCAATCAAAGATGATGATTATTTGGTCAGAGAAAAAGGTACTGAATTAGTTAGTGAAATGTGTCAAAAATTATTGGAATCTGGTTATATCAATCATTTGCATTTCTATACCATGAATTTGGAAAAAGCTACAGTTATGATTTTGGAAAAATTGAATCTTATAGAAGCAGTTAAATCCAATGAAATTGTTGGTGTTACTGAATTGCCATGGAGAAAATCATTAAATCCTGAAAGATCCAAAGAATCAATCCGTCCAATTTTCTGGCAAAATAGAAAATATTCTTATGTTACAAGAACTGCCACCTGGGATGAGTTTCCAAACGGTAGATGGGGTGATTCCAGATCTCCTGCTTTTGGTGACATTGATTTGTGTGCTAGTGAATTATTGAGACAATCTCCAAAGAGAGCACAAGAATTATGGGGATTACCTCAAACTATTAGTGATATTACTGGGCTTGTTATTAGTTATTTGAAAGGTCAATTAAATTCATTGCCATGGTTTGATGGTGCCATTGGTGAAGATACTAATATTATCTTGGATCATTTGATAGAATTGAATGAAAATTCACTCATTACATTGAACTCTCAACCATCTTTGAATTCGGTTAGATCATCGGATAAAGTCTTTGGTTGGGGTCCAAAGAATGGTTATGTTTATCAAAAACAATATTTGGAGTTCTTTTGTCATAAAGATGTCGTTGCCAGATTATTAGACCATATTGATCAATATAATAAAAATCAAGGTGATTCAACTTCTGCTGTCATTTCATACTATGCTGTTAACAAAAATGGTAACTTGATTTCTAATTGTCAAGATGATGACATTAATGCCGTAACTTGGGGTGTCTTCCCAGGTGAAGAAATTTTACAACCTACAATTGTTGAAAAAACATCATTTTTGGCTTGGAAGGATGAAGTTTATACTTTATTCTCTGAGTGGCTGAAAATTTCTGGTATGTTTGATGCTGAAAAGGATAAGATCCAGCACTTTAATGAATTGATGAGTCAAATTACTGAAAACTTTGTTTTGTGTAATTTGGTTAATAATGATTTCCTTCAAGGAAATGATGTTTTGTTTGATTTGATTAAACAAGTAGTACATAGTTAAAAAAGAAAACCAATACCTACAATAAAAACAAAAGCATCTGGGTTTAAAAGTATTGCATTTAATTCTAGAAAATAAATAGTATTTATTCATTTACTTTAAATTACCTTTCTATTATGAGGCTTTACGAGTCATTTCAATAATTTATGGGGGATTGAGCCAAGAAAAAAAAAAGATTATCCCCTTCACAAAACGTTAAAACACGTGTGTAGTTGCACGTGGCTGCGCAATTTTTTATAGATCAATAATTTAAGCAAACAAGTAAGAATGAAATATTATTAGTGGTTGTGAAAGTTCCTTTTGCTTCTGATACTCTTCAACCCAGAACTTAACAAATCCAATTTCTTCAACGGTTTCAATATCTACTTTTTTGCAACTATTTGATACATCTTTATGTTCAATAATTTGGTGAATATCATGAAGAAGTCGATGGTTGTTTTCAGTATTATCAGGAACAAAATCATCAAGCAAACCAGGAATATGAAGATAAGTATAGTCAGCTTTGAGGGTGAAATAGTATCGTAATTGGTAAAAAAATGTGATTACTCTAATATCAGTATTGTTGTGAATTAAGATAGATAAAATCTTATCATACAATTGTGGAATAAATAAATCATCATCTGAAGAACTCATAATACCACTAATATAACATTCAATTGCTGATTTCAAGTGTGATTTCATTGTAGAGCTCCCCTTGAATAGCGAATTGAATTTATTAGATTTTGACTTTGAATTGGCGTTGGATTTAGATGTCATTCGATATAGTTTTTCATGAACGGTTGCCAAAATTTGCTGTCTTAAAGATCCACCATATTCTGATTTTTGCAAATTCAAAAGAATAAGTTCCAAATTTTTCTTGGTCAAATTAGATTCATTGGCTTGACAGTAAAATTTTAGTAAATTCAATTGCGAATAAGTTTCTTCTTCTTTAACATTATTTAATAGTGTACTAAATTGTTTCACGGCATCTCCATATTGACATCTCAACATGCACATGAATGCTTTAATAATTGCTGTTTTTGTGAGAAAACTAATCTGGACTTCATTAACTTTACCAATTGTATCACTACTGCTGTGGCTTTCTTTTCTTTTGGAAAACAAAGAAACACTTCTAGTTTTTGTTGTGCTACTCAAAACCTTCTTTGAATCCAACAGTACATATTCGATGTATTGATTTAGAACCGGTTCAATTTTCCTAATACTAGAATAAGCAATTTCTGGACCACATGCAAGAATAGCTTCCAATAAATACTTTAATGGGTCTACTTTTGGTGTTTTCTTTTCTTTACACCATGCTTCTAAAAGTTTCTCAGCAGTGGTAATTTTGGTGACAATAAATTGACATTTCCCAGTGAATGTATCCATATCATGATATCTTTTTAGTCTATTAAGTTCCAAGATTTGATCTTCAAATGACTTGCATTTAATAGGACTAGATTGAAATCTCAGTTAGTATTTTATTTAGTCACATATCGATGCAAAAGTTGATATATTGCGTAACATACTCTTTTTTCCAGTGCCAAATCTAATTTGTTTAACAATTTTCTTTCCAATTCTACAAGACTAGTAATATCCATTTCAAATTCTTGTTGAGATTCTGAATTCATTCTAATTATATCAAAAATTTCTGCTAAACATCCATGAACACTTTTCTTATCATTTAATTCCAGATTCATATTGGCCAATATTGAAAGATATTTAATTCTTGTGTCATGCTTTCCAGATAATCTAATTGCAAGACACAATTCTCTATATCCACCTTCAATTCTACCAACTCTAATCATGGTACATCCAATGATCAAATGAAAAATTGATGGTAATGATGGAAGTGTGAATAATTTGGGAAGTAAAAAAAGTACATTGTTATAATTATGTTGTTTAAACATGCTGCAAACGTCAGCATATATAGCTTTAAGTGCATCATTTTCATCCACTGAAAGCATTAAATCATTCTCCAAAACGTTAGGAATTGATATCAATGATACCATATCCAGAACATCATTGATTTCTTCAGAACTCATCATATTCCTAATTAATCAACTTGGTTGTAAAATAAAAAAAAAAGTACATAAAAAACAAAAGAACAAAAAAAAAAAAAAATCTGTTCTTGAATTCATTACTCTACTAATGTATACATGTTCTAGTTTATATACTACTTTTTAATTCCTTTCTTTTTACGATGTTTGCTTTCACGATTACCTTTAGGAACCCTGGCAACCCAGTAAAGGATAATGGCCAAAACTATATTTATCATAATAAATGCCACAAAAATCCCATAATTACGGTATCTTTCACTAAATATAGCATTTACGGACTCCAAAAAGGTGTTCGTTTCATTCATCGGACAATACAAGCATTCGTCACCTTTAGTAGTAGTATAGCCACCAGCCATGGCAACAAACGCATCCATAAACTCATTACAAGTTTGTCCTGTTGGTGGATTAATCTGTACGTATTCACGATCAGCACATACAACATTTGTATTAGCCAATGCTGTGGAAAGTATTGCCTGAACCAAATAAGTAAACGGGTTGCATCTGTACATAAAAATCCAAAACCCTGGCATTTGTTGAGGTGTTGCCAACACCCCACAAAATATTAAACACAATGAAAACAACAAGTTGGCCAAGTTGGCTGCAGAGTCTGCCAACTCGGTGAAAGAATTAGCAAAATGACCCAAAGTAGTGATATATACATAAAAGGATATTTGTAGCAACCACATGAATGCACCACGCGAATGCACTGAGTTTGTTGGTTCTGCATTACGATATAAGCCAATTGGATAATACCAGCAGAAAAACCCAATGGTTCCTAAAACAATCTGAAATGGAACTTCGGAAGTGATCTGACTTGAAATAAATGTAAACCAACTAAAAGTACGAGATGGTGCCTCTCTTACTTCAAATAAGTCCCTATTCTTCACAAATGCTGGTAGCATTTGCTGTAATAATGAGTTAAGAACAATAAATGACATAAAAATCGAAAACATCTGATTGTTTAATGTTTGAATTGAATTTCCAGTATTGAAAAATGAAAACCCATTAAACAAAGCTGCAGTAATAACAAGGAATGACTTTCCATAAATATAACCTGGGGTTCTCCAATCTTGAACAATTGTTCTCCAGGTAACTAACAAGTATTGCTTCCAAATTGGAGCCGCATATGTCAATTTTGATTCTGGATCCTCGTCTCTTGGTAATTTAACAAATTCAGTTTCCATACGGGTGAGTTCATTTTGAACAGCTCTATATTCATCAGAATTTCTCCAAACCTCAAAATAGTTTTGCTTAGCATGAGAACCTGGGGCAGCACCAACAACTTCCAACATCCATTCTGCTGGATTGGCTTCTTTTGGACATGGATCAGCTCCGTGTTTTTCAAAGTAGTCAATCATAGTCTGACAGTTTCTACCCAAGTCACCAAAGTAAACTGTCTCCCCACCCTTTTGCAAAAACAACAATCTATCGAACTCAGCCATAATAAGTGCAGAAGGTTGATGGATGGTACACAAGATAGCTTGACCATGATCAGCTAACTTTCTCATCAACTTACAAATAGACCAGGCAGTTTGGGAGTCTAAACCAGAAGTTGGTTCATCCAAGAATAGTAACAACTTAGGCTTGGCAACTAATTCAACACCAATGGTTAATCTCTTTCTTTGTTCAACATTCAATCCTTCACCAGCAACACCAACCAATGCATCGGCATATGAATTCATATCTAATAAATCAATGATATACTGAACATACTCATCCTTTTCCTTCTTTGAATTTTTACGTGATTGTCTCAAGTATGCAGAAAACTGTAATGCTTCTCTAACTGTGGTTGTGGGCAAGTGAATATCTTGTTGTTGCACATAACCAATTGATCTTGGAAATGAAGAATCTAGTGTATGTCCATTAACCATTCTTGCACCATCAGTAATAACACCAACAGAAAGTCGACCAGATAAACAATTCAACAAAGTTGTTTTGCCTGCACCAGTTGCACCCATCAATGCGGTAATCTGGCCTGGCTCGACCCATCCATCAACATGATCCAAGATTGTTCTATCCTCCTTCTTGATTTTAATTTTGTAAGTCAAATCCTTCCAGAAGAAAATTTCCCTTTCTTTCGAAAGATCTATTGCTTTTACAACTCCACTCTCTTCAAAAAGGTCATCGTGACTAAATTTTTCTTCTAAACCACCACCTTCAACATCATCATGGTTTCTATTTCTCTTGTGTTTTTTCATATCTCCTTTAAGGAACAAAACTATTTCTCCCTTTTGCATAGCTCCTCGATTGATTTCAGTTAGGCCAATATAAATTGCCAAAAAGAAAATAATAAAGCCGATCACAATACCGACATTTCTCCACTTGTGGGCATTGTAATATTGGTACGCATATTTCAAGTAATTAGTTCCACTAACATATGGATCACCTGGTATTGATCCCACGGCGGTACAAACCTGATTCTCGCGACTTATATCTTGGTAGAATGGTCCTGATGGTACATAAGTTGAACAAAGAAATCGACGACCATGAAACTCGTTGACCATAATGGATTCAAAGACATACCCCACAGGGTTTATATAACTGATCCACTTTGCCCATCCTAACATGTCTGGTTTTGGAACAACAAATCCAGTATAAATAACCATTGCCAATAATAAGATGGTCGATGGTGTCATTGCACCTTCCAATGAAGTCGTCACAGCACCGACAGATCTAAAGAAATGGGACATGACTAATGTGGCAAAAATGTTCACTAACCAATAAAAGAAAAACCTTCCAGGCTCCCTTCTCAAATTAACCATAAAATAGAAAACAAAATTAAATGAAATTGAAGATATTAGTTTAACCGGGAGTTCACTTATAATACTGGCTAATGCATCGGCAGATGGTCTATAAAGGGCAAATTTTCTATGTTTCTCAACCACAGGTCTGGCTTCATATAAAGTCATCACTTCCAACATGGAAGAAAACGCATTGAAAAGAACTGCATAGAACAAAGCGACACCACGATAGTAAAAAGAAGACGTATCCGCAGGGAGATTATAGAAAACTGACGACAATATCAACCCCATAATCAACTGACCAAATGCAGAAATGAGTGCAATTGATGGATCCCCCTTCATGCGAACAAAATTTCTGGCCACAAGAAACCTAACTTGCATGAAAAATGAGACAGTATAAGGAGAATTGGGGCGAATATGCTTTGATTGTCTTGCAACATGTGAGTTATGATAGTTCTGTTTGGTATTCAATTTTTCACATTCAATCAAATAGTTGTCGATGTCTTGAATCAAGGCAGCATGCTCTGGTGATTGCTTCCAATACGCTTCAAATTCTTTGGGAGTTCTTGGGACTTTATTTTCATACCCTGGTAATGGTTCTCTTTCTGCTGGATTGGTTAACGAAGTTAAAAAGTCTGCCGTGGTTTGTCTTTGGGGACATTTATACCCCATCTTGGTAAAAAACTCTTTGGCTTTATCGGCTTTCCCAAAGAAAATCTGGTAACCTTCATACAACACAACAACATTGTCAAACAAATTATAAGCATCTTGGGAACATTGGTAGATGGCAATAACTGGAGTACAGCTAAGAATCCTTGCTGATGTTTTCAATGCTCTAACAAACTCCAATGCCGTTGCTGAATCTAAACCTCTAGTTGAATTATCCCAACATTGAATCTTGGCTCCACTTAATGAAACTTCAGCAATGGAAACTCTTTTCCTCTCACCTCCAGAAACTCCACGTACGAGGTCATTACCAACTTTTGTGTTCCTTGTGTGGGATATACCATATGTAGCCATATACGCATCAGCCATTAGTTTTGCATACGTCTCCCTGTCAATCCCAACCCCTCTGTTTTGTGGTGTTCTTAATCGAGCAGCAAATTCTAAAGTATGGCCAACAGTCATGTGTGGGATGTGGACTTCGGTTTCCGCAGAGTATATAACATCTCCACGGTAATGATGTTCAATGTCCTTTTGTGTCATGCCATCATAGGTAATAATTGACTCATTTGCTACGTGAAACCCGTATGTCTGGGCAGCGATGGTTTTCAATAGAGTTGAACAACCGGCACCAGGTCTACCTAAAACAACAGTTACTTCCCCTGGTCTCATTATTCCATCCATTGTTTTCAAAATATCAAAATATCTTGACTTGTCTTCTTTCCATAAATGTCTTAAACCTTTTCCTGCCAATTTCCAGAGTGCATTGGTAACCGTTGGTTGATAATCAACATCATTAGCAACACCATAAACACGCAAATCTCGGTAAGCGACACCTAATTTTGAATGTTGCCAGTATTCTGGATCAGAATCGTATAACTTTCGTAAGTTCTTGATCCAAAGTTTTGAATCGAAATCATCCGAGTCAGGGTTCAATTCTGGTGGTAGATTATCAATATCACAAGGGTTTATACCTGGTACTTGACTCATATGTGATACACAATACCCCAAACTATGATTTGAATTATCATTGGTTATTGACTTGGCTAAGTTTTTAATTTCATCTTTGTTGAAACCTTGATATTCTTTATTTGACAGGTCTGAAGTAGATGAAGTTGTCTGTTCTTCCATGGGATATTAAATTTTATTTTTGTGTTTACAGTTGAAATTAAAATTACCCTTAGTTGACTATAAGAAGATAATTAATCCATGAAAGTAATTATAGATAATTAAATACCAAATAATTATTCCAAATAAAACGAAAAGAAACACAGTTGCTGTTGCTGTTGCTGTTGATGTTATTTGTTTGTTTATTTATTTATTTATTATTGACTCATTAGATAAACGGAAATTTGATCGACATTCATCATTAACGCCGTGTTAAATATAATTTATTATTATTTAATGTATTGCTTTTGTATAGGTTTCTTTTTTGGGCAATGGATTACGGATTTTATCCACGCATTTTCAACGAGGAAAATACTAACTGGGGGTTAGAGGCAATCTGGCGCGGCTGTAATTTTCTTATTTCCATCTATTAATAGTCGAGCGGGGGAATATTAATGCCGTTTATCGCCGTGTATAATTAGACCCATTGGTGAACAACTTGATAAATAAATAATGGATGAGGAGGTCTATCGCTGATTTTAATCTCAAGTTGTGAGATCGTAATCACCACCAATTAGAAATAAGAATATATGACATTTTGACCCAGGTGTCAAATTAAAAGATTAACATTTAGCGAGCTTAACTTAAATTTTAGTGCAGCAAAAGAAGTAATTGTTTACGGGAGAATGCAGCGAACCTGGTACCTGATATTAATCTTCTCCGACTACCGGCTTTCTATTTAGTTTGATTGGAAAACTATTATATTATGTTTACTGTTGTCCTCTTGGATCACCGACGACAAATATGAACTTGGTGCAAATTTTAAACAAGATCATCAAATGGAAACTTTAATTGATTTTATTCATAGTTACTCCAATATTAACTGCTCTACGATAGAATAAGTGATTTCTTTTTCTTGTTATCAATTGAAACAGTGTTTACCAACAACATTATAATGTTTTTTTTTCTTGTTTGTTCTGTTCAACGTATTGTAGTACAGTTTTCGTACATTTTTCGTTCAAATTCTCAACCAAATTTGATTAATAGTTGAAAAAATCACCACAGAAGATATAATTGCAAATAATTCTGTCATACTTCAGTTAGTCTTATATTATCAACATAGTATATGCGTTCATTTTTAATAATATCGGGATATTACTACAAAACAAGAGATAAATGTAATGACTATCTTCTGTACTTTCGTGCTTTAGGCTCATGTTCCTTTTCATACACAATTGGGGCTGCACAATTGATTAATCTTTCTCACAAGCGAGTTTTTTTTTTCACTTTATGTGGATGGAACACTCTCCATTTTCCCAGACTTTATGACTCTTCATCATAATGCCCTTGGTATTACTCGCTACTCAAACTCCATGATCTTGACTAGGGAAAAAAAATGTCTGTATCATGTCGCGTCAGACATTTTATTGGTAAGACATTTTGCGAAAAAATTGATTGGTTGAATTAACAGTAGAGCAAAAAAATCCTTTTCTAACAAGAACGAGAGAAAGTAACGAATGAAAAAAAGAATAAAAATAACCAGTAACAAAGAAAACGAACCAATTATCATTGTATCTAACTCCCCCCAACTTTAACTAACATATCTATTCATTATTCAACAATGTCAGGAGGACCAGTTCCAGTTTGGAAGAAATACACAACTAGACCACAAGGTATCTGGGAAAAAATAAGACAATTGTTAGTCTTGGTACCAAATAGATCATCTGGTAATCCAGTTGTTTCATTATTTAGACAAATCCCACCAGGTGAAAGAATCCAAGAAGCAAAAGAATACAAAGATCCAGTAACTATACCAGCTGGTGATATTAAAGGAAATCCATATTTTAAAAGAGACTATAGAAGAAACTATCCACAAGTTCATACTTTTAACCAAACTAAAATTTCTGGTTTATTGAATTTGGGATCCGCTGCAAGCCCAAGAATTTCCATTGGTGATAAAGGTAATAAAGAATTAGAAGTTTTCACAAATGGTAATGATGTTAGTTTATCAACTACTTTAAAATCAGTTCCAGCCAATGTAGTAAAAGGTGAAATTTTGGGTAAATCTGGTGAACCTATAGTTGCCCCATCTTTGAATAAATTTAAATGGGAAATTTTATCAGAACCTGTCTCAGGTATGTACACTAGTGATTACCCATGTCGTATTTTCACAGACAAGAAAGTCACCGTTGTTGGTCAACAAGCTGCATCTCAATAGTTGTTTATTTATAGTATAATCTAACAAGTACGTTACAATTAAGAATATATACTTGGTCTAAAACTAAATTGTGGGAAAACTGAAGGTAATCCATATAAACCAAACCAGCAACACATATACTCAATTACATGATTGCATTTCTTATTTTGAGAAGCATCCCGTAAATGCTCATCAATGGTATGCTGAGTTTCACATGGATGTATTTGCAACCAAGGCTGTTCTAGTAAATGATGATTCTCTAATTCAACACTAGTATTTGTAGAAATAGTCAACACAGTCTGTGATTCAACACCGGCAATGAACTTTCCATTCTCATACAATCGACAGTTTATTACAGGTACTTGATAATAATCATGATATGAAATTGTAAAATTTAAACGCACGGTATTCAAATCAAAACTGATGAATGAATATATTTTTTCAAAAGGTAGATGTTTTATATAATAGTTTCTTATCAACAATTCCGTTGCCGAGTTCAACAATTGTAAGTTTTCTAAAACCAATTCGACAAACTCTTCTATATTGTCGTTAAACTCTTGATTGGTAATCATCATTGAAACTTGTCTTTGTAAAGAGTTACCTGGTTCTTCTTCTTCTTTTTTTTCCCCCAAGGAAATAGTTCTATACGACAACCAAATAATTATCATTCACGCTTGAACTACATAAGTAGATAATTCCTAACAATACATAATATATATACTATCAATTCCCAATCACCAGCCTCGTCTGGAAAAAGTCTTCATTACTGAAATAAAGCAAACTATTTAAATAATAATAATAATAATAATATTAACAACAAAAAAGAGAAATAACAAAACTCCAAAAAAAACTAAAATCAAAAGTGGGAAATAACCCACATTAATATAAAAAGCAACAACCAAAAAAGATTGCATGATTGTTTACTTATTCATTAGAAGTCAGATACAATAAATTAAGATTCTACCAAACAACATAATGAAATAAGATACAACCATTGATAAATAATGATAATACCAAACACCATAATCTCGGAATTACTGTAGATAAAATAAACACCTTTATTCCACTTTCAACTTATCAATCTCAACCTGACAATTGATATTACTTTTCCTTTGATTTATCATCTTCATTTGATGGTGTACTTTCATTTAGTAATCCGGATTTTCCATTCAAAAGTACTTGAGCATTGGTTGCACTTATTGAGTTTCTCACGGACATTTCCTTCATTCTTTCGGCATTTGGATGTTTCATGGACATGGCACCAGGAACACCACTTTTAAAACCAGTTTGTTTTTGCATAGCATAATCACCACTATCGAAATATTTCTTATCTTGGAATTTTGAAGTCAAGATTTGTTGAGTGGTTGGCAATTTACCATACATTTTATAGATTCTCAATTCCTGTGGGGATAATTTTGATAAATCCAAGTGTTGAACATTTCTTGGTTCACTTAATGGATCTTCTTCACTATATGATGACATTATGATTTGATATGATGGATAATTTGCAAGATGTTAAATTTGAGTATTTATTGAATTTATTAATAAAATAATTGAATGAATATGGACTATTGAAATATTTGGAAAAAAAAAAAAAATCCAAAATCTTAGGAGAAAGAAAAACGTTGCTCAATTTCTTTGTCATATTGTCTTGTCTTGTCTCCTCTCCTCTCTTCTCTCTCTCTTCTGTCACTCAATCCCAATCCCAATCTCGTTCTTTTCTCGGTCACCTTCTCCGTCCACCTCTGCCCGCCTGCATGCCCTCCTCCTTACATCTTTTTTTTTCTCTCTCTCTCTTGTGGTTGCTACAATTTAAATGACTACAATTTGCAATCTGACACGACCCATGTAATTATTTAAAGGAAAAAACTATGAACTAAGTATGGCACCACATTCCAACTTAAGAAAATGGTTATGTCCACCAAGTAGACAATAAAATCATATAACTCTAATGGAATTGGAAGATACTTGTTTGGTAGTTTGTTAATGTATAATTGAAACTCCAATTCATCATTGCTATTCAAATATTTAGTTTCATCATAGGTATATGCATGGAATTGATAATTTATAATCAAGTATAATTCAAGATTATCCTCCAATTCTTCACTTATTTCGTTTGAATGAAAATAACCATGACTTATTTGAAAATCATAAGGTGTAGTTGCTGGCCAACACAATTTAATGTTTAATAAATCTTCATTAGAAATTAATGCGTTGCCATAGTTATTGATTCGAACCAATAATGTCGATGGTAGCTGAGATACAGTATCATAATTAAGTTTAACTATATTAGAAATGTCTATATTATCAATTGTTTGAATGGGGTAATCTAAAATAAGTCTATGGGTATCATTGAGATAATGTACATGGCGAGTGAATTTATCATTGGTAGCAATTACGGTTGGATGGGACACTATATCATAGTATTGGGGTATCTTGAATAAATATGTTTCTGTATTACCTAGGCATAATGAAATCAACCAGAATAATATTAGCCAAAACATAGTAATCACTAGTGAATGATGTGATGGAATATAAAATGAAAAATTGAAAAAAAAAAAACCTTTCTATCCTCATCTTCTATTATTTTTTTTTCCGTGTACACTATTTCTCGTCTATTAATCCAACTTTAGCTTTAAATATGGAAAATATTTCACACACTCTTTGTATGCCTTCTCTTTATCATCCAATTCAGAGTCTGGTTTCAATTCAAGGATTTGTAAGACGTTATTCTCGGGTAATTTACTGAACCAATTGGAGATGTTATATGTAGTATTCCAACCGCATAATCGTAACTTCAACAAATGCGGGAAATTTGCAGTATTCATAAATCTAGAAACCATCAATCGATTCAAAGAACTGGTTAGTTTCCCTTGAGTTATACTAATATCTAATTCTTCTAAACTCAGTAAAACCTCATTGTCTAAAAAATTCCGGTATCTTTCACTGACGATAAATGAATCATTCCCAGAATTCCGCAAGGTTAACTTCTTTATATTTTCATTATAATTTAGTAGCGATATTTCAAATGGAAAATCCCAACTACAATTAACCAAGGAAATATCTTCTAATATTAAAACAGGATAACTCTGACGATGATCTCGATAAAATCGATAATTATGCAATTCCAATTTTTTCAACATTTTAAAATTCGCTATATGATCCAAACTAAAGATCCTACTATTCGTCTGTCGATATAGCCCCACAACGTGATTCAGACAATACAAGGTAAGTTGTTTAATATTATCATGTTGTCTATATTTTAACCAATTGGAAGATGATTCTGAATTTATAAGTAGATGCTTCAAATTTGGTAAATTTATTAACAATTCTGTGAATACATCATAGTTCCATTCATGTAATGCATTGCTATCACTAATCCTAGCTTGATTGATGAAATATTTGTACTTCTCAAAAAAATCGTTATCCCTTTGTATGATTTTCTTCCATGTAAACTGAATCTCGGAGAAAATAAGTGGTACTAGTCTTTTTCTGAAATTATAATCTAATGTAGATAGATTTATTATATCTTGTCTTGTTAAGTGGGAGAAGATCATTTGTAGAACTTCGGTCGGAAGCGATATTAAAGTAAGATCATGGCTATATTTAGGTGTTTTCAAAACTGAACCAGACTGTAACGATTCACTTTTTCTCTTCATTAATAGGAGGTGGTAATGATCCGGGTACAGATAAGGATAAGCAATATCTTGAATAATATATTGTACGGGTTGTGTTTACCCTTTATGTGTATATATGAGATCTTTTACATGTAGCTATTTTTTTCTTTTTAGTTTTTTTTTTTTTGTTTGTTTCTTTTTGTCCTTCTGCAGTTGGAATCTAAAGTGGTTGCGGGACCAACACAATTTCACTTTGCCCTAGTCGCCTCACCATTACTGTCCGATATCGCATGCTTAGTAGAATACATTTATTCTATTTTATATTTACTTTAAAGGTGGGGGTACTCACTATAAAATTGTAAATAACCTAATCAGTGTCAACCAAGAAGTGAAATAAATATTTAAGAGAAGCAACAACTTCTTTACCAACCGGGATAATTTGCTTGGCTGGAAGTAAGAAGCCGTGATTACCAGTATCTCTCAACTTCAATTGGTATGCAAAATCTGCCCTGTTATGGTACATATAATCTAAAATGGTCCCTGCTCCTAAATCTGGTAACAAGTCAGCATCTCTGTCTAAACAAGCAGCAAAAACTTGATAAATTCTACCTGTCAGTAATCTGATTGCCTTGGCTAAACCATAAGCAACTTCAATCAAATTCTCTTCGTCCCTTGGTCTATCTTCACAAGAAAAAGCATATGGATACAAAATTTCTTCAGCATAAGAATGCAAATCAATGAATCCCCAAATCTTATGGTCTGCATTTGTGGAATTCAAATATTCACTCCAGATTCTAGATTCCATGGCTTCAAAAGGATGTTCACCACTGTATTCTTCACCACATGCCCAATCGCTTGATCTTGTCCAGTGATAATTAAAGGAATGATCAATATCAATACCAAAACAATGTGGTTTGATGGTTTCTTGACGATTCTTTCTCCATAATCTATCAGTTGTCCAGGTATATTGATAACCGTCTGGATTATAAACTGGAATGAACAAAAAATCCAACTCTGAAAAAATTCTTGATTGTGAGTCAACTTTGTACAATTCAATTAATTCATATATAGCATATAATGTAGAGGAAATTGAAATCCATTCACGGGAATGTACCCCACCAGTAATAACAACTGTTCTTCTATCCCCATGTCCCTCGCCATCTGAATGTTCATGTGGAACAGTAAAATGAAGAACTTTCATTTTACGATGTTCAAATGTCTCTCCAATATCCTCAAGACTTAAAATATCTGGATAAGTTGACTGCAACAACTCTAACCAAGCATTAATTGTATCCAATGAACGATAATCTTGGAAAAACAACTCAGAATTGGTAATCACATCTTCAGATTGGATCGAAACTTGTGGATAGGTTTCAAAAATCTTCTGTGGTAAATCATCAATCAAAAATTCTAATTTTAAATCACTTTTGAATTTTTGGATCAATTTAACCATATTTTCATCGTCAATTTGAATATCAATAGTCTTTTGGGCAATGTTTTTGCCCCAACGTTTGAAATTTATAGAGTCGCAGGACTCATTACTTGGTTTTGATTTTAGATACTTCTCCAACTCACCATTCTTGGAATAATCTATTCTAACCACGTAAGTGTTTTTATATTGAGTCAAGTCAATAGGATGATCCTTTGTATCAATAGAGGAGTAATGCACAGAATGGGAAGCTTCTGGCAATGAACCTCCAATATGGAATGGTAGTTGTAACTGTAAGCTTAATGTTATCTGTGCAAGAATCAAGAGCACAAATTTATAATTCATTATAACCTAATTGATAATGTTGTTGATGCTTTGAATGCAGGGTTCTGGTCGAAATTTATCAAAGCAATCAAATAAACTATAAACCCAAATGACAAAGGGAAAATTTTGAGAGCAAAGTAATAATTGAAACGAGATAGCCTCTTGGTCGTGTGATCTTGTCCAAGAAAAAAAAAAGAAATCAATTCCAAAAATCAAAGATAAAATTCTTGGGTCGTGTATATGATGATACTTTTCACTTGACTCTTTTTTTTCAAATTTTGTCTCCACCATTTTTTCTATTAACATTGATTGGAAAAAAAAAATATTACATTTGACTCGATATCAGTTGGCTAGTATTCATTAATCAAGATCCCAAACCTTTTTTTTTTCACCATTCCACTATAGGTCAATATGCAAAGAAGATTATTGCAAACTACTGCTTTTTCTTTGCTTAAGAGAAGCAGAGGTGTAAGTTCCATTAGATTAAATATCTTGCCTGTTGCTAAGTATTCTACAACTAAGTCTGTTCCTTTAACAGCCGATACCTATTCTAAAAAAATTCAACGTGATCCTAAATACAAACAGCTTGAAGCTCTGGACTTGGAATTTTTTAAATCAGTTTTGCCAGAAAATGCCATCATCACAGATGAAGATGATTTGCTTTTCTATAATGAAGACTGGATGAGAAAATATAGAGGTCAATCAAAATTGGTTTTGAAGCCTAAAACCACTGAAGAAGTTGCCAAAATTTTAAAATATTGTAATGATAATAAACTTGCTGTTGTTCCACAAGGTGGTAACACTGGTTTAGTTGGAGGTTCTAATCCTGTTTTTGATGAAATTATTATATCTTTGTCTTCCATGAATAAAATCAGATCTTTTGATCCAGTCAGTGGTATTTTGAAGGCTGATGCTGGTGTCATTTTGGAAACAGCTGATCAATACTTGGCTGAACAAGGTTATATTTTCCCACTTGATTTGGGGGCCAAAGGTTCCTGTCATATTGGTGGTAATGTTGCTTGTAATGCTGGTGGTTTGCGTTTGTTGCGTTATGGATCATTACATGGTTCTGTATTGGGATTAGAAGCTGTCTTACCAGATGGTACTATTTACAACTCCATGCACTCTTTGAGAAAAGACAATACTGGTTACGACTTGAAACAATTGTTTATTGGTTCAGAAGGTACCTTGGGTATTATAACTGGTGTTTCTATTTTATGTCCATCAAGACCACAAGCTCAAAACGTTGCATTCTTGGCGGTTTCTAGTTATGAAGCTGTTCAAAAAGTTTTTGTTCAAGCACGTAAAGAATTGCAAGAAATTTTATCGGCCTTTGAATTCATGGATAATACTTCTCAAAAATTGACTGCCAAACACTTGGGTTTAGAACATCCAATTGAAAGTGGTGATTTCCCATTCTATGTATTGATTGAAACTTCTGGTTCTAGCAAAGAACATGATGATGAAAAATTGGAAACTTTCTTGGGTAACGCCATGGAAGAAGGTTTGGTCGAAGATGGTATTATTGCTCAAGATGAAGCTCAAATTCAATCCTTATGGTCATGGAGAGAATCTATTCCTGAAGCTTCAACTATTGGTGGTGGGGTTTACAAATATGATGTTTCCATTCCATTGGCTGATCTTTATGGATTGGTAGAAGATGTTAATGTTAGATTGAGTGAAGCTGGCATCGCAAGTTTGGATGATGAATCAAAACCAGTTCTAGCTGCATTGGGTTATGGACATATTGGTGATGGTAACTTACACTTGAATGTTAGTGTTAGAAAATACTCTCCAGAAGTCGAATCTGTTTTAGAACCATTCGTTTACGAATGGATTTCTGCTAAGCATGGTTCAATTTCTGCTGAGCATGGGTTAGGTTTCCAAAAGAAAAACTACATTGGTTATTCTAAGAATGATATTGAAATTAAATTGATTAAAGAAATCAAAAATCATTATGATCCAAATGGTATTATGAACCCATACAAGTATATATAAAAATAGATACCTGTTTTAGCATGATTTTTAAGTGAACTGTAAATATACATTACAATTATTAATATCACTAATTGACTGTTTACAAGTAGAAAATTTACAACTATTAAAGAAATAAAAACAAAAATTTAAAAAATATAATCAAATTTGTATATATATATATATAACAATAAATTTCTCCAAAATATACAAATATATAACCGAAAATAATACTAATGAATAAAGAAAAATTCAATAAAAAATAATGAAACCAAATAGACTCTATAATAAAAGGAGTTCAACTATATGAACCAACCGAAAATAATAATAATAAAAATAGCTTGAACATGAAATATGCCAAAAACCAAGAAGGATACAAAAAGAAAATTGTGTAAAATGAATATCTTAATCATAATAAACTAAGAAACCGAAATGAACAAGAACATGAAAAATAAAACTTCAAAAAAAAAAAAAAATCATCTAAAGCAAGAATAACAAACCAGCAAAGAAACCGAAAACAACACCAAAGGTTGGAATATTTGCGTTAGCGGCACCTTCAAAAGTACTAATAGACTCAATACTAGAACCAGTGTAATTAGAACCAGAAGAAGAACTTTCAAAAGTAGAAACTAATGATTCAGAACTAGAGTCTTCAGAAACAACTGATGGAACTTCGGAAACAATTCTCTTTTGGATGTTGTAAATACGAGTGTTACTAACATCTCTCTTTCTTAAACCATAGTAAGCATAGGTAACTTCAGTAGGACAGTAAGTGGTGTAAGTAGTTTCAACATCAGTAGTAGTACGAGTGACCCAAACGACACCAGTCTTAGTATGATGAGTAGTACAAGTACCACTGTTACAAGAAGTAACTGTAATAACAGCAGTAGAATGAGCAGTCTCAGTAACATATGAGGTAACAACATATTCATCGTCAGAAGTGCTTGGAATAGTACTGAAATAAGAACTAGAAAATTCATCTGAAATAGAATGAGACTCAGATGAAATGATTTCTGCAGATGAAGAAGATTCAGAAGCAACACTAGATTGAGCAACAGATTCAGAAGAACTACTTTCAATAGAGGACACGAATTCGGAGGTACCAGTAGATTGAGCACCGGATTCAGAAGCAGTACCTTCAGTAGATGGAGCAGATTCAGAAGCACCAGTGGATTCAGCACCAGAGGCAGCTGGACCGGATTGAGAAGCAGTACCTTCAGTAGATTGGGCACCGGATTCAGAAGCACCAGTAGATTCAGCACCAGAGGCAGCTGGACCAGATTCGGAAGCACCAGTAGATTGAGCACCGGATTGAGAAGCAGTACCTTCAGTAGATTGGGCACCGGATTCAGAAGCACCAGTGGATTCAGCACCAGAGGCAGCTGGACCAGATTCGGAAGCACCAGTAGATTGAGCACCGGATTCAGAAGCAGTACCTTCAGTAGATGGAGCGGATTCAGAAGCACCAGTGGATTCAGCACCAGAGGCAGCTGGACCGGATTGAGAAGCAGTACCTTCAGTAGATTGGGCACCGGATTCAGAAGCAGTACCTTCAGTAGATGGAGCGGATTCAGAAGCACCAGTGGATTCAGCACCAGAGGCAGCTGGACCGGATTGAGAAGCAGTACCTTCAGTAGATGGAGCGGATTCAGAAGCACCAGTGGATTCAGCACCAGAGGCAGCTGGACCAGATTCGGAAGCACCAGTAGATTGAGCACCGGATTCAGAAGCACCAGTGGATTCAGCACCAGAGGCAGCTGGACCAGATTGAGAAGCAGTACCTTTCAGTAGATTGGGCACCGGATTCAGAAGCACCAGTGGGATTCAGCGCAGAGGCAGCTGGAACGGATTCGGAAGC